CTCTCACCTGCTCACCTCTATAACAGGAAGTTCTATTCATTGAGGACCGGCTACAACACTGCGCAAGACTACCTTTTACTGGAGGTGGATATGTTAGGCGCGGTCAAGGTGGATTTTGGAGGGATTGTGTCTTGCGCTATGCTGCAGAGGTGCATATTTGTGCTCTGAATGCTGATGGCTCCCTCAAGGGCCAGCACCCATCGCTACCAGCGCACAACCCATCACACGCCACGCCACCTGCGCCTATGTTGATGCCCGCCACCTCACTGCATCCCCTCTCACTCGCTTGCTGTTCTTGCCGGCTGGCTTTTGCTGGCTCGCTTGCCATGTCTCACTCGCCCACTGTCTCTCACCCTCTGTCTCTCGCCCGTTGTCTCTCACCCCGCTGGACGCGACCCAATCTTTCAATACGATGAGAGTTTTTGGAGGTACGTTTTATTTGAGTTGTGATGACACGATGTTGAACGATCACCTTGCACTACAGGCTTTGCGCATCGCGCGATTGAGGATATCATTTGGAAGAACTACCATCATTTTCGTCCTCTCACCTTTGGGTTTGACGCTTGTGCTTCAGGGCTATCGCAAACAATCCTGAAGTCTTCCCCGAACCACACAGGTTTAATCCTCAGCGTTGGATTGACGATGCAGGTTGCGTGCGATAATCTCCGGTTGATCTCCGGTTTTTCACTTTTGGCTTTGGCCGTCAGTGAGTAGTATCGTTCATCTCTTGACCATTTCTTACGCCTTACTTGAAAATGTCAGAGTGTGTCCTCACGAATTGGTCAGTCTTCATCAATACGGCTCTCATCATGTGGGCTTTCCACTTTTCGGAGAATCCTGCGGCCACCAGCATCACAATTTTTTCTGAAGCGCCGGCCACGTCAGCATCTTCAGCAGCTACAGAGGCAGAGGGGTATGGAGTCATCATTAGAGTAGCTACTCGATGTGTAAACTAGTATTTCAATGTTTTGTTTTTCACGCTTGCCACTGAAAATTTTCGGGTTCGGTTCGAGTTCGGACCAGAAAAAAACCGAACCGGACCACAGAGAACCGTTCTCTGTGGTCCGGTTCGGGGTTCGAAGATTTTGCAGAACCGGACCATGGTCCGGTTCTCGGTTCTCGTCCAGGGCCCTCTGAACCGGACCAAACCGGACCACGGCAGCACTAACCAGCAGAGAGACGCGCAGAACCGCGAGTGTTGGACCGTGGCTTGGGTACTGGTTTGGCCTTTGGAACGGGTTTAGGTCTGGGGACAGGTTTGGCCTTTTTGTGCGCACCAGGCACTGGATTGGGAAGAACGGCTGTGGGTATAGCAGGTGGCTGTTTTGCCGGGGAGGGTGGGAATGATTCCGAGTCAGATAGTGGTGTCAAGGCGCGTGGTGGTGATGATGTGGAAGGTGTAACCTGCAAAGGGAGTCTGGGTGGAGATAGTGGTGGTGCAGGTGATGATGGGCGTTCTGCTGCTGATACTGAGGGTGGAGAAGTAGTGGTACTGCGCACAACATTGTTTGTTGCTGATGTCGAAGTGTTACCTTGTTTACGAGCGGCACATTTTGCTCGCATTTTCGCAAGGTCAGAATCGGTGTCATCTGCGGCAGCTGTCATGGCCTTGGCTGCATGTTTCCCGAAAACCTGTCTGTAATTTGTGTTAGTAGACCGTCATTAATATTAGCCTAGACACATACTCGTTAATCCATGCCGAACCCAGCCAGTGTGCCCACTGAGAGAATATGCCTTGCCAGTCTCAATATCCCACACCCAGATTTCCCCGTCATCTGAACCAGACACGATACAATGTCTATCCATGGAGATTGCAACAGACCAAACATAGTCAGTGTGACCTTGGAGAATACCTGATGCCTTCCCGGTTTCCACATTCCACATGCAGATGCTCTCGTCCGCTGAACCAGACACGATGCCCTTCCCATCCGACGAGACTGCAACTGACAGAACAGAGTCTGTGTGCCCTTGGAGGGGGGCAACCAGCACCTTGCCAGTCTCTATATCCCACACTTGAACTGTTGTGTCATCTGAACCAGACACAATGGAACATCCATCCAGCGAGAGTGCAACAGAATTAACAGAGCCAGTGTGGTATTCAAGGGCGGCAACCGATGCCTTGCCCATGATGGTATCGGCATCCCACACCTGAACCGTCTTATTGTCCGAACCAGAGGCTATGTGACTTCCATCCCGCATGATTGCGACAGACTCAACCTGAGAAGTGTGACCTTGAAGAGGGGATCCTACTGCCTCGCCAGTCTTCGCATCCCATGCTCGGATCGTCTGGTCAGATGAACCAGACATGATGCGGTTTCCATCCGAAGAGATTGCAACTGACACAACATGGTCAGTGTGGCCTTTGAGGGGGGTACCGAATGCCTCGCCAGTCTCCATATCCCACACCTGAATCATCTTGTCTCCTGACCCAGACACAATGTGTTTGCCATCAGGCGAGATGGTGACAGATAGAACACCTTCAACGTGGCCTTGAAGGGGGGCGCCCAATGCCTCGCCAGTCATCATATCCCACACCCGGATTGTCTTGTCTACCGACCCAGACACGAGGCATTTCCCATCTGGTGAGACTGCGACAGAGTAAACAATGCTTGTGTGGCCTTGGAGTGGGGCACCAAACGCCTTTCCAGTCTCCATGTCCCACACCCGAATTGTCCTGTCCCACGAACCAGACACGATGCGTTTACCATTCGGCGAGATTGCAACAGACACAACCCAGTGAGTGTGGCCTTGGAGGGGAGATCCTGATGCCTCGCCAGTCTTCGCATCCCACACCCGGACTGTTGTGTCCCACGAACCTGAAACGATGTGATGTCCATCTGGCGAGAATGCAATGGATGCAACACGATCAGTGTGGCCTTGAAGAGGGGCACACAATGACTCGCCAGTATCCATATTGCATACCTGGATCGTTCCGTCACTTAAACCACATGCAATGTGTTTTCCATCTGGCGACAGTGCAACCGAGTAAACGGCGTCATTTGCATGGAGTATCTTCTCCATTTGAGGCCAATTTTCGACATGGCCAGCGACGATGTGGGGTACAAGGAAACTTTGAGGCAAACTTGCGAAACATTCTCGACTGGGTTGGAGCAAACAGTAGAGCGGACAAGTATAAATGGGGAGTGCTGCGTAAAATGGTGGTTGCAAAGGTTCAGATGAAACACAGGGTATCCCTGCTAGCGTGATGAACATGCGTGAACTTGGTATGACCCTATGACCATCCACTCGTAAGAATTCATTGGGCAACGAATGGGCTTGAGCTATGCACCGAAATCCAATCTGCAATAGATGATAGGGTCATTACTGACCTGCCTAGGCTTTTCATCAGAGCCAGTGCTTCCAACCACCAAAGAAGGCGCTCTCCGTCAAAGAAAGCTTCAACTTCTTTAGCGAGTGATGATTCAAAGGATGTGGAGCCAACATGCGTTCCCCAGAATCGACATGAGTATGATAGCTCAGTCGGAATAGAGCCTTTGACTCATCTCTCCAAATCAGGGACGGAAGAGTTGGGTAAGTACAGATTATCCAAGGAGCAGATGTTGAAGTGAAGCCCACGCTCCATGACCCCAAGCGAGGCAAAGGCGAGGTCGGCCTGTACCGATGATGTATCAATGAAGGAGTGATGGCTCTGCGATTCTTCGGTGAGGAAGTCATAGAAGGATGCATGTAGGGGACAAACAGGAGTATGAAAATCTGTAGTCCCGGTTAAAAACGAGGCCATTGGCCCGATCACCCAATCCACTTGGACGTGGTCTTCTTCATGGGGAAAATGCAGTCGCATTGCAGTCAATGCAGTCACGGGGAGCAGTTCAGGGGATGCAACGATTTGCCCCATCACCGAATGAAACATGGCAATTGCTGCCTCATCCTCCAGGGGCATAATGTCCATCAATATGCATTGGTACATATCATCCAGCAGATGTGTTGCTGTTTTAGAGCTAGATGTTCCACCAATCACAGCTTTGTAACGGCCCATTGGATCGCCTACTTTGTTCGTATCCTTGATGTACTCACAGGCAAGACAAGCCCGTTCAAACAAGCCATCAGATTTATCAGCAAGCGTCTTAGAGTGCCCATCATTGAATGTGTTGTGTGGGCCTTTCAGTATGTCAGAGATGTAAAGTTGGATGTCATGTTGTGTTAATATGACCGGGATTTCATCCATGGAGATGTGGTAATGCAACGGGGTTTTCAGAGTATCTGTAATGTCTTGGAGTGGACAGGAAGTGACGATGATATGGAAATTTGACGGAAGTGGAGGGGAAGAAGTGCTCGTACCGCAAGAAAGCAGACGGAGAATCTGTTTCTGGGATTTAGCATCACCGCTCTCGTCCAATGCATTGATCACTATCAGTACGGGTGCAGTGATTGTTTTTGAGGCCTCGTCGATTGGTTTTACGACTAACTCCTGCCATTGTCTTGAGACATCTACAGTGTGTCTGAGCTCATTGTTGTTATGAACCGCACGCGCCAATGCTCCCCGCATGGTGATATCGCAATCAGCCAAGTCACGTGCAATTGTAGTGAATATCTTTTCGTGGCGGTGCTCGGCCACCCTTGGGCAGTCGAAGCAGAAACAAGCACGCATTCCCCCGTGCTCATGAGACCAGTTGGCTATGGTATGTGCGATGGCTGATTTGCCTTTCCCTGCCGTGCCAGACAACCACAAGACACGTGGCATGTCTTCACCTGTGCTACGGATCCAGCACTTGACCTCGGATAGAATATCTTCCCGAGTGCCTGAGAGACAGTTCTTAGACGTATTCCGTCCAGCACCAGGCACGTATTCCATGCTGCTGACGTCCAGGTCCTCAGCTAAATCATGGGCATCAAACTTCAGAGAAGAGTCAAAGATAACTCGAAGTTGCATCATACCGATACGGTGGATGGTTTCGATGGTGGTGAGAGCCATTTGATCTCGGAATTGTTGCATGAGGTTGTTGAGAACCTTGTTGTAACATTGTATCGTGGTCTCCGTTTCATTCAAGGCATGTTTGCCAAGTCTTCGCCCTGTAAAGAGCTAAATATTGGGGATGTTGTGATGAAAATGACTCACAAAAATTCTGCATATCCGAGTAATGGACGACAAAGTCAGCACACTCCAACGTTTGTTGCACAATCTTTCCATAAATCTCTAGCATGGATGAAATCCTAGCCAATCTGTCCCCTTCCATTAATAAAACATAGATGTCCGAGATCTTCGAGAGTAGACGGGACACAGCAGCATCTCAGTGCGCCTGATTGAGAATCATCTGTTGCCCATACAGTCTTATTGACTTGCGAAGTGTAAGAATATAAAATTGAACACACCTTTGACACGAAGGTGAAGATACTCAATGCCACCTTTGCATAGGGATGGACCTACGCACAAAGATCAGTCACATAAAAAATCGAGATAGGTGCCCATACATCCGCAAGCCCTGTAACAATGGAGTTAAACACTCTTAATGGTGCGAGAAGTTGGGAAAACGTGTCGATCATATCTGAAGCAGATTGTAGGTTGTCGGATGCTGAAGCAGTATTTTCCACCATCCCTGAAACATGTTTGATGCCGTCGAGATGTGCTTTGGCATTCGCAAGCTTTTCCTCAACAAGCTTCATGTCAGGTTGTTCAGATGATGAGAGAACTTAGTCTATGATCGAAAGAAAGATAACAACATTACGGACTGTGATAGTCAAACTTGTGTTTACAATGCCCACATCGGAAGACTGGTTAGGATTTGGTTCAGGAGGGATAGTGGGTGGTGGAAGATCTTGCGGCCGTTACTGGTTAGATCACACATAGAACACGCCAAGAATTGTATATACCTGGCTTGTCTGAAGGTGTAGGGGATCCTGTACGCTAGAACCTGTGACTGTGGGTTTGGGGTTGGGAGACTGTCAAGCGCTTCGAGTAGACTTGTGAAATGACTTGGGAAGAAACCTTGATAATCTATTCCTCGAAGGCAAGAGACTGGATGACTACAATCATGATTAGAAACAACAGTGTAGCTGTAGCTGTAATGGCGAAAGTCTATACATCACTAGCTGCCCTCTGCCCTCTCTCATCTGCCAACTGAGGGTTTGAATGACTTCGCTTCAGCAATCCCCAACACTTCTTACGAGCAGGATTCCCTTCACTCATCGAGTATGTTGGAAGGACGGTTGACTGTAAGTTTTACATCAGCAAAAGTGGCACAAGCTGACAAGGCCTCAGCAAATGCCGTAAGCCTGGCATAGAGTTCCAAACATGGCTACAGGCCTTACAGGCGTCATGCCAGGCATTGTAAGGCTCCCAGATGACAAAGTAATCGTCACTCGCACATGTATGTATGCAAGAATTATCAATACAATAGTAATGTAATATGTTTCTTCCCTCACACAGCTGAAAGACAAGTCCTTCCAATGCATTCTAATACTCAGCATAGTCACCATAATCCTCTTCAGTATCCGCAGCACCCTCTCCGTCCTCAGCACCAAGAACGGCATCATCTAGTTCATCCTGCGAGCCTTCCTCTTCTGAGCTGTCATCCGATAACAACTGCTCCTCTAGGTCACCATAACCAAACTCACTGCGCTCGTCATCCAACACTGAACCATCCTTGTTATCATCAGCCTCTTTGTCCGATTCCTCGTCTCCATCAATCAAATCTGTGTCAAACTCGTAAGTAGCACTCTGTAAGTTCTCTGCTTCTTCAAGCTCATCGTCCGACTCAGACCAGCTTCCTGTACAATCCATATGCTCCTCACTGGAACTGCTGATGCTGCGCATGTCTGCATCTGCCAGTGTGTCTCTATGATCATCACCAGACTCTGAGTCGATGTCCTCATTCATCAGCGAACCTGGTATGTAAAACATACCGGTGCGCTCGCTTTCCTTCGTAAATGGCACTGAGTCAAGTGCATCTCGGTCCTCGTAGAAACTTTGTGTCGCCTCTCGTGTGGTCTTGTGTCCAACACCACCACCACGGAACCGCATGAACATGTCGCGATCTACAAATCTAAAAAAATGTAAGTCAACTATTTGTTTTGCAAGTAAAAAAACCATCAACTGGTTGACATAGTACCAGCTATAGTCTATATCACCTTCACGAGGCTGGCGAGCAATTGATGGAGGAAGAAGGTTTGCGGTGGAACCATGTGCGAATCCTGGGATTACATGGACACCATGGATCACTTGCACAGGGTCGACAAATCCAAAAGCATCTGCTCCAACCTTGTTGGCATCATAAAAGCCAATATGGTGCAACCGACGTGCAACCCAGCCAGATTTATGGTTAGAGTCTCGACAGAACCAGTGCACCCATAGGAAATCGACACATCGTGAAGCTCGGTCACAAGAATCTGAACCAAGATATCTGGCATATACGTGAAAAATACCGATGATGCGCGCATACCAATATGGGTGAGGAGCGAGTTCGCCAGGTTTACTTTCCTTGTTGCCTAGGAGCATGATGTCTGCATGTGTACGTGGATTGAGTGAATCTTGAGCTCTTCGAAGATCGTATGTTGTGTAGTTGATACAAAGTACTTTGTGTTTATAGATCTTATTGTTGAGGATGATGAGTGAGTTCTGCTGTGCAGCAGTAAATGTGCGTTCCTCAGAATCATCATAACCGAGAAAACGAGTAACAATATGATCCTTGAGCCATGGTAAAAAATCCTATGCAAAATCAGATAGACCAAAACCCACAGTGACTTCGGATAGATACCTTCACGGCGAGGTCCTCACGATTCCTGTACAGCCATGAAGTGATGTCCCAGTGTTGGCGGCATGAGTTGGAAATCTGATACTGGGTCTCTGGAGAACACTGCGGCAATGACTCTGTTTCAGCAAAGCCAACTGAAGGAGAAGAATCTTCTGCATGATTCAAGCGACCTTCAGCTTGTTGTGCAGCAGCCTTTTGTCGAATCTTGTGAAGGAGTCGTTCCTGGCACTGCTGTTTTGCGATACCCCGCACAATTTTGATCTTGTTAGTGCATGCATAAAAGTGTTTCACACAGCGATGCTCCAGTTCACCCTGCAATCAAAACTAGAACCATGAATCAAGAGCGGAGATGTGTGTATTAGCGCACCACTTGTGTTGAAAAATTATCAGTTGTCCCAAACAACCAGATTGACCTCACATAGTCACCAAGTGCATGCAACTTGTAGGTAGACATGTTGAAATATCGTTGTTGAGTGCCCTCAGTGGTTCTCTTGTTCCCTTTCTTTGTCGGCATGGCTTTTGACTTCCCCTTGACCGAATATGCAGGTTTTCGGTGCCCCTGAGCAGCAGCTTCTTTGGGTAGCTCTTGTGTTATGAACGAATCACATGTAGACTGCTTGAAGCGGTGGAGAGCTCGTCCTAGCCTGATAGTCGAGTTGTCGAGGAAATTGAGTGTTGTTTCGGTGTGCATCCGAAGCTTTCCAAGTGCATGCCAGGTCGCAAGCTCAAAAAGTAAGTCGAGAATGACTTCGTCATGATCGGGTAGCAAGCCCTCCATTACTGGAATACAACACTATATATGAATCGGGTCGTTAGACAGCTAACAGTATACTAAAGGGTGGACAGACCTGCAACAAGTCTTCATAATCTCTCACAGTGAGTTTGGCGAGATTTGATACATTCCAACTGAACTTCCGAATAGTGTCCCTCCCGAATGTTGGCACACAGCAAAATCTTCAAAATATTAGTCTTTGGATGCATTAGATCACAGAACTCACCTAGCATCGAACCGTGTCATAGTATCTCCACCAAACACATGCAGAATCCGTAGTAGATGGGTGAGAGTCCCTTTCCAAACACCGAGTTCAAATTCGTGCATAAAGTCAGGCACGAACATCGAATGGAAGTCAAATCCAAACCTAGATAGTCATTCAGAAAATGCATTCTTTGATTCTATCAGTCAAAGTTATCTTAATGAAGTTTGAAACTTACACATGTTGGTACCAGTGACATTGGCCCAAGCAACTTGTCGATCACGGTGCTGCCAATGTTGCGTCCTTTTGTAAAGATCCAATCACGCACTCTCTCAATGGTACTCCTGCGTGCGTGATTATCCAATCGCATGTCCCTTTTATGCCACAGTCTATCCAGCTTCATCCCAAGGTCGGCAATTTTCTCCTTAGGAATGAGGCAGCACGGACAGGAAAATTTTCCCAGAAATTTGATGCATGCGAGAAGAATCCTGTCAGTGTTTGATTAGTTTTATGGCATAGTAGTGCAGGCAGAGTACTTACTTTTCAGGATAGTCAGCGGCATATGTAAAAAATCGAGGAAACACTCTGCGCTTCACATTATCGGCAAACCACACCACAATACCATGTTCATATGCGTGCATGAACTCTTCGTCAAGGAGAAACAGCCAAATGGCTTGCATAAGCTCTCGCTTGAGATGTGTGAGCACTGAGCTTGTCGCTGCTTGCCCATACAATTTATGGTAATATTCATGGACAATGTCCGGTAACTCAAAGGCAAGTCAGCGAACTTTGCAAACTCAATCATGAAACAGATGCAAACCTTTGGGATATATGCCAGATGATGAGCAGCGAATGCAGAGGGACAATTCCTGATATACTTTGACTGATTTCCGATGAACATGTAGATTGGCCATAGCGCAGCATGTCCAAATGAAGCAAGATGTGTCGAGTCTGACCAAAGCATGATGGAAGTGACAACGGTCTCCAGCTGACAACCAGGCTCATGGGGCTGTGCCTTTATCTTCTCATGCTCATTGAGCATAGCATTGGCCATATAGACCTCCGTAATGATACGTTCCGGAAATTCACCCTCATCAGGCTGCCAGAAGAGTTTGTACGGGACATTGTGAAATGATTTCGAAGCGACTTCCTCATAGGCTGACCTGATAACCTCTAGAGGCTTCCGGTAATAGAGTCCATCCATGGCACAGTCAGGTGCATCAGCTTCAGATGTGTACTTGTGCTTCTCAGCAGGCAGCTTGATATTGACAGACGCCTCGTGCCACTTGTCGGAGGTGCTAAACAGCTTTGAATCTGGGTCCTCATCGGCCTGGTCCATTCTTTTTGCCTCCCGAAATGCAGAAAAATCCCTGAGGTCCTCACGCTCAAAGTCATCCGCCAATATGACTCCCTGCACAAGGCGGTCAATGTTAGCCAGGGAGTTACCGCTGGATGACTCGTAAAACCAGTTCATGAGATGAAATGTGGTAGCATTGAGAAAAGGTGCAAAAAATGTGCGATTGACTGCTTCAATAGCAGTACCAAAGCCTGCATACCAGGGCCGCTTGTTTGAACTGTCGGCCTGTTGGAAAGTACGAGAGTCACATACATCATCGAACAATGAAGTGTTCTCAGGGTCATAGGAAGGGAAAGTTCCTCGGTATGAACGAAAGGTGCCAAAAGTGTCCTGTTCAGTGTGTACCCACACTTCTCCTTCTGATTCGGTAGTACCTGAGTCAGAATGAACAGGAGATTGTGGAACGGTATGGGCTGCATCATCTACTGGAGGTGGAATCGGAACAGGGATGGGAAGGGCAGGAAGTTCATCTCAGTAACGTGAAGGTAGTTGCCGCCTGCGATTCGGAAGACCTGATGCTCGTGCCAGTGGTGGGGGTGAGGGCGAATGATGTACTGGCAATTCCTAGACAGCAGCATGAATACCCTGTATCACTCTGACAAAAGAAACATTCACTTACATATGGCTCGGGATTCTCTAACTCTGGCTGGTTCACCTCGTTGAGTGAGGGCTCGTCGAGTAAGGGAATTTCTGACTGAGCATGTGGAGCAGGAGGAGGCTGTGGGGCTTGGCACTCGTGACGGGCATTCATGACATTGTTTGAGGCGTCTCTAAGGCCTTTGCACCATTGGTTCTGGTGCGTTGACAGACCGCGTGCTGATTTGGCAGTATAATTGCAAGCAGGACATATGAATGACATGACGAGGATGAAAGTGAGTAACACAAGGGTGGTACACTTTGCAGGCATCGCCTGCGTGTATCTGCCGAGTCACTGCAGGCATACACTGTGATGGGGAGGCGAGGAGTCAGAACAAAGGACACATTATATGTTAAATCGGACCTGCCACCTGATCAAAACCTGCCTGCAAAACTCTACACTCCCAAAGAGCATCCTGGCAGTGCTGTGCACCATATGGTGATGTATCCTTCTCTCCCGCTATAGGTCCAATATTGCCATTCTCTCCCTCTGGCTGACGTACTTGACCAAGCCTCTGCGGATCATGACTGAAGCCGATAGACTATGTTTGAAGAAAGTAACTGCCCTTGTGAGCTGAAGGAGGATCGTGAAATGTGTTGAAGAGCGCAATTGTAGAGCAACTCACTTGAATGGGAGGGCGATGCTCGACGTATATACTCAATATCTCTGGTAGTTCGTCGATAACTGGATGTGAAGAGGTTTTCACGTATTTACCTATAGTCAGTATCTTTGGTAGTTTGTCGATAGCCGGATTTGAAGACTCTTGGGTGTAGAATCATCACTGCGCCGCCATAGATAAATAGGTGGATTTGGCAATCGAACTCTTGAAAGATGAGTACGGAGTGAGAGCTGAACCTCGTGATGGAGATGATATTTGCAATAAGGGTCAAGTTACATGGGTGTCGGCTCAACACAAGAAACAATGATATTCATGTGACAATCTATGTAGGGTAGATAAGTTCAAGTGCCAACTGCACTATCGCGAACAAATGTGTACCTCATGTCCTGGGTGTCAATGAAACAAGGTAGGTTAGCATGGTGAAGCGGCATAATAATGTACAGTACACACACCTCTCCAGAAAAGAAAGACACCCGCAATCCCTCAACCATGCTTCATCGTATGCAACGAGGAGAGTACAGGAGAGTCCTGCGCGAGACATATCTTCACCACAAGCTCGATGTCAAAATTATCCTCCGGTGTTGGAAAATGGTGCCTCATGGCATTCAGGGAAGTGAAGCACAGCAGTGCAGGACAACGTGCCACGCTCGATAAAAGAGATGCAGAGTCGACCGGTTCGGATTTAGGTTGATTAATGGATGGCAGGGCGTAAGACACATAAGTAGTAGAGGGAGGGTGTTGTGATACTGGATGTGGGAATGCAGATTGCGTAGCTTGGCGAGGGTATGCATGCTGAGCTTGGTATTGATATGCGGAGGAGTGGTTCAGGGTGAGAAAAGGGCAGGTAATAATGGGAGGTGGGTGAGAATGCGAGGGCGGATGAGCATGCGAGGGTGGGGTAGCAGCAGTTGCTGGTCAGGACTCTGTAATCTAGATAGAAAGTGAGCAACTTAAAACGGTCAAAATTTATGGATGTGGTGGAAGGGGAAGCGGTGCTCCACTACTCAGTCTCGGGGTGGGGACGGGCCATACCGAACTTCATAGGGAGGGGAGTTTAAGCAAACTAAAAAGAAAGGACACTCACCAAATAAAACATAGAATTAGCAGACACCCTATATTGATGGTACGTGCAACGTCCACCACAAGCTCTTGGAAAATGGCGCCTCATGGTGTTCAGGGAAGTGAAGCCGGGCGTGTTGCATCGCCAACTAAGCCGGTGGGTGAAGATGCGAGGTTGGGTGAAGATGCAAGGCGGGTGAAGATGCGAGGTTGGGTGAAGGTGCGAGGGCGGGTGAAGATGCAAGGCGGGTGAGACAAATAGCCTAGTACAAGAAACAAAGTCAGTACACATAGTAGGTAGTAAAAGTTAGAAGCCGTCAGGCTCAAGTGCTCGGAGTCGCCTCCTAGAGGCGTGTCCTCGCAGCCTGACAGCCTCTGGTCCAAGTCGCCTCCTAGAGGCGTGTTGGACCAGGAAGTGAAGTGCAAATAAAAATAAGAAAACTCACCAGAGTTTGTGCACTCGCTTGGAAACTGAAGAAACAAGAAGAATAAGTTCGGACTTCCCGTTTCGAAAGTCACGTGACTTTCAAAGTCAGCCGGCACTTTCCGGAAATACACAATGTCTCAACAACGTGTCAATCTTTGCTTATCTCTTACCATTAATTGTACTCTTATGCTACTATTTATTATCCTCAATGCCTTCAACGTCTACCATCAACATGTTCGAGGACAACATACTCATTGAGATCAATGGTGTTGCCTCTACGTGGGATACCTATTGTCTTGGCCTAAATATAGTCACTCCTGGCTCCAAGGTATGAAATAATCGTTTTATTTACAAGTATGACTAAACCTATCATGTTTTTGTCTATTCAGCGAGTGATTTTCCGGTTCAAAGATATCGGAAAGGCCATTTGAGAGGGCTCATCTGACTCCGGCCATATGTGAGTTCATTCGTTCAATACAGTGCGCTAATTATTCACTTTGAAGCTAGCACTAATATGAGCACACTCGAGGCTGACAACATCAAGACAGAACCTGACCTAGTCGAGACTTGTGTAAAGTTCGAGGAGGACGACAAGGATTCCATAAATTCTGTGTATGCAACCTTCTGTCTAATTACTATACTCAGATTCTGACTAACAGATTTTCAAAGGAACGTGTCTCCATGCAACCTACTCGCTCGACGCTGTGGTAATCCAAATGCAAGACCAACCGACCCATTTGCACCATGGCGCTACTCAGTACGGCCATTTGATCGGTCAAACATTCTGTCGGAGGCTGCTAAAAGGAAGGCACTGCATCAAGACATCAAGGACTATGCATGCAAGTGTCATAAATTATGATATGTCCACTATCGCTTCAAATTGTTCGCTCATTTTCCCATAGTCACTCATACCTTTTGCAGTCATTTGTATCAACTACTGTTTGCTATCACCTGCTCTCGTACTACAGATACCTTTCATGTTGCTCACAGTACCTCTTTCTTCTTGCACTGTACCACTATTTTACAATGCTCTTTTGCGGATTATCATATGTCGTGTACTGCTCAATTCAAAGTGTATCTGCTTGTCACGGTTGTCTGATGATCTTGAAACTCCGGCCATCAATATTTTTAAATTCTGATATCTGTGAACAACTCCCTGATTTTCCCCTGAGCCCTTTACCTCACCCTACCATGTCTTCATCAGACTCTGATGCATTGTCGTCAGCCTACAACTCCAATAAATGTGCATCTTCATCAAACTCTGACGCGACGTTGCCAACTTCCAACTCTGAGAAGTGTACATCTTCATCAAGCTCTAACGTGTCGAAAAAACACGTCTCAACTGATGATATCCTCGATAATCTTACTACCACTGGCAGGCAGAAGAAAATAAAGTGAGTTTTACATTCGTGGGCTGACCACTATCATGCGACTCATGCAACTTAAGGTTGAGCAACGCATTATCAGAATATCGCACGGCTGGGCGCAAAGCGGTCCTAACATTGAATCCATTTGCCAATGTGTCACTTGCATTTCACTATGGGATGATGCTTGACAAGGGAGGCGTCTCCAATTCAAACATGTAAGTTGGTAATTGCATCTCGTAGTATTAACCTGATCTGCTCGTAAGATCTGATGAGCAACAAACTCGTTACTGTACATTTTACAATGGTATTCTAGATATGATTCCTGGTTTCCATGCAACTCTCGATGAGTTGTCATATGACGAACTTAAACCATATATCACAGCGGTACATTTCTGCATATATGCGCATATATTCATTGATTGGCACCAAACTAATGACTACAAATAACTAGATCAACAGCGCCATGAGCTCACAGCGATCCGATGACTTCGCATCCCTCAAACACTCAATACTTGAGTATATTTTGATGAACCGTAACAGCGATACCCTGCAGCCTCCCATACCAAAGTCATCCTGTATGTTACGGCACACTAATTCTCTTCGCTTCTCCTTTGTTACCAGACAATGGTACTTAAACACAGCTGTTGATGAGCGACCAATTACTTTCCAGACTCTCACTCATATCATTGCCAAGCTGACTTTCCGTACTAGTAACCATCACTATGTTTGACCAATCATCCCTTATCAAAGCGGGCTGTCCGCACCATGGTTACTATCTCCTATCTCTTATCTCTTATCGTCTACCAAGTGGGCTGTCCGCCTTCTATCTTGATACGCATTTACAAGCTCCGCTTGAACTCTCGCTATATAGATACATAGCGTACCACATGTAGTTCTTCACTTTAATCTACTGGGTTTTACCTAGAACTAGTCCTTTAGCAAGGTCTCCAACCTTGCTATCTAAGAACCATATTCTAAGGAAGTCGCCGATACTTGCCTTAGCCAGAAACCTTTGACCTCTCATTCGAGAGAAGAACCACGTCTGTCTCGCCGAATCTCAGTCCACTCGGACTAAGACAGCTCGACATACCCCAGTCGTAACACTGTAAGTCCAACCGAGGCACGAATCATCCACAATTGGCGTGTGAGCTCTGCCCTCGGAAGTGGCTGGACAGATTTGATATTGATGTCGATTTGTAAGTTCTTGTTTTTATTTCAAGTTCTAGTCACTGACCATTATATAATCAGAGGAATTTAGCGTCTTCAAGATGGGACTTGGCCTTTACTCTCAACTAATTGGCCGTCATTCCTATATGCAGCCGATGCCATCTACGACAGCGAGGACCCGAACATTGGCCTCTTTCACGGGCATGCTGGTATCAGGGTATGTAGTGTATTGTCACCTTTCATGTGCTCACAATTTTCCTAGGCATTCCAGCACCTGTACCTAGGTCCTGCTGCTGCAGGATCAGAGGAACATAACGACGACGACAGCAAGCACGGTAGAAGCAAGTCCAAGGCTACCATGTATGGGCTTACAAAGGTGATGCCGCAAGCATGGGCTTGGGCCATGTGTGCAGTGCATGTCTGTTTTTATTTTCGACTAGTGTACTGATTTTCGTACAGGCGTGGTTTTTGCTCTCAGCCTGCAACTCGTACAAAGTGTGCATCGGGTCATTCAACCTAGAAGATTTCTTTTTCGCTATCCTCGAAACTCTCGATGATCCTGAGGACCCATGGGCAGTAGAGATTTCATCAGATGGTCATCGCATAGTGTCCGGTTTGAGTGACGGGACAATTCTGGTGTGGGATAGTATGGGGACTGGCAAGGCATCAAGTGCCTGTCTCCAAGGACACACTCACTGGGTCCTCTCCATTGCAATCTCACCAGATGTATGCTGCATTGTATCTGGCTCACGAGACCAGACTATCCGTGTGTGGGATATGGGGACTGGCGAGCAAGTGGGCTCCCCTCTCCAAGGCCACACTGACTGTGTTAACACCGTTGTGATCTCCTCCGATGGTAATTGCATTGTGTCTGGCTTGGCTGACCAGACTGTCTGGTGTCTTACTAGGATGTGATTGGCAATAAAATCACCAGTTCTCACTATCCTCCATGGTCAATGGTTCAGACAAATACCAACAGTTGATAATGTGGTCATTCGTGGGAGGAGGCGTAAATAGCTGGGTCAATCTAAACAACTTCTAATGACTTTAGGTGGGTTGAGACAGTGACCGTTAACTGGCTTGATGCAGTGCTTAGGTACTTGAAGGTCGATAGTCCGTTAACTGGCTTGATGCAGTACTTAGGACGGTGAAGATAAGGATCGTAAATGGTGTAGCTGAATCGATAACTGGCTTGATGCAGTACTACGATGCTACTAAAAGAGGATTTGCAAAGGTGTGCAATATGAAGATGAAGATATGAATCACACACTACACAATGAATCAGAGTAATATCTTGTAAACACTCCCTATTCTCAAAAATTAGAGGAGATCAAACTAAGCCTCTAACACAATTGAATCAATCCGAAATATGTGGCTTCGAAACTAACTTCTCTGCTGCTCAGGCACTCACAATGAGTATGACGCAGAATCAGAACAGAGTACACCCTCTTGATGTAGTCTTAAAGCAGCCAAGCTCTTAATATTGTTGAATAAAGTGCTAGTCTTATTTGTCGTCCTCCTAATCATTAAAAATACGTAAATTCTCCCAACAGAAAAGGTATCCTGTGTTGTAAAGAGAATGTGATGAAACTACAACTAGATGACTGATAACCGTGTACCAGCTAGTGTAATTCAAGGATTGGCTCAAGGTGTTACGCTGACTGTGGGTCGGCATGTGCGAACTAGGATAGGTCTTCTCAGCGACGACTCGGGTGAGTCTACTGAAGCTGAGCGTGGTCTAGCCTTGACGGAACGTCAAGGATTCCTCCGGCGATCTCGGTAAGATGGCGCTCGTCGAGATGCAGGGCTAGTGGATACGTGCTAAGTCGTATGGGGGCGACTTAGAAGTGCGGTCTCACACAAGGAAGCTGGTTAAGGCTTAGATGAGCAAGTTCTGGGGATGAACCTAGTAGATTAAAGTAAAGTCTAAGTACAATAATCTGTGTCTACTTATAGGGAAGTACTACAAGTATTCTAGCTCAGTCTGTAATCAATAGTATATCGTAAATCTATGATAGCAAGACATGAGGTTCAGATAGGATACATGAGGCTTAACCTCTGATCAAGCATGCTGCGCCAAGGGCAGCTGCGCATAGGTACAGGAAGCGCCAAGCGCGCTCCGGATCTTCATGAAGCGACATGCGGTATGCATGCGCTGATCTAGGGTGACTATGAGGCGTACAGCCTCCATGGATCAGGTACAAGGCTGTCTAGGCCAGGGGCGGGGTCATAGCGCCAGGGGCGGGGTCGCAGCGGTCCAGACCACTGTCTTTCTAGGCGCGGGCGGCGCACCGCTGCGCGGGGAGTCTAGCAGAGCGGGGGCAGGCATAGGCAGAGCTGGGGCTCCTTTAGGTGTTACAGATGCCTGTAACACAAGGTAGGCCTCAGAAGATCAGTATGTTGTGGGAAATGATGACAAAAGAATGGAGGGAATAAACTAATATTCACTCAGATGTTCACACAGATGTAGGGTGAGAAATTCAGGAAGATACTCAAATCCTCCTCCCTCTCTCTAAAAGGAGGATGTCTGTCCTCTCAAAGGAAGCTTATTTCAAAAGGGAGATTGTCATTATTCAGAGGGGAAACTGGGCCCCTTATATACTACTCTAAATGTGGCTGTGTAACTATCTATTTAAGGAAATATGACTCATCCTGACTCATACTGAGTCATATTAAAGATGACTCATAGTGACTCAGACAGAAAATGACTCATAATGACTCATACTGAGTCATAGTTGAAATGTCTTATGATGACTTGTTCACTTCTCAAATATTCCCATCTATCAACTTTCTTCCTTCAGTTTCCTGACTAATTCATCTCATCTTACAAATCCATTTCATCTGACTAAGCCATTGATCACACATGAACTGTTGAAATGTTGGAATGCTACTGTAAATATGTTTCAGAACATACAGTAAAAATGTGAAGAATTGTAAAAAAAACAATCATAAGATTGTGAGAGAATGCTGACTAATGTGTTGTGGTACGTTTGGAGCTTATCTTTAGATTGGATAAGTGTTAATTGAATTATTATGTAGTATTATAGGTTTGTTATGTCTGAAAATTACTCAAATCAAATCATAATGTGTTATAGAAAATTCTTAGTAATTTCGTAAAGTATAGTAGAGAGCGTCAAAGCTAAAAAGTAGCCATGACCATGCACAAAACAAGTTTGGTGCGTGTCACCGGGTGTGGGATATGAAGACCGGCGAGGCAGTGGCCACTATTCAAGAGCATACCGAATTTGTTCTGTGTGTTGCAATCTCACCCGATGGCAAACACATCGTGTCTGGGTCAAAAGACAAGACCAACCGGGTGTGGGATCTAGAATTTCTAATCCGGCAGCACCAATCATTTGAAGCACCTATGATGTGTTTCTCATCCGACCTGACTCATGCCCTTCATTCTGCCTCCTCCTTTCTCCAAGATTCCGAGTCTAAAATCCTGGCCCCAGCCCCATCCCCATCCCCACCATCCAAGTTAGATTCCAAGTTCAAATCTGAAACCCCAGTCCCTTACATCCCGAACAAGGAGGGATGGGTCATAGGTCCTGAAGGACGACTTCTCCTCTGGATCCCGCTCAATTTCCACCCAGTGGTGTATGTCCCAGGCAATACCCTGGTGATAGCCAACAATGCCCTGCAGGTGGACTTGAGTTGTGTCACACATGGCACATCATGGCAGAAGTGTCGCGGACAGTAGCAGGCTGCATTGCTTTAGCATGTCCTTATGTCAATCGACATTTATGCACATCCTACAAATTCCATATCACACCTGTTTACCATCTTGGATTTCGTTCGTTCTGTTCTACTTATGTAATGGGCTCACTCTCGCAAAACGTTTAGGAGTGCACAAAGATTTATGTTTACATACACTCATACCGTTGCCAGTACTGTACTATCTGGAATTGTTTCTCCGCGGATAACTTGAAGGTATACAAGAACTGGACTGAAGCACCACTCGACTCCATCGCCTTCTTGTCTGAACAGATAGATCGCCACAATGGACTTCTTCACCGCTCGAAGCCGTGTCCAACAGCGTGGACCATCACGCCATTCAACTACCCGAACACCGCTCGACGAAGGCTCAGAATCACAGGCACCTCAGGCCTAATTAGCTCGGCAGAGATGTAAACCAACTAAGCATTCTATCGTTCTTCACGTCACTCTAATGGAGTAAAAGACAGTTCTTAGAACTTCGTCCTGAATAGGTTGGAAAGGAGCAATTCGATGATGAAGTGGCCAGTCTGGCCGTAGGTGGCGATGATGGCATACTACAGTGGATTTGATCTACGAGTTGACATAGATGACAGGTTGTCGACCAGACTCTAGGCTAATGTCCTTAGCATCCTCTATGTTATCGTCAAGATAAATTCATGTACTCAATCTCAAACACAAGCAGCGTCGCAGAGTTTACTGACTCGTTTGAATGATACCGCTATTATTTGTGAAGTACGAGAGGATGCTAGCACAATGGTAAAGCGCGCTATTCATTGTCTGAAAGATCCATGTCCATGTCGCTGTCATTTGAGTCATCCTCTGTGACAGTGATGAGTGCACAATATTGGGGGTGTGCAGGCGGAGGAAGTGAAGGTGGAGAAGGTGGCAGTGGAGGGGGGGTGGAAGGTGGTGGAGGTGGAGGTGGTTGGTACTCGATGTGCGATTGCAGCGAAGAAAATGCCCCAGGTAATCTCCAAGGAGGAACAAGTGCATTCGCAGATTGAGTTCCGGATATGATTTGCTCCCAAAGAGCTCTTCTTTCTGCAGTAAAGGTATTACTGGGACGGGAAGTGGCGGTGTCTGATAATACCAATGTCGTCCCATTGTAGACAGTGAGGTGGTCTGAGGAGAAATAATTATCGGGGTACGTTGCCCACCTACGAGGTGTCGATGAGCGGAGCTCCGAGTCAAAGTTGGCAGACAAAGTATCATCGATAATTGGTGTTTCATCCCCGCCTGACTTGAGGTAGAAGGACGTTGCAAGACTTAGGTCGATCACCTCGTGGTCCTCTTCGCCACTAACTATGAGGAAGGAGTCATCGGCATCTTCAAGTGGATGACCGTGTATCAGGGTGTCGAAGTCTCCCAAAATTCTTTGGCGAACAGCATCCCTCGGATCGGTATCACTTATCCATCCTGCAGGATAGCCCCAATATGATATGTTGTATAGCCATGCACACTGATGACCTGAGTCTCCATGCTGCAAGCCCAAAGCTTCGCGCAAGGCGGGTCCAACAACCTTTCCGGGCTGGAAAAATTCCAACCATTCAAGCCGTTGTTTCTTCCAAGCTTCAACAACATGAAATCTGCCCGGTTCCCTCGTTTCCCCATCAGAGCGCAAAAAATTGAAAATTTGCCGCGACAGCGCGATGAGGGGACGATTATGCGGTTCGGGACAGGACCCAATGATGTGATCAGGTGAGCCGCAGTTGAAACAAAAGCGAACATCGAGGAGTGTAGGGGATGGACTGCGGTTCTCGCCTAGGATACCGGAGATGTGCCTGTCATAAAAGCATAACTGCGGTGACAATTCTTGGAACCCAGCTGACCCAGAGGTATCGATATAAAAGTTGCAGGCGACATCGGACCCGTAAGGACTACTCTCTAGACAACTTCCTCCTGAGCTTCCAGCGCCGCATTCCGCTGCCTCATAGACTCGACCACGGTGGAGGCATCCCAGCGACCTTTCGCTATCTCCCTCCCATCCAGATGGAGCGCGGGAATCCAGTAGACGTATTTCTTCTTCCACTTTTCCTGGCCTTTATCCTGTATGTTGACTATTTCAAGGTCGAATTGATACTACTCGTTTATTAGCAACTTGTATGTCGCATTTGAGTGTTGAGAACTTGCGACGTACTGACTGCCGGACTTTCGCCAATTCTAGTTTTGCAACCTAGCGCGCGTAAATAATTAGAAAGTTTTATAAAGAAAAAGAAAAGTACTAACATCACAAAGGGAACAATTTGGGCCAGTAAAGAGAATGAGGCGGGCGAGTTGGGGGAGACGGGCAGCCATTGGAGGGTGGTGGTATCTGGGGTCCGTTGTAATTCCTATTATGGGTTGTGGGGAACTGTCTTGGTTCAATAACGGAAGCAAATGTTCTGTACACACCGTCCGCGTCCGAGGTCATTCGATGAATCAGTGGAATGACAGTTCAGGATCCTCCATGGCGCCAGAGAAGTATGTTCCTACGTATATTCTATGGATATGTTTTGATTTTTTTTCTTTTCTAGCGCGGCCGTGTCCGTTTTTCTCTCAAGGACGCTGTTTGTTCGCGGATTCGTGCAACTTCCTTCACGATATCAAAGTGAAGAGTCCTCTCAATCAGTCGCATTTTGACGTGCGCGTTGAGCAGCCTATCGGGTCCCGCGTTTTTTTCCCTCCAAAAACCGTTCTTAATCCTCCTTCGGTCGTGGTTAACTCTGCGAGTCCACGCTCTACCCAACATGTCAGCCCGGTGGATGACACTTCTCGTTATTTCGGTTTACTTTCGGTTCTTCAAGATGTAATTGGCCCAACAACTCAGGAGGACGGTGAAACATCCACACCTCGACCTGTTGGCATGAACGATATTTTTTTGCAAAATTCCCAAGCAGAAACCGCCGCGGTTGGTTTCTCCCCGGACGGTTCTTCCATGGATATTTCTACGTTAATGGAAGAATCAGATTTATGTGATACCCAGGATTCCGTTGTTGATGTGCCTCAGGATGTCGGGGAGATACAGGAGATACTCGCAGGTCATGATATCGACTCAGATGATTATAAAGAGGCTAGGGATATATTTCCCTCATATGTGGTGGATGATGAGGATGGGGCAGAAGAACAGGAACAGGACCCCGGAGAGGCCGGAGAAGATAACTCGCAATCCACTTCAATGACCGTCTTGCGGTTCCCCACTCCGCCTTCCAGGTTCTCTTCTACGAGTACTGCCAGCTCTGTCTTGTCGCTCCTTGCATGTCCTCGTGACCTTACGGAGGAGCCCTTGAACAACCCGGGACAAGAAGCTTACAACAACCTTCTGTCTCCCGTCGAGCTTTCTGCACGCTTGCGACCTTTCTCAATGTACAGCTATAACTTTCCGCCAAAGCGGGAAGACTCTATCGACTCGGGCTATGCCGACAGTTGGACGGGACCGGCACTGCTAGCGCGTTCTCCACCTCATTCCACGCGCAATAGCATTGCATTTGATTCAATTCCCTTTCGCCGTGCTTCAGTATCTTTGTTACAAGATCGACGCGTGTCATATGATGTTCGCGGCGTTCGACCTCCCCCCTCCCAACCGGTGGTGGCCGAAGAGCATGACGATGACGCATCTTCGACTTTATCTATTTTAGATGCCTATGATCTTTCATCTGATCTCGACGAAGAGCCTCTCTCCCCCACCGTCCGTCTCGCTGGGATGGGGTTAACACTTCCTTTGAGTCCTCCAGCAGAATCATTCTTTCCAAAACAGCCATCCGTTTTCATTTCCGAGAGTGCGCCCATTCATGATAGCACCTCAGAAGCATCATCACTTCAGCCTGATTCCGTGCCTGAGGATGACATTGGACGTGCGTTTTTCGATACTGACAGCCCTCTAAAGTCACTGGTTTCTCCGCCTTCATCTGCGACTCGCCCGTCCTCTGTCAATGGGATTTTTCCATCTCAGGAAGCAGTGCTTGTCGGCATGAAATTTTCCAGTCTTCCGGCCTCTCCACTACCCGAACCCGCTGCGTGCGACGTTGATATCGTCAGCAGAGTCAATGACGTCATGGCACCCTCCTCGGTTTCCTCGTATCCGAGTGATACCGAGTTTATGGAGGGAGAATTGTCATCAAAAGTGTCGCTATTATCTGTGGGTACTTTCCCGTCTGGCTGCTCGTCTCCGAATACGTCCATACTCTCCGTTGAGTGCGACTCCACGGCTCAAGAAACCGGTTTCTCTCACCCTCCCTCGCCACAGCAGACTGGTCTTGCACTAGCGCAGTCCACTTCATCGTCGGTATGGGATGATGATAATATGGATCGATATGAACTCCACGAAGATCAACCCCATACAAGCGACCCAACGGAAAGTCAAGAGTCGTCCATTGTTCACCCCAGCGAGCGGCCAAGGATTTCCCGTGAACTTCTAGCCCACATCGGGCATGTATTTTCCCTTTCCGACGACATACTAGTGCCTGCAGGGGATGCTCGAGACACAACCGGAAGTGGTTCAGGTGTCCAGACTGATGATCATGGTGATTCCTGGCATGATGCTCTGGATGCGGATGTCCGACAGGCTTTGCGCATGTCTTCAATGCCTCCTGTGGCGTTTTTATCTGATGATGCAGACTTCGATCACGACGAGGCCGGCGTGCGCACGTCTTGGGGTTCTAAATTGGGCGACTTTTCCATCAACCTTCGTCGTCGGAGTGGCGCAGAAAATGTTTTGTCCGTCGAGGAAGGTATGAGTGTTAGCCCCATCGAACTTGACGAGAACGATGCGCTTTGTGGCCAACCTAGCACTGAAGGCCTCTTGGTTGACATGGTATCTTTACCAGCGGCCTTGGAGACTCCTGCCGAGCAAGCCATCGGAACTTATGACATAGATGCGTTCCTACTTCAGGGAAAACGGGATATCCAGACAGCTCATTTTTACGACCAATCACTAGTTGACACCCATACTGTCAACGACTCCTCGGCTGCGACTTTCAGCTCCGCAGATGCTCCGTCGATCATTGAATTTGTACAGAGGAGTCGTGCTATCTCAGATGCCACCGTAAAACCTGATTCACGGTCTCCGGGTGCTCCTTGCTTTTCTCCGTCACCCATGGCCCTCACCCCGGCTAACCTTGTCGACAGTAATTTGGACGAACATGCAGACTTCCCGCAAGTACTTGACGATCGAAACGTGGATGCACACTTGCCAAGTATGGAGGCTACTGGCGTGAAACTAGCCCATGAGACGGGGGAATCGCCGGATCTACATCCGGCATCTGTTCTTGAATCAACGACACATGATCATGAGGAGAAACATTCTTCCGTGTTAGTTAGGATGGGGTCCCCTGCGACACTTAGAGCTCCATTGAATCTTACAATACGCATTCCATCGACCATTGAAGCTCAGCCATCCTCATCGTCTACTGCTCAGAGTCTACCACTCATTCTATCTCTCTCGAATGGACGTGATACGAAGCGATGGTTCTCCTCCCATACAGACGGGTTTTCGTCTACAGCAAATAGTCCCTCTCTCTCCGCTCCAGTAATATCAAATCTTCCGTCGCGCGAAGCAGGAAGCACAAAGGTGCCGTTGGGTTTTCGACGTTTCAATCCACAGGTAAGCTTCTGAAGCGACATTGTCTAATCGTTACTCATGCCCCTGTAGTTTGTAGCCAGAAGGCCATTGCAGCGTACTCAGCCCTCTTCCGTTTCACCTGTCTTTCATCCAGCAGCGAGACGAGAGAGTAACGCCGCCAGTGCGAATGCTGCCCCGCAGCAGCTCGACTTCTTTCCACCGAACCTACCATCGTCCGATCGGCTCCTATCTCCCATTGAACTGCAACAAGAATCATCTGCTACTGGGTTAAAACCTCTCAAGCTGGTGAGTTATCAAATGACAGTAATTCATGTACATCGTCACTCAAGTTCTCCTTCAGTCTAGTTTGCTTAATCCGAGGTCGTCTGTATCATCGTCCTCGTCCATCATGTCTAATATATTATCCGGTCACTATTTCGAATTCCTTTTCGGTGATTGTAGTACTCATTCTTGAATATAGATCATATCTTCAACTCGTCTTCACCTCATTCGCCCAATGTATCATCTAGCACTTCGCTATCGTATAATTCACTGGTGCGTAAGCTCATAATGTTTTTGCCCTTGGTACCAGTCTGATTTCTGTGGGCAGCTGCCTTCACCATGTTCAAGCATTCCCGAGCATATTCCCGAGCATATTCACAACACCCTCACACCCGTTCACGTTACTTCATCATTGTTTGCATCTACTCCTGCACCTTCGTCTCCTGTTCATCCTGCGCAGAGGGAGTGCCAGTCGCACTCTGCACCAGTTCAACAGGCTCCATCTTGGCGCCTTTCGCGTTATCGAGGAGACTCTCATGATGTTAATCAGCCGCTCCACCCCTCGACACGCCGACTGTCGACTCTTAGTTTGACATACGACGATGAAGGGGAAGATACTGATAAATACAATCGCACGATTCGTCGTTCCGTCTCCGGCCTTCCTCCACGATCCTCGTCCGTTCTAGAAGCTCCACTTCATGCAATAGCGACGCCAAAGCCGACTCTCTTGTTTGCCATTGCGAGCGATGATGTCAATGAAGTGCGACAGGTGCTCGAGAGTGGCGAAGCTGGACCAAACGACCAAGTTGGTCCTCAGTCCGCCCTGGCCTTTACTTTGACAAATGACAAGCTGTCGCACAAGAATGAGATTGTCAAGGCCCTGTTAGCCTACGGCGCAGATCCATCGGCGCTGCGGAATCCAAAATTGAATCCGTCTGCACAAGCGTCACCGGAGGGAAGTGAGGGTGGTTCAGGATCACATTCACAGCCTGGAGAGACGATGCCAGAAGGAATGGACCCTGCTACGAGGTACTTAGTGCCTCGATATTTTATCACTGTTTGCTCATTCGATTCTTAGATACTACGTTACCAGAGCCGATTCAACACATACTCGACAAACATCTCAGCTTATATATCGCTCATTCTTCCGGCCCCTCACAAGAGTTCGATATGATCTTATCGGTCAAGACTGGGTGTTAGAACAACTCTTTAGGGTGTTGAGTATGCACTCTCAACGGTTGTCAGTAGCTCCCATCGTGGTTCTGCTTTGCGGTATGTTCTCCAGCTAAGCACAAGGTGCATTGTTATACCTCCCCTAGGTCCGAGTGGTCATGGGAAGAGCTTACTGGCCCGCAAATGTCTGTAACTCATCTTTACGAGTCACACCTTTAACTTATCGTTTGTGTTGCAGTTGGAAGTCTCTTGGATATTCCTACCCATACCGTTAACATGACCACCTTGCGCTCCACGCACGATCTATGGCAATCGTACTCTATGAGTCCGTATGAGGTTTGTCATGTTTTCTTTGTCGATGGAACACACCTTAATAAATACTTTCGCGAAGGAACCTTCCTCAGATACTTTGGCCCAATTTCTGCTTAATAACGAAGGCGAGCGATGCGTAGTCGTGCTAGACGTGCGTTCCTCTCAACCTTGTTCCGCAAAATTTACTCATTTCTACCTTAGGAGATCGAAAAGGTAGAAGATCCAAAGGCGCTATATTCTCTTCTCATGCCTTGGGAGCTTGGTGAGTGCATATAACATTATGAGTACGACAATGTTTTACTCTTTTAAAGGCCGATGTTCCCTTGAAGTAGGAAAGCGACATGTTGATCTCACGAAAGTGATTTGGCTTGGAACGTCCAATATAGGCCATAACCTTGTATTTGAGCACTGTGATTCCCGACCAGATCCAAGCAAACCCATCACTCGAGAAGAGTACCGAGATCTCATGGATCTTTCAAGACCTCCTGTTTCGGAATGTCTCGGAGTGAGTGCTTGAACTGGTCAGATCCTATACGGACTCCCTGATGCTGTCTCTTCCAGGCTTCACTTTTGTCTCGCGTTACCACCGTGTTGCCTTTTATTCCGTTCACCTTGGAAGAAAAAATGGCAATCGCCGCTGAAGCGGTATACTCTCTCACTTGCAACGCTGAGAAGACCCTGACTCCTCAAGATGTGGAGGCAATTGTGATGAAAGCGCTGCCAAGTTATGTTCCATCGGAGGGAGCTCGCTCGTTACACAGAGCTGTGTCGAATCAATTGGTGGATATGATCTAGTCTCTGCGCTTCCTCGATATTCCTGTGATTTATGGTACTTAATATTGTATTGTTGCATCTTTGCATACACGGTATATTTTTCCGTTTGTCTATTCAGGTCTGCCAAGTGAGTGAAGTAACAACGTGACAGCGAGGAACGAAATTGAAATTCACTAAAGATCTTCTGACAATCAGTATCTACGTAGTACTATGTAATGACTGTCGAAAGCTCTTCCCATCGCAACGACCATGGATGCGCTCAATCGTGTCAACATATGCTACATTCCAGACAGCGAAAACATTACATGCGAGAAACAGTTAGAACGACGGCATGTACTAAGATAGAAGTACTTTGTACAGTCGAAGATCCGACACACTGATACAAATCATACAATACGTGAATACTAGTCGAACGACTCACAAAAAAACAGACAGCTAATAATACACTAGTATCAAAAGAAGACGTTACAAGCCTTGGACGTGTTTGTTCTCTTCGCCGCATTCACGAATAGACTCGCTCAGGGAGTGGGTCCAAGCGCGACTGCAGCGCAAGCTGCCATACATGCCCCAAGAGCTGTATTGCAAGCTATGATAGCGGGAGGCGCTGCAGGCGGTGCGACGCCGAATGTAAAACCGGCTGCAGAGTAGCATGCAACAGCGATGCCGTTGCAGCCTGCTCAAAAATTTGAGACAGCTGTATACGATGATCGTGCTCGTCGACCTTACCGGTTTGACAGATGGCGTATCCGATTGGGCCTGCGACTGCGGGCCCGGCTGTTGCAGCGAGGAGGAGGATAGTACTAATCGATTTAAACTTCATCTTGTGGATGGATGGCAGTCAATGGGAGATGAGATGATGGTGAAGAAGAACCTGTTGCGGTCACGGTGTAGCTCGATGCCACTAAGGCAGAGTTGAATTGAAGAGCGAAGTCAGGAGAGCGTATCTGACTATATAGTACCCCTATAGAGGCCAATTTCAAAAAAGGGCGACACCCCTGTCACGTCGCTGGGGGGATTTGAGTCGGACGCTCAGCTTAAACATGTACAAATAAATAAAGGTTCTTGAATGAATTTGTCTGCTATTAATAGTTCAAGCTGCTGGCAATCGATAACAGGCGCTTCCAACATTCATGTTCATGACATGTAGGCGCCAGTCCATCCTATTTGCTACCACCACACCTGCACCAAAACATGCATATCCAAACACCTATCTTTCTCACTTACTAGATGGATGAAAACAATCCTTCTCAGAAGAAATGCTGGGGGCGTCCAAAGCCAAGTCATTCAGACCATCATTTGGTAGAGGAGAGAGGCAGGATGACAGCCAGTCCCAATGTATGAATTTTTACATTAGCATTTACATCATACCTAATCATTACAGCCGTCCTCTCTCTCACCTTCGAGGAATGGGTCTCATGAAAGACGTTCAGGGTCAGTTTTCAAGCTCTTTGGCAAGGTGACCAAGTGCTTCGCTCGAAGCGCTCAACAACCCCCAAACCCTGAACCCACAGCTGCAAGTTCCAGCCTGCAGGGCACCCAGCCAGTTCAGTCATCTAAGGTAAGTGTAATCTAACCTCTGCATGTGCTATGATTAGTAATAATCGCTTCTGCAGGACCTCACCCCTCCCACTCTCGAACCAGATTGTGAGCAGTCTTCCAATTCAGGGATTGTAGAAGTAAGCTCGACTAACGAAGTTCGGAATATCCTCATCAGTCTGTTTCGACAATGTGCTGACACCTACACTCAGGTCGAACATCTCGACCCAAAATTTGTGCGCAAAAGAATTGCCAATGCTAACAAAGGTCTCGCAGGCACCAGACAGGTCCCAAGAATACTCCAAGATGCTTCTTCTGTGACCAACAACCTACCATTTGCTTCTGATACAATCAATACGTTCTCCGTGTTGCTCAAACCCTTGAAGGCATTCAACTCCATTGCCAGCATGATTGCGAATGTACAAACTATCTATGTCTCTTCTGTATGTGACTAACATTCGTGCGCAGGTCCATCCCTACGCGAAGGTGGCACTGAGTATCTTCACTTGCGCATCCAATGTAGGCCTCTTTCTTGATCATCGCCGTGGCAGGTTGACAAAGTTATGGTAACAGATGATTCTCGATCAAGCAGACCACGATGTTGCTGTTTCTCTTCTCCTCTCAAAGATATCTGAAGTCTATACATTTATCACGGAGGAGGACAAATTGGCCAAGATTCAGTCCATGCTAGCGATATATGGGAAGATAGCACAGCAGACGCTGGAGTGTGCTGATTTCATCAGCCATTACTCTGAGACGAAGAGCACCTGTGAGTCTATCCCACTGCTTCGTCCCCCAAGCTCAATGTTACTTGTTCGTATAGGGATAAGACTTGGCAAGCATGTTTTCGATGAAACGGACACCACAATCCAGAACTATAACAATGTCCTCAACAGTCTCATGCAGCAATTCCGAGACCGGGCGGCTCATGATACTGTTGTGATTGTCCACCATATGGGTATAAGTCAGTTTTCAGGTCTCTTTGCACCTCATCTGACATTCCATGATCCCTGGCATAGCTGAGAGTTTGGACCTCGTAGGCATGGAGTACGCAACAGGTGCAGGATTAAATATGTCTAAATGTTGTTTGCCAAATACTCAGCAAGACCTTCTGAAGGATATTCAGAACTGGATCAGTAGCACCGAGGAGGGTGCTCCGCACATCTTGTGGTTGTCTGGCACAGCAGGCAAGGGTAAATCAGCTGTCGCCCATACAATAGCCGACTGGTATGTCGAACACGGTGGTCTCAGCTCATGCTTCTGCTTCGACCGTACTCAGCAAGCGGATCACCATCAGGACAAAATATTCACGACCATCGCAAGCAAATTGGCGGACTGCAACCCTATCGTGCGGCGAGCCTTGGCGCAGGCAGTTCGTGATCACAATGGTCTCAAGTGGACTCCAGATATCACAAAACAATGGCAGAAACTCATCATCAGTCCCACAAGCATAGCCTCAAAAGCCATCGCTGCACCCGTCCTGATTGTCATTGAGGCATTGGATGAGAGTGGCGAAGCTAATTCCCGGGAACAGATTCTTCATCTACTCGCTGGCAAATTAAACACTTCTGCTCCACAACTATCTGAACTCCCAGCCAACTTCCGCATTCTCCTCACTTCTCGTCCCCTCGAAGACATTCACAACACTCTGCACGCTGCACCACATGTTCACCATATTTCCCTGGATGACATCTCGTCTGTGTCCACAGAACTCGACATTGAACTTTATATCTTCCACAGGCTAGAAGATCTGCGTCACATTTTCAATGATGCCCACTTCAAGGCGCTAGCTCTAAAATCTGATGGCCTGTTTGAATGGGCTCGTCTCGCCTCAGAATATATCAAGAGCATGGCATCGTGAGCCGAGGCCCGATGCACCGTTTCCACGACATTTCTGAAACATCTGTCAAAGGCATACATCTTCTGGATGAGATGTACCAACACATCTTGGCAGATATCATGCTAAAGCACATGCATGAGGAGGCGATTCCTATCTTTTGGTCCGTGATGGGTTAAATTCTTGCATCGTCAGAACCACTTTCCATCAATGTGTTCAATACGATGTGACGGTGTTTCCCATGTGATGATGACCACTACGATGTAAAGTTGCTGATGGGGCATCTTGGCTTGCTTGTCTCCGGCACCTCAGATTCTGATATTCCCATATGTCCCCTTCACACATCATTCTACGACTTCCTCACAGACAAATCACGGAGCCATGACTTCTTTGTTGATGCATCAGCGATGCATAGAGATATTGCCTTTGCCTCGCTTTGGGTCATGGACTCGGAGCGCAGGCTTCGCTTCAACATCTGCTCCTTAGAGAATTCGTACTTGCCCAACTCTTCCGTCCCTGATTTGGAGAAACGAGTCAAAGAATCCATTCCGGTTGAGCTATCATACTCATGTTGGTTTTGGGGGACTCATGTTGGCTCTACATCCTTCGAATCATCGCTCGCTAAGGAAGTCGAGGCTTTCTTCGATGGAGAGCGCCTTCTTTGGTGGTTGGAAGCACTGGCTCTGATGAGAAGTCTCAGTGGCTCGGCAGTGACCCTCTCATATATTGTGGATTGTTTTTCGGTGCGTAGCTCAAGCTCATTCTTTTCCCAACAAATTCTTACGAGTAGTGGGGTGGTTGTAGGGTCATGCTGAGTTTACGCATGTTGGTGACGCTATCAAGGACACCCTGCGTTTCGTCCGCACTTTCGCACCCACCATTATATGCAGCACTCCCCATTTATACCTGTCTGCTCTACCATTCGCTCCAATGCAGTTGAGAATATTTCGCAAGTTTGCCGCAAAGTTTCCTCACACCCCCTGCATTGTTGCTGGCCATGTCGAAAATTGGCCTCCAACAGAAAAGATAATCCACACAAATGACTGTGTTTGGTCGGTTGCAATGTCACCAGACAGAAAACACATTGCATGTGGTTTAACCGATGGAACGATCCAGGTGTGGGATATGGAGACTGGCGAGGCATTGTGTGCCCCTCTTCAAGGGCACACTGGCGTTGTTGCGTCTGTCGCATTCTCACTGGATGGACTTCACATCATTTCATGTTCGTACAACAATACAGTCCGGGTGTGGGATGTAGCAACTGGCAAGGCATTAGGTACCCTTCCAGGGCACACTGAACTTGGTTCGTTCCGTCGCAATCTCGCTGGATGGAAATCACATAGTATCGGGCTCAGATGACAAGACAATCAGAGTGTGGGATATGAAGACTAGCAAGCCAGTGGGGACCCCTCTCCTAGGCCACACTTTGTGCGTTAACACTGTTGCGGTCTCCCCAGATGGTCATCACATTGTCTCCAGTTCAGATGACAAAACAATCCGGGTGTGGGATATGAAGACTGGCCAGGGAGTGGGCACCCCTCTCCAGGGTCACACCAACCTTGTTTGGTCTGTTGCAATCTCGCCGGATGGGAAATGCATCGCATCTGGTTCACAAGACGGCACAATTCGGGTGTGGGATATAGAGACTGGTGAGGCATTGGGTGCCCCTCTCTTAGGGCACACAGGTTCTGTTCGATCTGTTGTATTCTTGCCGAATGAAAATTGTATCGTGTCTGGTTCAGGCGACCGGACGATCCGAGTGTGGGATGCGAAGACTGGCTTGGCATTAGGATCCCCTCTTCAAGGCCACAGCGACTGGATTCGATCTATCACAGTCTCGTCGGATGGAAGTCGCATAGTCTCTGGTTCAAACGACAAGACGATTCGGGTGTGGGATGCTGACACTATTACAGGCAAGGCATCAGTCACTACCTTTTAAAGCCACACTGGCTCCATTCACTGCATTGCAATCTTGCCAGATGGACATCACATCGTGTCCGGTTCAGCTGACAAGACAATTCGAATGTGGGATATAGAGACTGGCAAGGCATTAGTTGCCCCTCTCGAAGGGCACACTGAATCTGTTCAGTCAGTTGCAATCTCATCTGACGGGAAGTGCATTGTGTCTGGTTCAGCTGATAGAAGCATTCGGGTGTGGGATATTGGGACTGGCAAGGGTTTGGGGGCGCCTCTTCAAGGCCATACTGATGTGGTCAACTCTACTGCGATCTCACCGGATGGACATCACATCATTTCAGGTTCATGGGATGAAACAGTCCGGATGTGGGATGTAGCAACTGGCAATGCATCTGGTACTCCTATCAAAGATCACACTCACTGGGTTCAGTCCGTCGCAATCTCACCGGATGGAAATCACATAGTATCTGGTTCAGCTGACAAAACAATCAGGGTGTGGGATATGGAGAGTAGTGAGGCAGTGGGCAATCCTCTTGAAGGACATTCTGACTGGGTTCAGTCTGTCACAGTGTCACCATATGCAAAATATGTTGTGTCTGGTTCAGATGACACAACTGTCCGTGTGTGGGATATTAGGACTGGCAAGGCATTGGGTGCCCCTCTACAAGGGCCCACAGGCTTTGTTTGGTCTGTTGTATTCTTGAGCCCATTCAGTGAATTCACCCGTCTCAGACGGACAGCCCAGCTTGACAATGTACCTACAGAGACGGGCCATCTCATGTGGGCCCATGGCAACAATTGTACCATGATATATGAGTGGGCCGACTGAATGTATGTACCCGAGACAAACAGATGGGCCGGGGGTATATAATATAGACAGTAGTATAGGAATGTGCTAATATATAAGAAATTATGAATAGTGAATCCGGTTTACAATGGAGACGGGTGGGCCGGACGAATGTGTGTACCCAAGGCAAACAGATGGGCCAGGGGTATATAATATAGACAATAGTATAGGAATGTACTAGGATATAGGATATTATCAATAGTGAATCCAGTTTACAATGGAGACGGGTGGGCTGGACAAATGTGTGTACCCAAGGCAAACGGATGGGCCGGGTATATGAGTTGGCCTAGTGAACGGATGGGCCAAGGGAATATGTGCCAGTATATAGGACATCATGAATTGCGAATCTGGTTCACAATGGACACCAGTGGGTCCGGTTCATCTAGCATCAGGTAAATAAATGATCCGGTAGGTATATGATCCGGTAGGTATATTATCCGGTACACCGATAATCCATCTCAAGCCTATCGTCCGGTATATCTTGGATACACAAACTGGTCAATCTAGTACACCATCTGGTACAATCTACCATGGTATGAGACTGGCCTTACAAGTGTTCACAAACAGGTTATGCAAGTCAACTTTATAATTATGTAACAAACTGTCCTGTAAACATTGAAAGCACAACACGACGTTCACCGGTATAAACCATAAGTAAAAAAGAAAAAAAGAATGATGTATGCTACCATTACTTGGGCCCATTACCGGAAGTGTTCTTAGCATGCCTAGCACTCACTGACCGACCTTGTTGACGGGATTGAGGTGCAAATGACCAGTTGGGCAAAGGAGCTGAGATGGACTGACCATCTGCTGGCACATTTGATGGCCTGGTGATGAACGTGCGAAGAGTGCTAGTAGAGGGCATAGATTGCATTGGGACAGTGGAAGGTGGTACCGGAAGTGCACCAACCGGATGCATGGGTGGACCGGATTCCCCTGTGGTAGGCACAGGGTTGATGGTGGAGGTAGAGGTAGAGGTGGGTGCAGGTGACTGCTCGTGCCTTGTGACCGGTGAGGCATTGCCACCAGGGCGTGCATTGGTTGAAAACACATCCAGAGTAAAGACATTGTTGGTGACGGCGCGACCCAAGGCACTGATGGAGCCAAACTCAGGAAATATGGGGGTACCAGGGATGACAATGGGTGGTGGATTGAATGAGGGTGGAGTTGAGGCCATTGCTGCAGTGGTTCTTGAGTTGTCCCTGAGGTACCGGGCAGTGCCGCCCATCTGAATGGTCAAGTGATCCACCAGTCCCTTCTGGCTGTTCAATTGCTCTGTATAGTTAGCTTGCAGCCGGTCGATGCGATGAGACAGCTCATCATGAATCATGTCATCACGTGTGCGGAGCTGATCCATGTCGATCTGAATTTGGGCCAACATGGCTTGCATCTCCAAATCAGTTAAAGGACAGGGATGCCAGTGAGACTGAAGAGGTATCGAAGTAGTTGGAGGGGAGGGAGGTCTTTGAGTATGAGCCGGATAGATGGGCGAGTACCGGATGTCGTCCGGTGTGTCCATGAATGGTGCTGGAGGTAAGATGCTGTCATCCATGGGTTCGATCCACCGGTCCATAGAAAAATCGTCCACAGATACCGCAGGTACTTCATCTGGGGCAGTACTGGGAAGACCGGTGGTTGTGACTCCAGCGTCCATCTCAACATCGACATCCGGTTCCTCCGGGATGGGACTAGGATGCTGAGCGTTAATGTCTGGAAGAATCAATTAGTAGAAACACGAGCTGAAATAAGAGACTTGCCTTTTCGTTTAGACTGCTTACCGGTCTTGCTCTTTGCGGTGGTCTTTGATCAAGTGGCGATGGGTGTGACAGGCGGGGTAGGCATGGTGGTTGTACCGGTACCAGTTGCAGGCGTGTCTGGTTGCATCGGCCGGATGCATTTCATCCTCCATTTATTGCAAAGGGTGCAAGTATGGGCAACCTCACCCCTCTTGGTCACCCATCTCTCACATGGCAGTAGAGGCGCACCAATGGGTTTCTATGAAGAATCAGTATGGTACTACCGGATGACAAGTACCGGATGTCTTACCGGATGTGGACGCTTGGCCTTGCCCTTCACCTTGGGCTGGTCAGCTCCTGCGCCATATTTACTGGACTTGGACTATAATACAGGGTGATATGAGCTGTACTAACCACCTGTGATGATATTGAAACATACCGGTTCTTCTCCTTTGGCCGGCTTGACATTTGGCTACATCCGGATAAGTCGCCAACCGGTAGAGATACATCATATTTACCTTTCACTTGGATTGGGAGTCATCAGTGGGCTCCATTCGATCTTCGTCATCTTCCTCCAGTTCGTATTCCAAATCAGTCGCATCTGCTGTTGCAGGTGGCATCGGCCGTGTACTGATGACCACGACCAGTAATTTCTGTGAACATAAATATCGGCTGCTTTGAGATTGAAAAAATGAGCATACCTTTTTCATCATGTTGCGTGTTGAATTCCGGGTCTGAGTACTCTGAAATACATGAACGGAACAACTTACATTAACTTCCAGATCATGATCAACATCGATGGTCATTTGCTCAATGTCACTATCCGGTGACAGTGACCTTGCCTTTGCCTTTCCCTTTGCCTTTCACCTTACCATTCCCAATGCGGATCCCATCAGTGTCAGTATCGGTGTCAGTCAAGATCACCTTCGACTTCTGGGCAGCCTTCTGGGCCTTCTTGACCGGACGGGGGGGGCTGGCACTAAATTGCCATTTGTGAGGTTTGGATGGGCCCGGAATTGCAATGGAGTTGCTACCTCCAGGGATGCCGATTGTTGTACTGGGAGCCAGTAAAGTAGCGATTGAAGGAGGCAACAGGGAAGGTGGTGCAGGTGCTGGTACAGGTGCCGGTACCGGTACTGGTGCCAGTGCCAGTTGAGGTGCAGATCCAGTGGCTCCAGCAGTAGGGGTGGTAACATTGGGTGCCGGACCCAATGTCTTGGGGTATAAGGGATGACCCCGGCAGATGTCCTCATTGCTCCCAACTAGATTCCAATCCGGTACTTGCACCAAGCGCACGGTACCCCTCTGAGCCCGATGGATTTCGGCTGCCATTGACAGCAGGTGAAGGGGGATGTAGGTAGCCACTGTCTGGTAAGAACGGATTGCATCGTTCTTGGAGGGTATCAATACATACAATACATAAAAGAATGTGAAACATACCAATTGAGACGCAATGGTCCAGCTCAATCCCATTTTCTCCTCTTCTGACTGGGACCGCAGGACCTGTTCAACCAGCTGATTCAGCCTGTCAAGAAGAGCAATCAGCGCCTGGTTGGCAGTGGCAGCAGCAGCAGTTGTGGTAGTGGCGTTGGAAGGCATTGTAGCAGTAAGACAATCGTGGTGGCAGGTTAGCTTGAAGAAGAGATCCGGAAGGGAACAATGGATACTTGGGCAATTTGAAAATTACCAGATGTCCGGGTGATTTCGGAGATTGCTGAATACACGGTTCAAGAACCGGTTCTCTATTGGGAATAGTTTTTATTGTGATCGTGTGAATGCAATTGTTGCCATGTCATCATTACCTAATCAGTGTTATTAAAACTAACATTATCCGGCTGTGGTTGATTGAGACATTGGAGCCGAGGCACGAGCAGCACACTTCAACATGACTTCCAACCAGATGCCAGATCAACCAGGGCCAGAAGTGTTGGATATGGGGTTCCCCCACCTGTGTAATACTGACCGGTCATCACCTGTGGCACCCATATTGGAGTTGGATATGGGATTTCCACCTAGCTGTGAATTCAATTTCCAGCATTCGCCTGACCCGGCGAACAGCTCTTCAAACTTCCTGGCAGTGGATCATCCAGCCAGTAACTCAGGTATGTCTCGACTAAATATGTAATATATTGCATAACTCATCTTTGCAATTCAGTCAATGTAATTCCACCGAAAGACAGTCCTCTCGACATGGGTTTCGACGCACTTCTGGTTCAACATGAGCATCCGGACCAGATGCCTTTGGATATGGGCTTTGGCATCAATCTGGTTGATTATGTACCCGATCGGTCAGGTCAGTCTTATCATTGTGATGGTGTCCACTCTTAAATATGAATTTAGTCGATATTGAACCGGAAGACAGGCCTTTGGACATGGGCTTTGGTATCCATCTGGTTCATAATTTTCCAGATCAGTCATGTAAGTCACTTCATTATTTGGTCGCACTGTTAAATGTAAATTCAGTGGATATTGGACCTGACAATATGCATTTGGACATGGGATTTGAGACACCGGATCCGGTATATCTTTCGCCGGATCAGTCCTGTAGGTCATTCCATGCAATATCACATTGTTAATTACTAAAATTCAGTCAGTGGGTCAACTGGAACCCATTGGATTTGTCATTCAGCGCGCTGTAGGAGATTTGCGCTTGGCGACACACTGGTTGGAGATGCAAAGGGCCCATGGCACAATGTCACTGGAAGAAGCGTCTGTCAGCCAGGAAGTTCTTCAGTCCACCAATGAGTTGTTGTTGGCATTTCAACTGATATCAATATACCGACTGTCGACATGATATATATGTAAGGTCCATACTCTCCACCCTTTGTATAGTACATTCAAGGAATCACAATGATTACACCCTTTGCATGTAATTCACTTTATAAGACACCTTTGCAGTTCTAGTAGACCGCTTCGGCTCCGTATTGTCAACTTGAGCTCCATGTCTTTTGGTTTTCTTGTCAGTGGCCTGTGTGGTGGACAGAGCGGTTAGTTTGGGTGCAGGTATCTTGTGACTCATCGCCTTCAACCGGACAGCTGATGCAGGACAGACTAAGCGACTTCCGCAGGTATTGTTTAAAGGTAGTCGTGCTGTAGGATGGTTACTGGATGATTCTACTAAAGGAGTGCCAGCGTTGTCCCCCAGTGGTCTGTTGCTCCTAGTTGCATTTGTTTTAGATCTCTTGACCGGTGTAGCACTCGAGCTCACGCTAGGCTCGTATTCACTGATTTCCCGATATACGTTCAATGCCTGTCACTATCTGATGTAACCCGCACAACCCGACGCAAACCCGACACTTTGACTAGCGGACCTGATGTTTCAGCCGCATCGGACCCGATATTTTCCCGCGCACTTGTCCTATCCATGTCCCGTCCCGTCTTGCTAGCCCCACTAGGTGCGTAGTTGATTATTTCACACATTACTCACGTTGTAGCCAGCGCTATTACATGTTTTCCCATCATCCGCAGCGCCTCGTGTTTATTTACATGTACTTCGGACCCGAAATCGTCGGCCGCTACTTTCACCTACGGCCTTCCGGATTTCTATGTACTTATATATATATTGGACTGACTACGAGTATTTTCATTATCCAAGTAGTAGGGAGCCATTCCCCGATACTTAGTGGTCAAACCCGATATTTCATAGTTCTTAGTTGACATTGCGAATATTACCGCTCTTTCTATCCAAAATACCCATTGTTATCATATATCCACATACTGCTCGCTTTCCCAACATTTGCTGATGCCATTCCTGCTAACCTGCTAAACCCGAACCTGAAACCCGCTAACCTGAAACCTGAAAACATCGGACCTGACACTTTGGCATTGGACATCGTAGATATACCTTCGGACTTTGTTTCCCACGCTCGGACTTTTGACTGTTTTATCATTTCACTAACTACAGGCCAATCCAATAGCTAACCCCTCGGGTCAAACGCACTTGTCTTGCAAGTAAAGCAGACTAGGCTGTGCACGACCACAACATTTTTATATTGCTGGCTACTTACTTCGTGTAGTGTCCAGCAATTGTTGTATCTCTACACCAGTGGGCAGGAATCTTCCTCTGATTGAGATCAGACAGCTCTGCCCCGCTTTCCGGTCGATTTCAGCTTGGATGCCAGTGATCGGACTTCATCATCTTCATCCTTATCCTCATCCTCACTACTCGACTCCTGTTCCACCCGTCCGGTTGGCTTCCCAGATGACTTTCTGGTCGACTTGGCAGAAGGTTGTTTAACAGGAACAGATCGGACAGCTCTTCCCCACTTTCTGGTTGATTTCAGCTTGGAAGGCGGTGATTGGACTTCATCGTCTTCATCCTTATCCTCATCCTCATCACTCGACTCCTGTTCCACCCTTTCGGTTGGCTTCCTGGATGACTTTCTGGTTGGCTTGCCGGTTGGTTTCTTAACCGGGACCCTGGTCCTTGCTGTCGCTAGACTGCATATAGTGCTAGAGTCGTACCCTGTGATCTTGTCCATTGGTTCTCTCATCTCCTTGTCATGGTCTTGCCAGCCTTTGAATTCAAATGTTGGCCAAACCTTGTCCTTTTGTCGCTGATGCCAGAACTCTAAGAGCCGGTCGGCTTCATGGAACTGAAGCTTCGATGGGTCCTTGATTTTCCTGCCGGTAGGTGAAAACTTGGCCTCGATAAAATCTTCCTGAGCCTCTGTCACTGCAGACCAAGGAACAGACGCCTTTGGCTTTTGACTGCAAAACCCTGCAAAATATGTAGTTGCTTTATCAACTCTCCGGATATTTGATTTGTAACACTTACTGTAGTGTTTTGTGAGGAATGTCTGGATAAGAGACTTTTTGTCCTCTAGGTTAAGTGGCTTAATATCCGGTATGACCGGAAGCCCATAGGTATCCACCTCCAAAGCAAATTCCTCCTTCTTTCTCCTTTGGTTTCTGCTTGCCTTTCCCTCCCCGTCCTCATTGCCATCCTCATCATCATTCCGGTCAACTGCTGGTATTACGACATGGTGTAAGTACTTGACCGGATCAATCAACATTACACAAAAAAGAACCTCACCGAACTCTTCTCCAACATAGGCATTGTTACGCTGACTGTTGGTCGGCGTGTGCGAACTAGGATAGGTCTTCTCAGCGACGACTCGAGTGAGTCTACTGAAGCTGAGCGTGGTCTGGCCTTGACGGAACGTCAAGGATTCCTCCGGCGATCTCGGTAAGACGGCGCTCGTCGAGATGCAGGGCTAGCGGATACGTGCTAAGTCGTATGGGGGCGACTTAGAAGTGCGGTCTCCCACAAGGAAGCTGGTAAGCTTAGATGAGCAAGTTCTGGGGATGAACCTAGTAGATTAAAGTAAAGTCTAAGTACAATAATCTGTGTCTACTTATAGGGAAGTACTACAAGTATTCTCGCTCAGTCTGTAATCAATAGTATATCGTACATCTATGATAACCAGACATGAGGTTCAGATAAGATACATGAGGCTTAACCTCTGATCAAGCATGCTGCACCAAGGGCAGCTGCGCATAGGTACAGGAAGCGCCAAGCGCGCTCCGGATCTTCATGAAGCGACATGCTGTATACATGCGCTGATCTAGGGCGTCCATGAGGCGTCCATGAGGCGTACAGCCTCCATGGAACAGGTACAAGGCTGTCTAGGCCAGGGGCGGGGTCATAGCGCCAGGGGGCGGGGTCATAGCGGTCCAGACCGCTGTCTTTCTAGGCGCAGGCGTCACACCGCCGCGTGGGGAGTCTAGCAGAGCGGGGGCAGGCGTAGGGAGAGCTGGGGCTCTAGTAGGTGTTACAGATCCCTGTAACAGGCATTCCACTCCGGTAACATGGCCTTCCAGTCTTTTGTATCTGTGAAACTACTGCCCTCCAACTTTTCATTGAAGTCAATTCTTATGACCGGATCAGGCCATCTTTACCAGTCGAGAGAATGAAAATGTCACTCACCCATTGATCCTCACTTCGCCTTCCTCAGTTTTCCATGCCGACAATATGAATATCCTCATACCAGCCTGCCTCCATAACTGAGTTGCAAGATCCTTCATCATACCAGGAGTGTTCTTCTGAGCGAACTCAACTTGGACATCTGTAGGAGGAGCCTTGCTAGACCATTCTATCGCCGTCTTATTTGCTTCCTCCAGCTGCTCTTCAGATAAACCGCCCATAATTGCATTGACCGCACCCTGGTAGTTTTTAATCATTTCCTTCCCTCCTGGCCTTGCTCCAGTCTTTTCAAGGATCTCCTTCTTGCACTGGTGTTCTATCACCAACCGGGCAGTCCATTTCTTACCGAACTTGCTTTGTTTTTTGATGGTCTTTTCAGCTCTCCGGTTATATAACCAGTCCCGGTACATCTTAATACATCATGAGCATTTATACAATTAGAGGATCAGCTGCTCACAGATTTCCTTTTCTTCAAAAGCCAGGCATCCATCTTAGGGGCTTGCATCTTGGCCTCTTTTATGACCGCCCTCAGAATCGTTTTCCTATCCTTACTGGTTGCTTCCTTCCATTCTTCTAGGTGAGATTGTAAGACCACCAGCTCTTCCTCAGTCAATTTCTGCTTGGTCTTTTCAGGGCTGTGTACTGATGAGTTGGATCGGGCCATTGCAAAGCAGTTGAGGTCTTGGTAGAAGAAAGGATACAGTATAAGGTCACATAGCTGATTGCCACCATGTATCCGACAGTAAACCGAACAAGAGATTGTCTGCCAGCATGATACTCTCAGGCTCAACATGCCCTGTGTTTCCGGTTCATAGAATTTAGAACTGTGAAACATACAAACATACACCAAGTTCATCATATAGTATACAGGCAGCATACAGTCATACTCTCAGATATGTCATACAGCACAGGGAGACACATTGATACCAGATGACATCCATGGGAATTGTGATGATGGCAGGATTACCATGTGTTTGATTAACCGATGTAGAGACTCGCGCCTCTCAATGCGGAATATACGGCCCTATTACCCACATAATTCCCTACACGTTCCAGCTCTTATCCGAAGGATCAGTCATACACGCTCTCACGCGCGCGCCCTACGTACGCGCCTCGTTCGCGCGCCTTACACGCACTCGCGCCTTTCACGCACGCTCGTGCGCCTCCCCTTAGGCCTTTGTACCCTTGTCCGTCCGTCCGTCCATCCTATGTCCTTGCTGATTTACTGGTGCGTTATTCTTATCCCTTTCACTGAATTGACGTACCTTCGGTCCGATCTCCGCGCTTACATACAGAAAGTCTATCATAGGCTTTAGAATATATTTAGAGTTGATATGGTTACTCGGTTCGGTACCACGCTCGGAAGCGCGCCGCATAGCGTAATCTCCCTTCTTAAATAGAGGGAAAGTTCCTTTTAACTTACTTCCTTCCCTTCTCCCTTATCTGAGTATACTGCAAATTGTATAAGTGCACCTTAGTACTTGAAATCCGATTATACTTCACTATTCTACCATCGCTCGCGCATCTGCTATACTTGAACACTCTCCCCCATCGCTCAAAAGCATGCTTCCGCATACGCGCGCACCCCTCGCATCTTTCGCTCGCGCGCGCCCTTTGCGCGCCTTCGCATTGCTTACTCACGCCTACGCGCACATTATCTTCTCGCGCCTACGCGCACATTATCTTCTCGCGCCTTCGCGCGCCTGTTACCACCCGTCTAGTTGGCGAAGACTCCCTCTATTACATTAAAGAGGAACTTCTCTCAGTAGCTGTCCTTTGGGTCGAGTCGTATTCTCGTATCCTGGTCTTACTGTAGAACCCCCGTTAGCTTTAGCGTTTCACCTATAGTCAAGATTCCTCACCTTCACCGACTTCTAAATGATGAAACTTATGGCAATCTCAGTTGCTCTGACCTTAATATATCCTAAATGGAGATGAGGTTCTGAGATTTCTGATGCCCTGAGTTACCTCAATGACAAACAGGAACAGAAAATGTGGTAATCCGGTGATTCAAATCACTCAATCCGGAGTTGAAGGAAAGCACAATGTGAAGTCATATGCACTGCCAATCATCAAGCTTGAGTACACTCCCCAGCCCAACAATCCTTTTAGGTGGTGGTATCAATCATGGCAAATACTAAACAAAAGGGAATCACATACACTCCTCCAATGAGGAAACAATTGCCTCAGCTATATAAACTCCAGGAGAAAACTACTTCCAGAGGATCCAGGTCATCTTGGGTGAAAGATTCATGGTCCCTGAAAACAAAGTCAGTGACATCATCACCAACAAAATCTCCCTCAAAACAAATAGCTGGGTTCTCTCAGATGCTCCATGAGGGCGCTGACATTGACTTTGACCAAGGAGACATCCCTCAGCCTAAATTACCAAAATCTCTGGCAAGCAGAAGTCCTTCTTATTTCTGCAGTCTGCATCTGACCAGATCACACAGAGTCAGAATGAATATCTCTGGCAATGGAACCGCAAGTTCAAGGACTACATAAACCTACTGATGGTCAGAGAAGCCCCTCCTCTGGACTGGCTTTGTGCAGTTTGCAAGAAGGATGGGGTTTATAAATGCCATGGCTGTTTCAATGAGCCCCTGTTTTGCACAGACTGCTGCAGAACCCAGCATCAAAGGCATCCTTTCCATCGCATCAGTCAATGGACCGGATCATTTTTTCAAGAAACTTCACTCATTAAAGTCGGCCTGCACATTCACCTTGCTCATGATGGCACTCCATGTCCCAGCAGCACTGAATACACATCCGACCTCTTTGATTGGTCAGATACCGATGAAAATATAGACTATGATGATTATCCGGAGGGAGCTTCCATTCCACTTGTTGCAGACTCAGATCATCCGGCTACAATCATAGTAGACAAATCCGGTGTTCACTCCCTATCCATATGGTATTGCCACTGCTCCGGTGCTCTCAACCGGGATATGCAGCTCTTTGAGGCAGGCTTGTTTCTGGCATCTTTCACCAGACCAAAAACTGCATTCACATTCTCTGTCTTGGACGATTTTCTGCTAGACAACCTTGAATGTGGTACATCAGCCATGAATTACTACAGTAAGATCCGGAGGCTAACCTCAAGCATATTTCCATTGATGGTTCCGGTAAGTCAATTTTCATTTTCTGTACTGACCATCCGGTCATTAAACAACAATATTTGCAGGATCGCTACAGAGAGCTCATTAGAACTGCCAGACAGTGGCGCCAATGCAAGCTTTACAAGTGGCATGGGTTTGCCCACAAAGATGATGAGCCAAAGGCCGGTGATCTCGCTCTATTTTGTCCTGCATGTCCTCAACCAGGGATAAATTTGGACCTGTCAACTGGTACAGCCACTCAGCCTGACAACACCCCTTTCTGGCTCTTCACCAGGACTTTAGTCATGGATGGTAATTTTAAAGCCGAGCACCTCCATCCGGTGAATCCATCCGACGAAGTATCATTGATGGATGGTCTTGCATTCATGGTCGGAGATGAGAGATACAAGAGTCATTTGTCTGTTGCCCAAGACCGTGTCCAAAAGTCAGATTGCAACAATCACCATGCAGTCAATCAAGCAAATGCCTCCCGGCAAAAGCTGGAGGCCACTGGGATAGGAGGATGTGCATGTGCACGGCATGGATGTTTTGTCCCACATTCCATGGTGGATTTTCAGAAAGGTGAAAGGTGAATACACATTGCATCCGGTTACATGCATTTACAGTCTTACTGATCTCACCCACAATAATCAGGCAGATGAACATGGACTATGCCTTGAGTCAAGCACTCAACTACAATACAGATGGAATCTCATGCGTGATAACGTTCTATGACATAAATTGTCAGTATAATAAGTTTCTCAAGGACTGGATCACATCCAGCATGTATCTTTCGATCCCCATGGGCATGAATATCATTCCCGGAATAGGTTTGTGGCATGTACATGGGCATCAGGACAGCTGCTATGTCCAGTATGCATCAAATTTTATGGGCAGGATAGACGGAGAGATCATGGAAACACTCTGGGCATCCTTGAACATAATCTCTCCATCGGCCAGGGGCATGGGAACTCCGCATCGCAAGGAGGTATTGGATTATCAGATGAATGATTCCAACTTCATGAAAATGATTCGCATAAGTGAGTTGGCAACCTCCGGATGCACAAATATGTTCCGGTCTCATATGATTCATTGCTGGCTCACTTGCCCTGCAGCTAAGTTTCTGTGCAGAAAGTTCAAGGAGGCTGCCAGGGGTGCTGAAGAGAGCAAACTCTCATTCCAAAATCTTAATGAGACAGCTCACCCCGACATGGTCCTTCTTTGGGAAGTAGAGGAGGCACTTGCTCAGGCGAACAGACTGGAGGATCCAACAGCCATGGACATTTATGAGGTCCGGTTGGAAAAGGGCAAGTGTCAAATTCTACTAATATTCATCCGGGCCGGATCACATTCTGATTATTATCCGGATGTCATTTATCTACAGCTCCAACTAGAAAGCAGCAGGAGTTGCGCCTGCTGGAGGCTCAAAACTGTCCTGATCATTTGGTCACCAATTCCCTCAGTCGAAGAGGAGCCGCCACTTGGCTAGCAACTAATCTCACCATAGAAGAATCCCAAATCTCTCTATCCAGAGATGTGAAAAGGCTCGGAAGGCATCCTACAGATATTCAATTGCTGAGAGTAGCCCAACTCAGGGATAAGCTACAAACTCATATTACAAGCTTTCTCGAGATGGCACCCACTTATCTTGGATTTGGAGTTGATGTCGATGAACCAGATCCTCCGGTAGATAGGGTTCATAATTCGCTCGACGATTATTCCGATCTTGATGATTGTGATCACAATCCGGTGAAGGTTCAACGATACAGCGAGGCACGAACAATGCTCCTGACTGTATCTATAATTGTTGTAAGGTCGTGCATTGCCTAGTCTGCTATACTTGAGACGACAAGTGCGTTCAACCCTAAAGGGGAAGCGAGTGCAGCAAGGATCTAGAGGTATGCGCTGAAAGCGCTACTGGTTGGCCAATGCGAAGCGCGGGAAAGCGCAGGTGCGCGCGAGGCGCGAGAATGCGCGCGTGTATGGCGCGAAGCGCGGGAAAGCGTGCGCGTGTATACAGATACGAGAGAGAGTAAGAGTGAGTTTGCTTAAGTGATGATATGATGTAAGACAAGAGAAGAGAGATGCGAGGTGTAAACAAATAGATTTCTACTATGTTCTGCTAGGTAAATAGTGGGTAGTAACCAGTAAGTCCTCTGTCGTTCTGGTGGGAGAGTAAGTCAGTAAGTAAGTATGTACTGCTGGCGCTTAAGTATGGCGCCTAAGCGCTGTCATGTGGAGCTGAAGCGCTACCGAGTAAGGTATGTAAAGATATATGTAAGTAAGGGTCCATGATAAAAATAAAGATGGAATGATATGCAAATGTGAGAAATGGAAATATACGCACTAGGGAACTTGGTGGACAGTGGATGGATGCTTCTGGATGGCTGGCGCTATAGGGCGCTACAGCGCGGGAAAGCGCGCGCGCATATACATCGTGAAGCGCGGGAAAGGTACGCGCGCATGGCGCGTGTTGTGCGGGAAAGCTGCGCCTCATATAGAGATAGCTGCAGGTAGCACACAGAGTGATGCTACAAGTTCGTGCCATGTACTCCCCAGTGAAAACTGCCATATTGCACAATGAGAGGCATGAGTCTCTACACCGGATCTGGAACCAAATCATACCTCCCTATTTCAACTGGAGCTTACAATCATACCTTTGCCTTCCAACCTTGGAATAGACAAATGCAATGCATTGGATGTCACCGATCTCATGAAAGAAGAAACTGCCCTCCGTGAAGGCCAGGCCAATGACGCCCTTCATGCAATTAGAGTTCATTTGGGAGATAAAGCGGTTATATTCTGGAATACTGTCCGATCAGCTAAGTCACAGGCCTCCTCCACCAGGGCATGGACTCAAGTTCACTCAGTGGAAGCAGCAGTAAATCTCAATGCCAGGATATATTCAAAATGCTGGTTGCAGCTAGCCAAACTCCCTGATCATGACCTCCTGAAGAAATATCTTCCACTAAAGAAAGAACACCTGAAAGCCAGCGCTGCAGTGGCAGATCCAAATGTGCGTGGTCAGAGGGACGCTACTCTCGCATGGTTCTGGTCCATTGATGTTCAGGGTGATACATCCGGAAATGACTGGATGACAGAATGTGAGTGTCCACCACATCCGGTGATATTGGGTCGTCTGGTCTCACATGCTCTGACAATAGTTTATCGGGTAAATTGGCTCCGGACAAAGGCACTGTGTGATCGTTGGAATGAAGAGGTTGTTCTTGTTAAACAAGAGATGCAGTGGTCGGTCAATTTCTTTAATCACAAGGCCAAGCAATGGTGCGGTCGCAGGGACAATGCCGCTTCCACTGGGAGGACCAGACATGCATGTTATGCTGCCCGACAATGTCACATATATGAAGAACTAGCTGCACATGCAGCGGATTCCTTTCAGAAAATTATTCCGGTCATTCAGCTGGAAGTACCGGTTGTCAGTTAGTTCGGAGTACCGGTTGGATAGTTCCCAGGTTAGCTAATATGTAATTATGTGAAATGTGTGCAAACAATCACACTTTCCCATTCTCTGACAACAACATCATCCTCATTCGCTCTCCATGAACATCACCGGAACTCTGGTTGCCTCTGACCAAGTCATTGTGGTCTACTCAGATGGTCAGATCACCGCTGGAGAGATTTCTCGTGCTTTATTCTATGCCAATTCTCGCTTGTTGGCCATGCGCCTGTATGTTGGCAAGAGCTTTGCCACTGCGATGCCGGGATATGCAGAAAAATTCTACAGACTCATGAAATGGGAAATGGAGGTAAGCATCCAGTTCTCCAGTTCTCCGGTTCTCCGGTAGTCTGGTCATCCTCATCTTCCCTTGCACTCAAATATCGTCACCTGTCATATAGACCTTTGTCACTCCTTTCATCAACATATCCTTCCTCAGCAAGTGCTCCGCTGTCATTCCAAAACCTCTTCAAGATGTGATAGCAATCATGGTGGTACAGACATTGGTGGACCGGCAACCAGATGTGAATGAGGTTCTCAGTGACATCAAAGCATTGGCTCTCTCTGTGGATTCCATCACATCTGATCAATATGACATTGCTCATATGCCAGACTACTTCAATGCCTGGTGGAAGGAAAACCTGGGCTCTTGCAGGGTGTCAGACATGTTGCCAAAGTCATCCGTCCAAGATGTGATGGAGTTGGTGAAGGGCCATTTTTCAGAACTTGTGAGTCCATGAGATCTTCACCTCCTAAACCATATCCTCACTAAATCTGACATCTAACACCATAATAGCCTGATCATGTGGAAACCGGCCTCCTTCCATATATGCTCACAGTTGGCCCAGTTGTTCACCCGGAGATGATCGGATCGGCATCTCTTGAGCAGTGCCGGCAGACAACAATTGGTAGAGAGCTGTTGGACATATTGCATGGAAGGATGACGAACTTTTTACGTTCAAGTGATAGGTTGTGTTACAAGTAACATCGGTCATGTGGCCCCCCTATCATTTTCCCTTCATCCTCGCCCTCACCATCTACCGGCTCGTCCTCCTTTACCGACTTTCCGTTGACCGGATCCTCGGGACCGTTCCCGTCCCTCACATCGCCCACCTCTATGCACGTGCATGCACGTTCCTCCCCTGATTCGACCACCAATGTGGTCCCACACCTATGACTCGGTCTGACTCGTGCCACCAATGTGGCTTTCCTCTTTCTGTTCCTTCTGACTGCGGATTCCCACACGTTGTATTCTTACCATTGGTCCGTTCCAACGTTTCTCGGTCTCATTCCATATTCGACCACCCATCACTAATCCGGCTCTGTTGCCAACGCACCTATACCATTCTCGTTTCCCCCTTTACCCTTACCTACTGTGCGGTAGCCTTGCCCTTAACCCTCTCCACCTAGTATAAGTAGTCAGTCACCCTGTACTAGATTCTCCAACTTGAATCTACTCAATCTTCCCTGGAACATACTTCCCTCTGAACGCCCCTTTGGCTTCAGTCTCTAGTATCTTTTCTTAGTTGCTCATCGCGACTAAGTCTACCTCAATCGAGCTCATCGTTCGGACAAGATAGTCCTTATGTGAGCGACTTCATAGACATCTGTCTTAGAAGTCACGTGACACGCGCGTACTGTGATCACTGCCGACTCATCGTCGCCAGTATCACTTGCTATACCGGATCCTTCCGGTTACGTCACGAACGTTAGCGGACGACGCCCCTCTTAGGGCTCCGCCTAACAGATCTATTTGAGTGCGTAACAGGTTGGCCAGATTAGTTGGGCCTGTTGATGAACTTACTAGGGCTGTGGCGTCCTCACAATCACTCATGGACCGGTTGAATTCAGGTGACAGTGCATCCGTACGGTCAAGCACAATTTGACGTCCGGAAGCATCCAGTAAATATGTCATACCACGTATTATATTCAACTGCAATGTAAATGTGTGCAGATTTCCAAAGATGAAATCTGATCATGTGCATGTGATGCTGATTCCGACTCATCCTTATCCGGTTATGGATGGATCAAACCGGTTGTCTTTTCTTTCCTTATACATTAACCGCTCATTTATTTCCTCGACACATGACAACAATCCCACTGGACTGGGCATTATACCAGACCTACCTTGCCGGTGAACTGGTTTATGACACCTTCATGTCCAAAATTCATCAACAACCAGTTCACCCAATGGGAGTTGGACTGTTGGATATCGACACCTGTATTGCTTTGGAGCAGCTTGCCAATGTCTTGGCTGTCGCTTACCAGAATCCTGGTATGCATTCCAGCATAAATATTTGTTCCAGTTCATTAACTTGCAGACAGTTCATCTGAAAATTGACATGGTTAGATACAATGAATGCCTGGAGAAACATGAATCCAGTCGAAGCCAAAAACAAGAGCAGACTCTTTTGGACAAGTTCCCTCCTGAAGAGGAGCGTGTCTTGACAACACCTAGTGTCATCATTGATTCCGGAGGCAGAATTATTGCCTGGTATTTGCCTGAAGCAATGACCGGCATGATAATGGTATGTCTTCTATCCACATCTGTTTCTTATTTCATCTCATCTGGATGTATATGACAATTTCACAGACGGATATGCACTGTGCCACAAATTCCATGGGCAATTTGTTGAACAATAGCATCACAACCGGCAAGCCTACTGCATGGAGGACCCATGCGTCCAATTTCTATCCAAGTCTGAATAGGAAGATCACCCCCGGTTGCATCAATATATCACCAGCATGGTTTCAGCAAGGAAGAGAGGTATGTCCGGTTCATATGAATTGAGGTTGCTGGTCTGAAGTATTGTAGAAACATGGTTTCCCCAATCTTGATCCGGAAGATGGCTTTTCACCTGAAGTATCAGCGTCATTGAAAGGTGATGTTGGTAGCAATATCACGACCTCCCTTCAAAGATCTGGTATCCTTGTCTCTGCTGCACTTCGGGTGATGCACCCAGATCTTTATCGGGCTGGACTCAAAACCCAAGTCAGGCTGGGCAAATGGGCGACCCGGTATCAGTTACATGACATGTGCCATCATCTAAAATGTTGGACGTCGGTCTTCAATGTGGTATCGGTCATTTGCAACCGCCGGTCACCACCTCATAGAGATCCAAAATGTCGACTGGAGGCATTTGATATCATGACAACTGCAGGTATTTATCACCCGGTCATAATGGATTTCATGAATCTTGGAATTAAGTTCCTATATGACTCCGGGTCAATGTTGGCTTCATCATGTCGCCTTGTGAGACATCACATGCATGTGGAAGAGGGCAGCCGGATTGTTACTGCATGGTACATGCAAGATAGTATCCATAATTTTGTTGGAACTCCAAGGACAGACTATGCAAAATATGGCACTGTGAAATGCAGCCACCCGGTTGCCAAAAATGATGCTTAGACAAGTGATTATAAATGTAAACCCATACATATTTTGGATGTACTGGTCACTTTATCAGGCATCTATTCATGTGCCGGAGTCCGGTACATGAGTGGTATACACATATATGGGCTGGGAAAATGTATTTTGGTCTACCCCAATTGATATTCACTCATGGTTGATTTACCGGACGATAGGCTCGTAAGATCATAGTTGTACCGGATACTACACCTACCGGATCACAGATTTACCTGATGCTAGATGTACTGGATGATAAGCTTGTAACCCTGGCACATCCTTTGGCCCTGGGTACACCCATTCTTCCGGCTCATTTGTCCCCAATATAAACAGGATTCACCATTGATGATGGCCTATATACTGGTACTTCCGGCCCCCTTGTCTCTATTTCAAACCGGATTCCCCATTTATAGTGTCCCATATACTAGTACATTCCTATACCATTGTCTATACTACATACTCCCGGCCCATCCATTTGCCTCGGGTACACACATTCACTTGGCCCATTCGTCTCTATTGTACACCAGATTCACCATTCATAGTGTCCTATATGCTAGTACATTCCTATACCATTGTCTATACTACATACCCCCAGCCCATCCGTTTGCCTTGGGTACACACATTCACTCGGCCCACTCATCTCTATTGTAAACCAGATTCACCATTCATAATATCCTATATTCCTAGTACATTCCTATACTATTGTCTATATTATATACCCCCAGCCCATCTGTTTGCCTCGGGTACGCACATTTACTAGGCCCACTCATATACCCGGCCCATCTGTTTGCCTTGGGTACACACATTCGTCTGGCCCACTCGTCTCTATTGTAAACCAGATTCACCATTCATAATGTCCTATATATTAGCACATTCCTATACTACTGTCTATATTATATACCCCCGGCCCATCTGTTTGTCTCGGGTACATACATTCAGTCGGCCTACTCATATATCATGGTACAATTGTTGCCATGGGCCCACATGGGATGGCCCGTCTCTATAGGTACATTGTCAAGCTGGGCTGTCCATCTGAGATGGGTATAAGTTCACCTCAGGCAGCAGTTTTCATTACTATTAAAGGTCTGTCAGACCCTATGTTTATGTTAGGATTATATGGTCTAAGAGACCCAGCCTCACTGATGTTCTAATTATAGCACGCCTTCCTTCCTCCAGAATTCTCCCGCAGTGCCTCCCTCAAGCCTCGTAGCCCTCTCCTGACCCTCTGGATATTTCGTACATCATCTACGATGCCTCACCGACCTCGCCAGCATCCCCGGAACCCCGTCCCAGGACTACCTATGGTAATCTTTAAGGCTACAAACCTGATTCACTATTGACATCACTACTTAATGGTACTTAGCGCTCATCCTGTCTCTCCACCACAACAGCTCCCAGCTTATACTCAACACACTTGTACTGCGACAATTTGTACTGTTGTTCACTTTGTTATTCTTGCCTTCGTTCTGCCTCATGTCGCTCATATCTTCAATCGTTTTTACCTAGGATTGGTATAGTTGGTTTGGGTGCATATATCCAGTTTTTATTCCCTACTAACTGATGCCCCCGTCATTTCAGTCTCACACCACCTCGAGTCCCAAGTCCTTGTGCTCGAACATCCATCACTCATCCGTCATTCTGCTCACAAGGTTACCTTCCACCTTCCAACGCTATTCAGCTACGACGTGGCTGATTGAAGTGCTACATGTGGACTTCTTTGAGTGCAAGGATATGATATTAGAGGGTTTGGGTATGTATTTCATCACATTTGTATCATTTTCCTCCACTGAAACATGCACACCTTGTCATGCCACACCCTCCGACACCACCAATGCACCACCTGCGCCCTTTCAGCCCTCCATAGCCCCCCAGCACCTTCATATCACCCCATCCCACCATCCAACATGCCTACCCCCAAGATTCCCTTCCAGTCCAATCTACATCCTTTCGTTACCCAATCGCACACTCGTTCGGTCTATCTACCCTCCCTGTATGTTACTGCACCCTCCTGCAAGCAACCTTATCTTAACTCACCAAACTGTCTCCAGGTAACGCCTCGAGGGTATCTTGATGCTTCTTTACTTTCCAAGGGATCGTGAGTGTCTCCTTGCGCATGATACCCACCACTCATTCTTGATTGTCACTTTGACTTTGGGCCTCATCGCATCGCTCCTCCACAACTCCAGTGTAATACCGAGTTGACTTTGGATGGCCTTCAACACCTGAAAGAAACGGAAGGCATCCACCATGCAATCTGTGATATGTCATCACTATCTACAATCTCGTACTTTTGACATTTACGTTCAAGAGCGTGGATGTATGTAAGGCTGCTAGGATTTTGGAGTTGAATTTGAAGAGGTATCTGAATGGTGCGTGTGTGTGTCGTGTTGGTTGTGTTCTGACGTGCAATCTTTTACTGTTTGATATCCCTTCACTCCCATCCACCCACAATGTCTCCTTCCTCTTTGGCGCAGGTAGACTGGCCCTTGTCTGTTCTCAACCCACCAAAGCGCTCGACTACTACGTGCGTGCGGCATAAGAGTTCTGTCATCAGTCCGATAGGTTCTTCATACCCTCGAGCACCGTCCAATCGTGCCATCTACGAAATGTGTGAGTCCGCATCACCACTCCTCATAGATTTGTCAAGGTTCAAACCTCTCATACCAGAGAGATACATTACTCTCGTTTTATTTTCCGATAGCTCAACATTTCAGTGAGTTGCTCGAGACGACATGTCAAGCGGTAATGTCCTCTCTTATTAAATGTCTTGCATCTCCTTCATTGTGCCCATAGACGACCTCCACGTAAGCACCCTCACTCAGCTGTAACCCTCAAACTCCCACAACTGGAGAAAGGCTTAATTTTCCCTTCTCGAGTGCAAAGTCAAGGAACTTGAGGAATAGACTGGGTGCCTCCCTGCTTCCCCGAACAACTTGAACGGGAACGTGAAAACCTGGAGTTGCACGAAAGCATCCAAACACTCAAGAAGGCGCCAATCACAAGTATATCTACTTCCCCAGAGACTTCTAGCTCGACCACAAGTCATCTGAGCATAGATGGAACATGCCATTTGTTGACCGTATATCTGTGCGGTACTCTTATTGTACTCATGTACTTAGAAATAAGTAACTTTGACAATGATTTATACCTGCGCCAATCCCTACTAGTAGCTGAAATATTACAGTATGTGAACATTCTCTACTACAGTTGTTGTATGTGACAGAAAGCCGGACAGCGAAGAAATTGAAGCAGATAGTAATGTTGCGAGCATAAGATCAGTTTCAGTCCGACCATATGTGACCAACCTTACTAGAATCATGTAAAGTAAATGACCCATTGCACTGCACTTTTCGTGCAAAGTGCAGCGTTGTGGGTCATTTGCCTTACAATAGTACTTAATGGTGGTCTTATTATATGTAGGGACTGCTGTGCTGTTATTCCAGACCATTCCAGATGCTGTTATCATCAGTATTCAGTCCATAATCAATGTTTTATGTTTTAGTTGGTGTTTTATTCGTTACTTGATTGGCTGCTTAAACCTCTCAAGAGCATCTCATGAGCCTCGTGAGATGCCCTTGAGAGCCATAGCTTCGGTAGGCACAGGCACAGGCACCTGAAGTTGATCCACATCTAGTGTTCTACAGGTGATTCGTGTCGTGTTGTCATGCTATTTACATGATGATTCTCAAAGACTCAGTACCGAGGAGGGTTCACGAGGCAAGACAAGTTCTTGGATTGGGCACACGCGTCTCTGTTGATGCATTCACGATACGACGTGTCTTGTCACATGACCTTACTACGTGCCTCCAAATTCTCCAACTTGAAGTCTTACTTACTATCATTCAGCTCGTCTCATTGCCCATGTTCTAACGTCTACACATCTCTTGGTCCTCCATACTGTTGTATTCATCCTCAAGAGTTCTCATTCTGTGCACACAACTACTGCAGCCTGCAGTGGTGGCTCTTTTCAACTTGAAGCATGCCAAAACTTTATCTGTCGAGGAACTCAGGAAACAAGAAATATACTGAAGTTCTCCCACAATGTGGTGTGTGTCTCAATTGAAGACCCTGATGCGACTGACTTGTCATTCTATGATCTATAGGGTAAGTCTATGTTCATCTGAATTGAGACAGCATATCTAATGTGCAATGTCACACTCGGTGCTGGAGCTATCAACCAGCATCACAAATGGGTACAAATCATCAAGGGCCATTCAGATGATCACAAGCTGAGGCATGACTTTTACTGTGTGCGTCTTCCCGATGGTGCCAAACATGTTGTAAAGAGTTGATTCTGTGTGGGCTCTACAAAGTGTTACCTTCAGAACTCAATGTGCGAGTGATGTGCTCGTCCCAAAGAGACTGCCTATAGAAATACTCCTTGATAAAATGCAAGGGATATTTTGTTAAGATCAAGGATGAGAGAAAGGAAAGTTACCAAGAGCACGCTCAATGTTCCGAGGATGCATCCGAAGTGGTCCGAAGGTGGTCCGACGATGGTCCGACGTCAAGAAATGAAGGTCCGAGGTTGCGCAAAGCGTCCAAAGAGCTTCCGATGAACAGCGAGTGCTCCGAGAGAAGTATGGCAGGTGTATCGAAGTATAAGACTTCGCAAAGTATAACTAAGCAAAGACTATCGGGAGAACTTAGAGACAGCAAAGAGCAAAATGGCAGCGGTCAGGCCAAACAATCGTTCCGAATAAACAAGGATCGATTGCGCGAAGTACAACTATCTGAAAGTGACTCTACTAACTATGACTCGTAGCAGGGAAAGTGAAGTGAAGTGCGAGTAGTTAGCGAGGCAGATTATATCCTACAGCGTGAAAGTCTGGAAACTGCGTAGGCAAAACCAGTAGCGAGATAAGACATCTGAAATGTAATAAGACTCAAGGCGAGCCGCTACAGAGATATGCATGTAATAAGGCGCAAGGCGTGTTTGATATGCGTATAACTGACGGGCCGACAACATATGTGCCCCTAAACATAATCAATAACAGATAACCAAGTGGAAAACGCACCAGCAAAGTCAAATGGACGCGGACGGGACATGGTACGGGGGATCAGAACTGTATACAGGCCTCGGAAATGGACGGACGACCTTCGGACAACTCAGACGAACGTACGGAACTCCCGGAAGGTAAATGGAGTGTCGAGGAATGTGTATGTGGAATACTTGTGAGTTTGGCAGGATACGAGCCCAACGCCGATCCGAGTGCTACAAATGTGCAATATGTGTCTCATGCTGAATCAAAGGTGTGCTGCTGAATATACCGACACAACCTAACATTGCTCACACAGATGCCCGCTACATCACTCATGCGGACGCCCTCAAGCTACTATATCTTCTTTCCAACAGTGTTTTCCTCACCTCGAAGTGTCGCTCTGGGGCTCCTAATATTGGGGATCTGAGGTTCACTTCGCTGCGTCGCTCTCACCACTAACACCTGGGAATCGCAGCTCACCTAGGCTCTCTCTCGCATAGGTTGGGGCCGCCATCGGAGCTTCCACCCAAAAAACTATCTGCTTAATAAAGAAAACATTTCCTTTCATTCTCGTTACCACTACTAAGACCGCTTCACGACAGCAAACACAAAGAATTGGTGAGTATTATTTCATCTATATACATTGTATGGACTTTGCTGAGCGGACGTCTCATTTCTCTTCTCTTTGGTAGCATAAATGTCCGCGTCCAAAGTCCATGTGTGCTAGTCATGGAGAAGGACGATGCAGTGGTGCGTCATCTTTGGCTTCTGCATTGTCCACGCTGTCCTTGGCTGCAGCACCACCGCATTCTTCTTCTTCTGCGACACCGGTCCGAGTCGTGGAGGTGGTGAGTCCTGGTTGCAACTCCTTTGTGGAGGAAGGATGATGAAGGCAAGACTGTTTGCAACGTGTAAGTTCTCATTTGTTGTTCCTTCTATATTCATACCAATCTCTTATATACATACAGATGTGGCCTCTACTATAAGCTTCACGGCTCTGCTTGTCCCATTAGTATGAAATCCGATATTATTCGGAAGCGCTCTCAACACCACGCTCGTGCGCAGCACTCCTCCCTCACTGAGCCCCCAAGCGCATCTAACACGCCTGGCACTCCTTCCGTTATGGAGGAGACAGTTTCAGAACGGGTTCTGGTGCAACAAGCGCAGGTACTTCTTCGTCTTCGTGGCGCAGCAGCATAGACTCGTCTGTCCACACAGTCGACGTGGGCACTGTTGTGCCACACCCGCCACTATACTACCCACCAACCCACCATGAGACCCGCACCTGCCATGGGGGTGTGGATATACCTGCAGGTGTGGGTGATGCTTGCGACACCCACGGATACACCCGTGTCATTCCCTATTTGCGACTGGTGCGTTTGGCTGTATCTGCTGTGCTTAGTCCATCCGCCACACATATATTGTATATCACCGTGTACCTTTCGAGCCTCCGCATCTGACTTTACTGTCGTTGATTACCTTGTTCTTGTTGTTGTATTAGTCAATGCATGCTATTGCGTCTGAATTAGTGATGTGCGGGCCCGGCCTGGCCTGAAAGCCCCGGCTTAGGCCCGGCTTTGGGGGGCTTGGGCTTTGCAAAAGCTCAGGCTGAGCTGTGAGCCCAAGCCAGGCCAAAGCCGCGGCTCAGCTTGGGCTCAATGACAGCTTTCAAGAACAAAATGATCTGAAATTCAATCTAAGCATATGTGTAACGATGAGATACTAAAAGAACTTCATGAACCGTGTAGGCATGGATGTTGGTATCGTGGGTCTGCCTGTGAGTATGTCTTTGCGCACATGGAAGTACTTGACGTGTGCAAAGATGAGCATGCTGTTGTGTTCACCTGTGACCGGGTGCATGATGTCTATCGATTGGTAGAGCTGTTGAGAGGTGATGTTGTCAGCGAGCGAGCGGGCTAGGCGTGAAATGGAATTACCTCGCATTCAATGCTAAAAGCGCTTTCCTTGACGCGCAAGGCTCTTATTTGCACCTGAACACGTCGTCGTTAGTGGATATATTGTATCATAAACGTGCACGCGTACTGAGTTTTCTCCATGAAGCGCTTGAGGAATTCGTCATAGATGCCTTCTTGCAGGAAGATACGCAAACCTGCACAACACGTCTGACCGTGGTTCCAGCTGGTGAAATATGAGTGTAGTTTGCATGACAACACGGTATACTCACAAGATACCGAATGCAGCCCAGTTGAGATTTCACTGTTCCCAGATGCGAATGGCACATCTCACCACTCGGTCGGTCCTACTTCGTCAACCACAATATTTGGACCACGTCGTGGAAGAAACCAAAGCCAGAACGTCCAGCAGGAAGCTTGATGCCGGAGTATATCATCGAGGGTCACTTCAACTGCATATGGAGCCTTGCCTATTTGAGTACTAGTGGCAATATAATGAGCGCGTCTAAGGATAGTTCAATTCGTCAGTGGAAAAGAGATGGAGAGCCAGTGGGAAAACCTTTGAATAGCGACGGAGGAGGGATAGGCTTGATGGCACTATCCCCAGATGAATCAATGGTCATTTATAGAAGTGTAGATGGCAGATTGCGGCTGTGGAATATAAAGGAGGGCAGTATCCCTTCATGCGGATGTACATGGTTGGTGGATTAGCTGGACTGACCCTGTTTTCATAGGTTGCAAATATCAAGGCCGATAAGGAACAAAAAGCCGCCGGCTCAGGCTTTTCAACACCTCAAGCCGGGCCCTGGGCCATGGTCAGGCCCTGACTTGGGCCCGGCTCGGCTTGGCCTAATTAGGCTCGGCTTTGGCTGGCCCACAGCCTGAAGCCGGGCCGTGCACATCACTAGTCTGAATAACTTGTTTGTGCAATAAGAATGGGAGAGAAAAATGAAATAAAGCATTCAAAGTGGAATACAGAAGTATGAAAAACATATAGATTCAAGAGGCTCTACAACACATCCACTATCATACTCATCAACATCATGGGGCAGGTGGTGAGCATCTGGAGAAGGTGCTATGTTGAGGCTCTCCAGGGAACATACCAGGAGGCTACCCTCACCCTCTGCCACTAGTGCTGCCGTGGTCCGGTTCGGTCCGGTTCAGAGGGCCCTGGACGAGAACCGAGAACTGGACCATGGTCCGGTTCTACAAAATTGTCGAACCCAGAACCGGACCATCAAGAACGGTTCTTAACAGTCCGGTTCGGTTTTTTTGCGGTCCGAATGTGAACCGAACCGCAAATTTTTCAAGCAGCAAGGAAAAACATTCACAATACATCTACATGACATTGGGTAGCTAGGCTAATGACACACCAGCTGCGTACTCTTCTGCCTCTACTGCCGCTGACACATGACCATTCTTATAGGCTGCCTTCATTAATTGTAGCGCGGAGAATGTGGATGGTGCGAGGGCGTTGCGGCGCAGAGTCGATGTGATCCCCGCACTGGAGAAAGCGCGTTCCGATGGGACTGCACTGCCTTGAATGGGCAGGTAATCACGCGCAACACGAGCTAGCGTTGGATATTGCATTGAATGTAACTGATCAAGGATGTAAGCGGGGAACAATGAATTTGAGGGCTGACTTACACCCCACCACGCGACAACGTCATCCGTCTCCTCCAATGGTGAAGTAAGGTATGCGGAGAGCTCTTGATGAGGATCGCGCGTGCGATGGTCTGTAGCTTGACGTTCCATGATAGCGTCGCACATCCAGGAAGCACCATAACAAATTGAAGCTTTCGTTGTTGACATGGCCAATGGCTCCTTGGGTTGCAGTCCTGGGGCTGGAGGCGCTTGATAATATTTGTCAAACTAAGCATCCATCTGAAGTTAGAGACCGCCAGGATACTTAAGGTTGAATAGTACTCACCACCGCCTGAAGACGAGCCCTCCCATCCGCGACCTTCATCTCAGTCCATCGCCGTTCAACATATGCTAACTTGTAGTTGGGGTCAAGAACTGTAACAAAATGAGACATGGACTTGAGCGAAAACTCGATACTTACCTAGACAGATAAAGTAGACATCCGAGTCACTAGCTTTCTGGTAGTACTTCTCAACATTTTTGAGACCCTTCGTAATGGCATCCGCGATTATTGCGTATTCTGGATTTCTTGCCATCGTCTCCCATGCGCTAGCGAGACACTCTAGTGTAGGTATAGTCTGCCAGGCTGTTGGGTACGCGACCGACGAGAATGATTGCTGTGCAGTTGCAGGTTCCTATAACAATCAGTAAATAAAATAAAAACAGATATACAAATAAGTACCTTGAGGACGTCATGCACTAGCCGTATCTTCCTCCAGTCGGCTCGATCAAGCTTGAAGTCACTATATGACTTGTTGCGCAACTTTGGGACCTCATGGCTCTCATCGGCAAGTAGAGTGAAGCGGTTGACAGCCTGAAAGATGTTAGATACTAAACCGGCAGTTGTACATCTCACCTACCAGGCGAAGAGACAAGAAGCGCTCGAGGCACTTGAACAAGGAAGCCCAGCGTGTTCTCACCCATGTCAGAATCTCACGAACGGCAACACCTTCTTCCTCGCATGATTTCTTGAAAAACGCTTGAGCTTGCGGTGATTTACGGATCTAGTTATTGGTTGTGTCAATGAGAACTTGAAGACAAAAAGAGAGGACTTTACCTGTTCAATGAGTGCCAATGCTTTTCCAACAGCATCGCCGACATCAAAACCATCCTCAACAATAGCTTGAGGGTCGTGTTCCAATGCTGCAAGTTGTTCAGTTAAGCTGGTGATGTCAGTATCCTCGTCATAATCGATAGCGTGACGGATCTTGCGTAGTAAGGTTGCCTGTGGGGTGGGTGCGACTCCGTCAACAAAATGTCGCGCTGCAAGATTCAAAATATGCTCTTGACAGCGGATGCGACGGGGACCTGGAAGCCAGTGGGTACCATCTGCATCTATGGCCTTCGCTACTTCACTCATAGCGGTATCATTATTTGAGGCATTGTCCGACGTCAGCCATCCAACCTATGCAAGCGAAGTCAATCCACAGCTGAAGCCAGACTCTGGGAAACATACCTTATTGCGAATATCATACCTATCTATCGTCGTAACGAGTATATTGCTGATGTTGTGGCCGCTATGGTTGCCTTCAATCCGCATGAAATCAAGTTGCTCATTTCTCAGCTCCCACTGCAGCGGTTTGCCAGCAGGGCTCCAAATATAATGTCCAGTAACCGAAAAAAATGGTTCGCCGATTATCGATGTCCATGAATCGAAAGTCATGGACACCGCACTGTCAATATGCTAATGAAATATTGTAAGACTGATGCCATAATATAAGTAGGTCAAGACTCACCGCTAGACGCTCCTTGATATTTTCGACCACAGTCATTGCTCGAGACTTGATTGTTTCCGTTAACTTGGTGCGATGCAGAATGTCCTTTTCAGTTAGGGTGGGACGCGCATACTGTAATAAACGCCGAAATGCTGGCTTGTCAATTAATTGTATTGCCTGGTGTGATGTGAATAAATTGATACAATATATATATAAAAACAACGTACCTCGTCTTCTGTCACGATAAGTTCCATGATATATTCAAGCAAGCCTTCCTTGGTGAACGCAGGTGGTTTGCAAACAAGCTTGCCATCGAGAGTTGATTGTGATTGTGTCATGATGTCGTCTTCTCCAGGTGGGATTGCACGAGAGTGCATTGTGATGCCTGCGGCGTCACAACGCTCCTTGTAGACTTGAAAATGCGACTTCTTGTAACGGACAATATGGGTGCGAAGTGTCGAAGTACCTCCACGAAATGTGTGCTTCTGCACTGGTTCACCAGCGGCCCTTGTTTGAAAGTTATTAAACGACATATCAAAAACAATATGGACCACTTACTTGCATAGTGTACACACCCACCCATCAGGTAAACAGGTAAATATAGTCCTAACGTCCGCTGTGCGTTCGCTTTTTGAAAGCTAAATACAGGTCTTAGTTGAGACTCAAGGAAAACAATAAACGAGTACATACAGTAGTGGTGCACCCGTTCTCGGATTTAGATTCATCAACTTCATCGTCGACCTCTGGTTGGGGGATCAGCTCGTCAGCAGACGACTCTCCCAGATCAGGTGTAGAGGGTATTTCTTCATCTTCGGAGTCAAGAGGAGATAAGATTCGCATGGCAGTTTTCTTGCGTGGTGGATGATCCGTAGCGCTGGATAAAGCACGTTTCCTTGGGTTAGTTGACGAAGACAGACCGCAGGCATTGTCCACATCGCGAATACGAGCTGACGGTTTTGAGGGCCGGCCAGAGCGCCTAGATCCAGCTGCAACTGTTGCTGGGGTGCGTCCAGCCTTGAGCAGAATGGAGAAGGCGTCCTTTGCGGATGTAGTGGAAGAGGATGGTTGGGGCAATGGTACTTCATCGTCAGGATCGTTAAAGAAGGTAATTTCAGAAGCATCCTTAAGGGTGCCGTCAGCGTTCAGAGCGCAGCAGTCTTCAGACATCATGAGGCAAATAACTCACAAGTTTTTTGTTAGCACCTCGTTTTATGTGTGGAGGAGACCCTAACACCACAGAGCAACAATATCCAAGGAGATCTGTTAGAGATGACAACCGGTGGAGGATCATGCTTATCCAGGAAGCATATAGACTAGAACATGTAGATATCTGTGATATAGGTGAACATATGTCAGTCAGTAAGAGTTCTTGAGAGTAGATTGATTAGTACTTACCTTCAAAAAGGCTAACAGTAGCCCGATTAACAAATAATGCAAATCTCGAAGACGATGCTTTGATGTCGACATGGACACCGACGTCGTCGTTATTGAAGTCGAAGTTGAGGGAATTCGAAGTCAAGGAACGGTTCGGGAAGGTTCGGGAAAGTCGAACCAGAACCGGACCATTAGTGAAGGTCCAGAACCCAGAACCGTTTTCCGGTCCGGTTCTGGCTGGTGAGGGAACCATGGACCGAACCACAGAGAACCGGACCAAAAGTCCGGTTCGAACCGTGGTTCTGGACCGGACCGCGGCAGCACTATCTGCCACGAGGGTCGGCATGTATCCTCTTGAGGGAGATCTAGTAGTCAGCCCTATAAAACTAGGGAGCAGCCTCCTGGAGGAGGGTGTCTCTCAGACCATATAATTTCTACATAATAATAGGGTCTGACAGTACGTGGGAACATCTTCAAAGTGCTGCCAAGGGTGTATAAGTTACTGTATTATGTGTATTCTCGCCGAATAAAAATTGTATTGTGTCTGGTTCAGACGACCAGACGATTTGGGTGTGGGATATGAAGACTGGCCAGGGAGTCGGTCCCACTTTCCACGGGCACGTCGGAAGTGTTCTGTCTGTCGCAATCTCCCCCGACGGCAAACGCATTGTATCTGGTTCAGAAGACAAGACCATCCGTGTGTGGGATGTAGAATTCCTTAGCCAGCCCCACCCGCCTGCAGTATGCTTTTCACCTAACCCATCCCACGCTCTTCATTTCGCCTCCTCCTTTCTCCAGGATCCCTCGACCCCAGTCTCTGTTGTTGCGAACGAGGATGGATGGGTTGTAGGTCCTGACGGACGCCTTCTTCTCTGGATCTCACCCATTTTGCACCCGGTGGTGTATGCCCCAGGAAACACGCTGGTGATACCCAATCGTGCCTCGCAGTTCGATTTGAGTCGTCTTGCGCATGGCACGTCTTGGCATACGTGTCGGGAACAGGAGGCTGCTTTGTCTTCGTTATGATACCCTTGTATGTTGCACACGCACTACACATGATTCGTACCGCACTTGTTTGTCGTCAGGGCTTATTCAGTTCACTTCGTCACGTACCAGTCGAATTTCGCTAACTTGGGTCATGAACGTGTTGTCCGATTCAGAGACTGAGTCTTGATCTCCGGTCACACAATAGCACCAGAAGTTTCATCTCTTCGCTTGATCACATCGTTCCAATGTCCATTAATGACGGTCTCCACGGCGCTACGTCTGAGGCAGACCCTCGAATCAAAGGAAGACAGTCGTGCATAGCCCCGACCCCGAGCGCGTTCTATTGTGTCACGGTGGCACTGCGAGGCTATGCGAGATTCATGTGATCGAACATTTCAGGAAGAACAGCTTGCATGAAGCCCAATGTTTCCAGTTGGTTCCGAACTACATGAGCCAGCCGTATCAGTATTGAGGCGGAGAACACAGGCTGAACTTAACTTCAGGTCCGATTTTTTCTGCGTTGAGGTCCCACCTCACGAGTGCTACACGTCCATATCTTCTCACATCAATCAGTGACACTCCTGAAGCGCTTTATATGTCCAGGGTCCAGGGATGATGATTATCCTCAGCGCTTTCAATCCGGCAGTGCAAAGATTGTTGCTAAGGGCTGATTATGTATGACAGGCGGCGTGACTTCAAGAGTCCATGGCCACTTAGATTCATTCATCTTTCCTCCCAAACATACTTCCTTTTTCTTTTCCTTCGTCTTCTCCATGACATACTCTATGCGTCTCGTTCAGCGGGAAGGGCGCAGGATCGCCCGTTTTCTGCAACGGCGCGATTCTAATGCTAGCGCTGTCTCTAGTACATATTTCGCACCTTCACCTACTACTATCCCTGAAGGACCTGGATGGGCACTTCCACCGACAACGACGCCTGTAACCACTTCAAAGAGTTTCCCTGTTTCAAGCCAAACCCTTATCGCACTGTCAATCCTCGTGTTTATCGTCCTTGGTATGTGATCCTCTATGCCAATGATGTCATGTGGGCTTTACATCTATCAGGCATCGCGTTCTGGCGCATACGAGTGCTAAGAAGGAAATCCATCAAGGGCGACGCTGACGTTGCAGATAGGGGAGATGTAGAACGACAGAAAGACAAATGGCTTGCACCGTCTACAACTACTCCCCTAGCTCTTGACACTGTCGCGGCACCTGCTGGTGTTGGCTGGACACCTCAGTTTCGCTCGATTAGCGGTCCTGAATATGTAAGAGAAGCTGCCAAAGAATCCAAGCCACTCCCTCCCAAGCGATCACGTTCTCCACCGCCATCTCTCGGTTCTATACAATCTCAAGACCCCTTTGCTGACCCCAGACCTAAGTCTGCTCCTCCAAGGTCACCCGGGACTCGTGAGGTAGATCGCAACATCAACATCTCCTCTCCGTCGTCCCCTCAGCCCTATGCTCTCTCTGTAAGTGGATATCAGGTTAGAGGTCTGTGGACGAAGGAAAAGGGAACACGGGATTGGGATGTTTGAATTACTGCAACTTTTTAAGCATAACCATGATGATTCAGGACGACTACTTATGATGTCAACTGCAAACTCAGCGGAATCCCACTACAGTCCATTAGCTACATTTGGCTTCGGTTCGGTTCTAGGTATTCCCCTTTTTTTGAAATCTCCGGAGACATTTGAAGTCTCACTGCATAGGTTTAATGCGTATTCCACTCTTCACGTAACCCTTAATTTATTCTATGGTCAGTAATTCGTTTACGGAGCAACAAAACCCGTTGAGACTGGTAAATCTGTCGGTTACTATTGAAACACGATTTGCCAAATACAATGTCAATTATGGAGGGTAAGGTGCAAAGTTACTCAGCAATCTTAGGACATAAACATCTCATTCCTCCGCAAATCGTGCTTTCCGTCTAAACCTAGCTTGGTCACGCAACCACTGTACGAAATAGTAAATTTACTGTAGGGGAGGCTAAGAAGCATACGCACTTGTCGATATTGGTGGAGAGATCCAATCTTTTCACCTGTGGTACCGCGGGCATAAAACACGTTTCACATCCACAATCCGAGCATCAGTACTTACCATAGAAATCTGGCACAGGGTTCGTGGCACTTTGAGCTGTGGGATCTACGCGATTCTTCACTATGTGTCGGTGAAATTCCCGGTCTTTAGCTTCTATGAGGTTCATTGTGCGGCGGTGGGTCATTCTCCAGCCTGCAGCCCCGATAGTAGGGCCAATGAGATATCCGAGTCCTAGGCTGAATTAATTAAGGTCACCTTGGCATAAACAACATGTCTTACCCATGCATGAGACCGTGCAACCGCTGTAGAAAAACAACGGATCTATCCCCTGGTTCTATGAGAAAGAAGTACAAGCATATAACAATGTATTACACACCATGATAGGCTTCGTCGCGTCTGACTCCAGAGAACCAAAGTATGCAAGTCCTCCCACCAACCCGAGAATACATGCCGGAATGGTAACGGCCTGTCATGCGTTCATAGCCTATGAGAAAACGCAAACATGAATTCCAGCTAGAATATCTCACAGTTTCCCATTTTCGTTTACTTTTGCGAATCTCTAGATATTTTGACCAGGACAAGTTCTGTTGTTCTGCCTCGGAGACCGCTGTGTTTGAGTTATGTCTGATGTTCAAGACTGCCCGGCGGCATATCCATGATGGCGCGAGGCGCACTTCATGACAGCTTACCCTTGCAAGAGACACTGACATTATGAGAAAGACGGAGTTGTCCTGTTTTCCTCATTTCAACCAAGCCAAGCCAGCAACAAAATACCAAGAAAGGAATGTCATTCCCACACCTACGTTACGAATTGTTATCTCCGGCGTTACGGCTAGCGACTTCAAAACTTCAAGTGGTACTACAGCAAGTCTGTCTCAGCAATCGTTCCACTGACCGTCATCACCATCACCTCTGTCTGAGGACAGCCTGCATGCATGGACGGAGTGAGATCCTGTCTACTGTGCTGTCAGGCTTGCGTAGGAGATGGCGTGGACAACGAGCACGACAAATCGAACCCCTTTGCCCTCGATAATCTGTTATCTGCGGGAACCATCAGTGTAGATGTTCAAGGCCGCCATCTGCACTGCGCTCATAGTCACGAAAGTGACACCTGGCATCCAGTACCATCGCAACAGCTGCCTGTTTGTGTAGAGGATGATGTATTTTGTAAGATCTCTTTTCTAACTGAACATCAATTTCTGCGTGCTACCTGTCGTCTTGGAACGAGTCAACGAGTGTTATACATTCGAATATACCTCGTACCTACCGATTCTCCAATTGTCAAAGAAAGCCTACGATATCGTACCGAAGTTATTTTGAAAGAGGGTCACCGTCACCTTCAGGCCTTACTACCTTCGATTGTACAGGACCAACGTTCCTGGAATGCAGATGAACTCTCCTCAATCAGTCAACCTCAAAAGTATTTTTTGCCAAGGGATGTTGTAAGCACTTCCTACACTATAATCGGTCTCTAGTAGCTGCATATTCCATCACACAGGATAATCGCACAATGGCGGAGATCTACAATGACCTGCCGTCGTTGGTCTCTTCAACAATTACTGTGAGACACGAAATCAGGGGTCTTCGCAGTACTTTGTATGAGTACCAGAGACAGTCCGTAGCCATGATGATCGAGAAGGAGTCGAGCAACCAGCCTGTTCAAGACCCTTTATACATCCCGATCTCAAATATGCATGGCGAACGCTTTTATTTCCAGCCTTCAACCCTCACCGCTGCGCGGGAATGCCCAACAGTTGCTCGGTGTAAGGGTGGCATTTTATGCGAAGAACTAGGTAGGTGTCAGATTATCCTCAACTCCTCGACTTATATATGACCGCCCACAGGCACGGGCAAGACGGTGATGGTCTTGGGCTTGATCCTTGTCACTATCAATCAACTATCTCAGCCAGAAGAATCGCTATTGGACTACCGCCCCGTCATGTCTCCCTTGGCCTATCGCACTTTCCCTGCAGATGAGTACCATAATGCTCGAAGAAGGGCTGGCATGCATAAAAGTTCGGCGCTCGATGTAACACGTGTTCCATCTCTCGTTGAAATTCTTCTTCACCGCATAAGGACGTGGGGTGACAAGGTGGACATGCGATCACACGAAGAACAATTAGAGGCGTCCAACCTCTGGCAGCTCCTTCAAGCCAACACACCATTTTATCACCACTACACTGTTAAATCACCCATGCATGGTCTTGGTCCTTCCCGCACAAGACGTCGAGTCTCAGAATCCCCCCGACTAATGCACCTTACGACAGCGACACTTGTTGTTGTGCCCGTTAATTTACTTGGACAATGGGACAGGGAAATTTTGAAACATTGTCATAGCACGTTGAGATATCTTGTCGTCCAACAAACAACGAAAATTCCAAGTGCGAAGGCTTTGGCGTCTGATTATGACGTACGTAGTATTGTATCTGCACCGACACTGCATTGCTAATTTGTAAATGTTCAAGTTGATCATTATGACGGACAGTCGTGCGTTTCGATACTCCATATGTTTTTTCAGTGCTTATTTATTACATTCAGGTTTTCGCAGGGAGTCGGTGAACAACAAAGTTGCTCAATTGCATAAACTTAAACCCTGCACTTGTGCTCCGTTTACTGGCAGCCGCGTACCAAACTGTTGTTGTCCCAGCGATCCAGCTGTATCACCTTTTCTTCAAATCCGCTGGAAGAGGCTGGTGATCGACGAAGGCCATACCTCAGGAAACTCGGCCGCCACACTAAATTACTTCGTTCGTGAGCTAAGCATCGAGCGTAAATGGATTGTAACTGGAACACCGACATCGAATATACTAGGGTTGAACTTGGGGCGCAAGCAGGATGAGGACATAGAAAATGATATTGGCGTTGACAAGACTTACTCATTACCTACCATGACGGATTGCTCTGCATCCGATACCTCTTCAATTTCTGATAGCGGCGCGGAGAACATAGCCAGGGTATGGGGGACGTATGACTACGTCAACTTGCGAAAACTCGGGGCAATGATCAGTGACTTCCTCGCCGTTCCCCAGTTCCATTCTGATCTCAAATTGTTCGGTAGTCATATCTCTGCACCTCTTTGTGATCGTCACGGGCCTCGCGTGGGCGCAGTCAAAGTACTGAGTCAGGTCATGGAGATGGTCATGGTTCGTCACAGGTTAGCCGCGTTGTATACTGCTAGAGACTGTAAGGCTTATCTTACCCAGGATCGAAGATGTTGAGGAAGAAGTAGTTCTACCTCCCATGCGGCATACACCCATTTACATGGATCTCGATGCCTATGCTGCGAAGTCCTACAATGCAATGCAAGCCAGTATTGCAATTAACGCTATTGACTCTGAACGCGAGGGTCAGGTGCGTGTCTGGTCATGTACTATCTGATTTTTCACTCATATCGCTTGAAGGATTACATCTTCCACCCCAGGGTGAAAAACTTTCAAATTTTCCGCACGATTTGAATATTGACTCTGATTTTACACTAGAACGCGAAAAGTCTTCAGATTGCCATAGACAACTTGTCACAGTAAGTTCTTGGGCTTAGAGAAACTAATAACTGAAATCAAGATCAAACTTAGAGGAATGTTCTGGTCGGTGTCCGACATTTTGTTTAATGTCGACCAAATACGACGCGAGGCCCCTAAATTTCTGGCTCGTGCCATCGAAGCCAAAGTGCCCGATCATGATATGGCGCTATTAGAAGAAGCACTAACACATGCGTTAGTCTATTCTCCTTGTCGTTGTATACTTGATACTTAATGACGTCTCACAGAGAGGCGACAGCGAAAGATCCTCTGTGGCGCGCTATGCAACTACATGAAGATGTACCTTTCCGCGTGATGGGGATGGATGCAGCTGTCTTCGAAGCTTGGACACGGGGAAGGTTGAAGGACAGATCTCGTGTTCACGATCTCATGCACGCGAACCGGCTGTGTGATCTACGAGCTCTCGTTCGCAGTCGACCTTTGATGAGTCTCGGTCGATTGGCTGAGGAAGGAAGAGAACTGGATTCAAATGAACGAGCACGATGCGAGAGGAAATTGACACAAATGCATGATGTCACAAACGCCGCGCAGATGAAAAAGATGGTGTCTGAGGTTAAAGACGAATTGGAGGTCATAAAGGAGAAAGAGAAAGTTTATCAAACAGAGGATGTACCTGAAACAGACATCGATGTCTTCGTTCGCCACAAGTTGGGGCATCATTCTGCTCCTTCGCTATCTGATCTACTCCGCTCGTCGCCATTGTCAGAAACATATGTCGGGCCATCTCTATCCACCAAGCTGAACTTCATCTTATCCGAGGTTAGTACACAGTACTATCATGTATCACCCACCTCCTACCCTTCTTTCTAGGTTCTGGAGCATTCAGAGAAGGAAAAATTCCTCATATTCTCTAATTCGCCACTCACTCTCGCCCACATCGCAGAGGCACTCTCTTTGATCGAAATCAAGTACCTCCGATATGCAACGGATATGTCTCCGCCACTGCGAGAGCAATGTGTCATGACTTTTGAGTCCTCTGAGACATTCCGTGTTTTCCTGATGGAGTTGAAGCTTGGTGCTCGTGGTCTGTGAGTATATCTTATTTGCATTCATTTTTGTGGTTCCAATATATATCTGACAGGAACTTGATATCTGCCTCTCGAGTGATCTTCTGCGAGCCTGTCTGGCATCCTGATGTTGAAGCACAAGCCATAAAGGTAAGATCTTGTCTCAGATTAGACAATCGTTACTCAAAGAGTTGTCAGCGAGCGCACCGTATCGGACAGACAAAACCAATTACTGGTAGGTCAATTATTTCTGAATGATGGTTAATGGTTTTGTTCATCGCATCAATATACTTAGTGAAAACTCTTGTAATCAGACACACTGCAGAAGAAGCAATGGTCTCCAGACGACATTTTCTGAAGGGATCCAGCAAAATTCCAAGGATGACTACTGACGTGGGGATGCGTCAATTCCTGGAGGTACGTGCAACTTAGTTATAATTGGTTGGATCACTCATAAGGGCCTTTCCTCTTAGAACCCTCACTTTTTGGCTGTTCCAACAGAACCAGAGTGTTTTTCTTCATCAATACAGATATCCTTGCTAATGCATGTAGACCCTCAAAGACAAGAGCTCACATCTACCCACATCTCAGAAGATTTGGTCGCATCATCAGCCCCAAATTTCGATGTTATCAATACTAGTAATCAGCCAGATAATACAGCAGACCGGGCTTTGAAACGACCTCGAACAGTTAGGTTTGCAGATTGATACTAAGGTCTATCTTGTAGTCAAAGACACAGTCCACGATGTATTGTACTGTGGTTATCATATGTTGTTCTTCGAGGGGGGGCTTCCACCAACATTCTTCTCACCAACCCTTTGATTTTTGATTTTTTTTGATTTAATTCCATTAATCGCATTAGGGGATGACCCATATTGTTGACAAGCACGGAAGCTTTGAGATGCAAAAGACTTCATGGAAACTTGCACAATAGATGTTACATCCACAAAAGGATCGATCGATAGAAAAGTCACAGCGTAAGTGCCCTATACAAGATGCCTTAATCAAGAATGAAGCGCAGTTTTGCGCCATTTGCTACACGTGTCCAGACATCGATAGCTTCATACTGGAAACAGGTGTCAGAAAAGCCTTGTCATCAGATACGTGTATATACTCACCTCCGCAATGGTATCATTAAGCTGCGCCTCAGTATATCCAGCACCCAACACACGGGACCGAACGTCAATGAGAGCGAGTTCTTCCCCATCATCCTCCTCTTCGTCCGAGTCGACGTCCATCTCGCGTTCCCCGCCGGGGCCTCGACCAAACCTTTTCTGTCTCTTTCTCCGTTTCCTCCCGCCCTCGTTCGACATGCTTTTGATGAGCCTGAAGATTTGACTGACGACTGACCGATCAGGCTCATACTCCTTGTCATCATCATCGTGCAGGCTCTCTTTGCTGCATTCCATAAGCCTGAGTGCCTCGTCAACATCAGCCCGCTGCACGATGTCTGCGAAGCGCAGGCGTGCGAGAGATTGTGCGAGACGAAGCACACCGAGGAGCGTACGTGCGGAAGTGTAAGTATGGGATTTCTTTTGTGCGGCCTCGTCTTTCGAGAGCTTGCGAAGGCGGACATAAGAGTCGACGATGTAGCTAGAGACGTCTGAGGGAACGGTAGGACGGCGTTGGCGAGCTTGGGCGATGTAGTGTCTGCCAGGAGGCTCGTTTAATTGGAATAAATGTCTTCAACACCCATGCTTACCTCATAAGGACAGGGTCAACAACATCGTACTCAAGCTCAGGATGGCAGTTGAACATGTGCACATGGGTTACATGTTGCGCCAGTCGCTCATCGTCTTCTCTAGTCGGTTTGTCCAGGATGAGGAATAAAAGGTCAAAACGAGATAGGAGCGCAGCGGGCAGATTGATGTTTTCGACAGGCGACACTTTCGGGTTATACCGGCCATACAGAGGATTCGCGGCCGCAAGTATGGATGTGCGAGCATTCAGAGTCGTCGATATTCCAGCTTTTGAGATGGAGATTGTTTGCTGTTCCATGACTTCGTGAATCGCAGTTCTGTCTGTTTCCTCCATCTTGTCAAATTCGTCGATGCAGCAAATGCCGTTGTCGGCAAGAACCAGGGCACCGCCCTCTTCAGTACTGTCAGACCAAGTGTTGAAGTAAGACCGAAATAAACTCACCAAGAACCATCTCATCGGTAACCGGGTCTCTCATGACCGCAGCTGTAAGACCAACTCCTGATGAACCTTTACCCGTAGTGTAGACTCCTCGAGGAGCGATTTTCGAGATGTACTTCAGTAGCTGCGACTTGGCCACACCAGGATCACCCATAAGGCATATATTGAGGTCGCCACGAATCTTCATCCCGTCACCCATCGTCTTTGTTACACCCCCCACAAGCAACAGCAACAAGGCTTTCTTCACATCCGTATGTCCATATATTTCGGGCGCGATGTTCTGGGCAAGCTTGTTGTACAGTGACGGGTCTGCCTGCATCTCCGCGATCTGTGCCTGTATTTGTGGCGTCATTTCCATGTCACCATATTGCTTCTTGAGTTGGTGGATGTGGTGTCCTTCGAGGTAGGTATCTGTGAGTAGTCCAGCTCGGATGGCCTGGAATCCTGTGTAGGGAATTGGGAGGAAGATACCCCCAAGATGAACAACATCACCCGGGTTCATTTGGCGCGTCAGGTTGCCGTGCACATGTATAGTCATGGATCGAGGTATGTGTCCTACTGGCACTTGGTCGGCCTGGAAGTTGTTAATGTCAACACAAAAGCAGGTATCCATGACTCACCATCTCTTGAATTTTGACTTCTTGGAAAGGACTAAATCGACATGCTCGAGTCTGCATGTGAAGGGAGCCACGTATGCCGTTCTTCTTGCATTCCTGTTCGTTCGGACAGTCCGCAATGGGAGAGAAGGTTTTGCTGGATATCTGCTGGAATGTTTCGGAACCGCAAACATCGCAGGTGTAGGCGTTCACAAGGAGCAGTGGCTTGACTTCTGACACGCGGGTAACGATGCCCCGAACAGTGATCAACCTGCCAAGATAGGTTCCCTTGACCTCTCGGACGGCCAGAGCAACATCGGACCGAAGAGGCTGGAAATAAAGGTTGCTTAAATAAAGTCAGCTCTCAAACGAACATTGGCAATGTCACCACATACTATCGCCGCAAGAGATGGTCGGGGAAGCCCTCTTGACTGCCTTCAGTCTGCTCATTCCGCTCTCGCCTTTGGTGCAGAATGACATCGATTACTTCATCATGTTCACTGATGTCCTTGGTTGGAGGCGGCATGAGTTTGTCCACGGCTTCGCTGAAAAGCGCGACGTAGCGCCGAGTGTTGTTTCGTATCCGAGATACCAGTTCAGAGACCGTTTTCTCGTGCTTTACAAAATATCATTCACATATAAGACATCAGAAATATGTGAAGATCTCGTACCTGGTGGATGTCTTCCATGTCAATGGTGAGCATCTGCTGCTCACGATTTGCTATGCGTTGCTGATGAATTAAATGTTGAGTAAAGACGCGTCCCGATTACTGTATCGCACGTACAAGCTGCTGCATGTATTTGAGACTTTTCCTACTAGCATCTTGCTGATCATCCTCGTCATCGCTGAGCGCCATATCTGCAAAACCCTCGTCCCATTGCTTGTTTGTGCCCACATATGTGGATAAAAAGTTCTGTATTTTATCTGTGAACATATTAATAGCCTTGTCATCAATTTATCGAGCAAACATACCTAGCTCATCATCGTAATCAATGGGTATGTTGAGTACCGGGAGAGACATTGTGTGTTGTTGGTATGTACTAGTCGCGTCTCAAAGGCGCGTCTGTCACAATCAGGTCAGAACGTGACATTCTTGTCACGCTCAATGTTGACACGTGACTCGTTAAGCGTCGACCGTGTGCCGGTGTGGCCGCATCAGTGACATCAGTAAGGGCTAGGCCCGGCTGTTTCGGAAGATTGTTGTCGTGGTTCTCGATGTGAGCGTCGAGGAAATTAAGCGGACAAAATGCACACTTGAAATATGATCTATAGTTGTTGCATGAGTTGGAGACATCTTCGAGGCGGCCAAAATTCAACCAGCTTCGGGGAGCCTGAGACTTAAAAGCTTAATTACTGGCTAGCTTGGCCGTGAATTTGAACGCGTAGTTCTAAATCAATCGAGTACTAGATATAGCTAGGATTTGCTTCGACAACTATACAATTTATCATATATTCATTTCATTCTCACGCGTGCTCCTGTAGCACTTTTCGGCTTCTACCAACTTCTCTCCAGCTACCAGGTTCTGCCAACAACGCTAGGAAGGGTCCTACACTCAACGTTTCGAAACACCTCTATTTGTTGTACCTGATAATCTGGCCGTCTATCTTATAATACTTAAACTACACACATGGATATGTCATGACCTTGGTACCAGCACCAGAAGACCTTCCATTCATCGACCAGTGAGCCTAATTTCAAGCGCACGTAACGGAAAGTAAGTTACAGCTGAAAATACTGCTGCGAGCTTGAATCTTGTAAGCGAGTCAATGTCCAAACAACCAAAGATAATGCACACCTCAAACCCGATCTCTGCTCCTACCATCTCTCCAAGTGGGCCTGTATACAACTCCTATGAACAAAATGATGAGTCAGTACACATGGATGGACCAATGCGGTGCCGATGACCCGCCTGAGACATCCCAATGACAGCACCTGCGACACCAAAGCACCCCGCAAGTATACCCGCTACGCCTACCGGTAGTCTTAAGAAGTGAAGAGAGGACTGTGAGGTCACGACCTTCATCAAAAAGAACCACTAGCAGCTGAACTCACTTCGACAGCGTATCGTAATCATCCAGGTTGTACCCACCAAGCGGCCCATTTTTCCGCCGGAAGATGAAGTGTTCCTCAGCTACGATCACGACGAAGAATGCTGTCCAGTCGCTGAGAATTCTGAGGAAATTGGAAAGTATAGTACTAAAATGCTCGCGGCCGGCAACGCCAGCTACAGTATACGCCACAAAGGCTAGAAGTACCCAAAAGAAGCGCGGAATAATGGCGAACGGGCGTCCAAGTGCCTGCATGGACAAGCCAGCGGAGTAAGTATTTGGGATGTTGTTGGCACTATAACTGGTTTAGTGCGAACAGGCAAAGGCGTTCACTAATTCTTACATGACAGAAAGCGAGAGCAGAACGAGGATGAACTGGCCAAAGTGACCCAATGGCGACAGGACCTGCGCAACAAGGCCGCCTGTCGAGCCGCTTCTGAATGATGCGACATATGCAGGGTCTGTGAGGGTCATGAGGGCGGCGCCGAGAATCCCGACAAAGCAGATAGGGATGAACAAGCCGAGGAACGTGAGTAGAAACACGCGCATGGGTGATGTATCGGCAGGCAGCCGACAGTTGAAGTCCGCTGCAACTGGCGCCCACTGGTAACCGTTTACATGACAATTTAACAGTCGTCGAATAAATATAAATGATGATTTAACCCACCCCAGTGAATAAGCCGAATACAATCCCACCAAAGCCGAGAATGTCTGCTGTGAGGGCGTGCCCCATTTCCTCTTGAAGCGGCTTTTGCGCGTTGATGTTATATCCGGCTTTTCCGCCAAGACCCCAGAGGAAGAGCATGCCGGCCAGGGTAATTATCCATGCATAGCGCTCGTAGAAGTGCACCATATTGTACCCAATAACGCACGGGATGAGGGAGCACACACCAATGATGATGATTCCAACGACGGAAGGAAGAGTACCAGGGTTGATGTTGGACAGCGTTTGACCTCCGAGGATGACAGTCGTTGTGGCAAAGCCAAGCCTGGACAATGCTCAGCAAAATATGACAAAATGAGGGAGAATAAACGCACTGCGTGAGGATGTTGAGGACTGAGTAGATGGTACAACCGAGATATCCCGAGCTGAACCGGGTGATGACCATGGTACGGAGGCCCGTTATGGGGCCGAGGGTAGCAACAAACGCTGTCGCGACGGCCCCGACAGCGCCAAAGCAGAGGATAGTAGCTACAGCATTACTCAGGAGAATAAGTGTGGTTGCGACACCGTGCTCGCCTGAGTGACCTACCCGAAACTCAAAGTAAAAGTTGACTGTGCCAGCACGCCGACGGGAATGATATCATACACTGTGTTAACGGACCTACAAAAAGGTCAAGTAAAAGTACGAATATCGGTCGTGGGACGCAGACTGACCACCACATTAGGATGCTACATGGGGCTCAGATCAAGTATACGAGTGGAATTCGAATACGTACTTATTCCAGGCATTTTTTGATTCTCGCTGGTTTTCTGGCACACGCTCTACTCCACGAGCCTCGACACCGCTTGCAAAGAGTCTCGATAGAAGAGGTCCTAATCTACCAAAACGCTTTACGATCACGCGATCTGGCGCTGCCTCGATCGCATACACATCTTGAGCATCTTCGAGCCTGGCGACAGATTTCTCCTCATCCTCTAGGTAGTAGCCTATGGAGACGGACATGGTGATTTCTGGGCAGATATGCAGAACGACACAGGCTCAGTAGGAATGTCAAGCGTGCAGTTACCGAGGATTTAAACAATGCATTGCGAAGAGGGCCGTGCTGGCAATGCGCTGGCGTCCATTGAATAAGTCCGCCATTGAATAGTCGAGATAGAGTGTGTGTTTTTGGATAAAGAGCCCGATCAGCAGTCGAAGCGTCTTGCCCCAAAGAGTTATTTCAACGGTATGCGCCACAACGCACAGTAGAAAATCGCCGATTCGTCACAGCACCGGAACCGGTCCGCAACTTGCAATATTAATTTGAAAGTTTTGCACCAGATTCAAAGATTTAACTGCATGGTAGGACCAAGGCAGCATCGGTTGAATAACCTGCCCAAGGTCCCATTTCATCCAGAGAATAGCCCGACACCATGTCCATTCGAGTGTCGCCGATGCAAGCATGTTCTCATTGCAGGCGCTGACGTTCCATCTTCTGCGGGCCTAGAGGGGATACCTGATTCAGCGCTGCCTCTGAAAATACGGAGTGGTGATCCCTGTTAAGTCTGTTACTTTCCGTCTATAAACCAATCGATGAGGAAGGGGATGTATGACGGAAGTAATAATCGTTGCTGGTAGACGCATAGCGTAAGATTCCTGCCATTGAGCCGTGACAGCTGCAACCTCGCAAGTAGGACCCGCTGATATGGCGACTACGATGCAGAGAGGATTTCAGAGATTTGCCAGCAGGCTACCCACGCCGTAACAAGTAACGACGGGGGCAGCACTCCACTATTCGTATGTTTTGGTGAACATTTCGTTCCATTTGTCGTTCTGAACTCCAGGTAGAAAACAGTTAAGTCGGAAAATGGTGTCGGCTATCGTCGTTCACCCTAGCTGCACCAGCCAAAGGACTCAGTGAACCCAGAGACCAAAACCGACAATAGTGACTCCGATGCAGAGAGGGTTAGAAAGATTTTAAGCAGCCTATTCGCACCCTCAGGGCAAGGAAGTTACTGATATGTTTCAGGCGACAGATGCTTTTTGTGCTGAACTCCAGATCTCGGAGAACTATCGTTGGAAACGCGAACTCATCCTGCACCTGCAAGGTTGCCAGGGCGCCGCTGCCAGAAGGCCAGGGAATTGATGGCGATTCCAATCTGGAAGTACGAGCGTTCCAGAGAGTCGAACACCATGCTACGCAACGATAATGGTGGCGTTGGACGTATTTGCTTCCAATTTGATCTCCAGCACTTGAAGACCTGTTGTTTCAACCTTGAACTGGCACCTGGAGCTGGACCGGGGAAACACATCGAGATCAAACGAGGCATTATAGTGGAACTCAAAGTAGAACGATGAACGCCCAGGCATTTTCCAAGCACTGAGCTTTTGAACCCCAGTTACACTCTGGACTTCTGCGTGGGCACGCCGACCCTGCTCAGACCTGGTTCGCCGGGTTCATGTACAGAATTTTCATTAGCTAATCGTAAATTTCCCCAGTTATGTAAACAGACTTAGCAGAAACAAAACTATTCCGACAAATTAGAACATGCTAGCACACGCATCATAGTTCTCCATCTAGTAGGAACGTCCATAGCGCGTCTGGTCGCTTGTAGTCATGATGTACAACGCTCACTAGCCACCGCTCCCTGCGAACAGAATTCAATAGCTCTCTTTCCTCGGACCCTGGTGGGTAGAAAGAGGCCCACTCAGCCCAGATAGAGAATGCTTCATCCTACATTAATATTGTCAGTACAAATATGGGCAGAATGACTCTGAAGACAACGCATACCTTCCACGTCAGGAAAGATTCGCGCTCGATTATGGTCGTCTGAGTGATTTCTTGCCCGGGAAACATACCCCAAGTGACTGCATTCCTGCCGTCGTCGGGTACATTACTTCTACATTCTCCCTGTACTCGCTTTAGTCACAAAAATGGTGCAATATGTAAGGGAATACTCACTTGCAGATTCCCGGCGAAATAGTGCACCCAACCTTGCCCCTTTTCCTTAATCTTTTTCTCGATCTTCTCTAGATCTTGCTCTTCCACGAAAAACTCCACAAACCCTTTTTGATAAACATACCCACCTCTCGGACCCCACCCGAAAACTTCATCAGTAGAGCACGCTCCGTCTACTGCGGGTTGCGAAGAAATCGTCCACCACCCGCGCTTCGTGAGCTGCTCGAGGTGCGGCAGGATAGTCAGCGACTCTGGAGAAAGTGGTAAGGAAGAAAATGGGGACGAGGACACCTCAGAATGAAGGTAGCGCAGAACGAGCGAAGTAAGGTCATCAGTACTTTTGGGATGGCCCCATTCACTAAGACCTTCATACTGCTGCAAAGATCTGTCAGCATGGTGGTTAGGCAGGGCAGAAAGACGATTCGCACAGACAGGCCACTACCACCCCACTGATCTTGAGCACCGAACGCAGGACTCTTGTAGTCACCAAAACGACCGTTCGGGAAATCGTCCCATGTTGCTGCATTATTCAGCTCCCCTCGGCCGGGATCTGGGTCCAAGGTTTGCTTAAACGTCAGCGCACTTGTTGCTGTGTTTGTTGCTGTGGTGGGATCGATGACCAAATCGGAAGAGTTAGTGAGCTGCACATGAATCATCGGTCCTGGAGCATCCTGAGTTACAATCAGCGACTTGACCTCAACCATAGATTAACGAGACTTGCAGCGATCAATCTATTCTTTATTGTTGGGCTGCTGCCTGCCCACTGCAGTTTCTCTATCACAAGTTGGACGCTCTTCTCCAGGTTTAGAGTGCAAAAATGAATTCCCTTGATTGTTCCCGTGCAAGTAATCTTCCGAATGATGTCAACAGCAAGGCCTACACCATAGTCCTTGACAAGCTGGTCATCATGCTGCCCTCTCATTAGAAGGGCAATGTCATATAATTGGATTACTTACACATATAGGCTCCAAAGCAGCCATGACTGATGGGGGAACTTTCACTCCGCATAGCTTGATCAAGCGCAAAAAGGAAGAATACGTTTGGATGGGCATGACACCGGGTATGATGGGTACAGTGATGCCTGCAATCCAATCAGAAGGACATGGCCGATACCATGAGTTGCTACTAACCTTTTGCTCTAACTTTGTCAACCCATTCAAGAAACGGGTCTGCGTCATAGAATAGTTGCGTGACGATGAAATCTGCTCCAGCATCAACCTTCTCTTTCAGGACATTTAAGCTACCGTCTTCATCAGTCTCGCGGTCTGGGTGACCTTCTGGGTAGGCTATTATTACACGTATGTCAGTCACATAAGGAGTTCAAAGCTAAGGGCCCCTACCTGCAACGCCAATACAAAAGTGGGCGGAAAACTCCGGAGATGAACGGATGTACTTCACAAGATCAATTCCGCGAGTAAATTGGGAGTCGACGGGTGTCCAATGTTCGGTTCCTCGAGATGAATCTTACGTAAAAATATCAGTAACACGAACAACGTCTCTAACGAGAATCACGGTGCTCACCACCACGTAGCGCGAGCACATTCTGTATACCCCGCGCTTTTGCAGCCTGTTAAGGCGGTGTTCACCGTAGCCCGGAGATTCGTGGGAAGGAGCTCACCCTGAGAGCATCATCCACCATCCCTGGGAGCATATTTGTGCATGTCAAGTGCAAAACGGTGTCGATTCCATAATCTGATTGGGTTAGACCTGCAAGATCAATGCTTCGTTCTCTCGTCGAACCCCCAGCTCCCCATGTTACACTTATTGCAAGGGGATTTAGAGTTGACAGGCGTGATATACGTGGAATTAAATTCTCGAACCCCTGATATAGATTTTGAAGGATGAGAATAATAAGGAAACATCACACACGAACCTGGTCAGTCCGAGGAGGAAAGAACTCAAAGGTGTAGAAAGGACGCGACGAGTCGTATGCCGCGATCTTGTCTGAAAGTTTCATTGCATGTCCTATTCAAGATCAGGTCAGGTTGGTTGCAGGGTCTCGAGGTTGATGGCAGTGATTCAGAAGATTTCTGTGTAGAATATCACGTGGATTACATACAGCTGGCAGTAATAACCGAGCAAACACGGATAAACACACTGCCATGACAGAGCTCAACTGGACCGACTTTCACATTCAGAGGTCTTTAGCAGGCACTTGGCAAGTCAATCGCCTTGTTTTATCACTGTTGTACACGGTTTAGGCATAAGGCCAAGATTGTACTCCGCAAATGGACGCTCCATCAACACCCGCAACCGCCGACTTCTCCTCGACGCCCCCGAAACGCACCAAGATCGTCCTTCTTGGCGACCAGAGTGTCGGGAAGACCAGTCTCATCACCAGGTCAGTTGGGGTGGATTCTGCGCCAGTTGCATGTCTTGACATAGGCGTAGATTCATGTACGATACGTTTGACAACACCTACCAGGCCACCATCGGTATTGACTTCCTGAGCAAGACTATGTACCTGGAGGACCGGACGGTGCGGTTACAATTGTGGGACACTGCCGGACAGGTGCGTGTGACGTGCGGTAGTTGGTTGTGTTGGTAGTTGTTGGCTGATCTGTATCGCTTCAGGAGCGCTTCCGTTCATTAATACCATCGTACATCCGAGATTCGTCCGTAGCTATAGTTGTGTATGATATCACTAGTGAGTGAGTTCCGTTTACAAAGTGTGACAGGTACTCAATGGTGGAAAGATCGACAATCCTTCCTTTCAACGTCAAAATGGATAGACGACGTTCGGTCAGAACGGGGGAACGATGTCATTATTGTACTCGTCGGTAACAAGGCCGATCTGTCGGAGAAACGGTTTGTCCTCTCGTCTGTAATACGAAGTCGTCTGACACAGCAATCAGCCAAGTCACTGTAGAAGAGGCAACTGCAAAATCGACACAAATGAACATCATGTTCATGGAAACGTCAGCAAAAGCTGGACATAATGTAAAGAGCTTGTTCAAGAAGATTGCTCTATCATTACCTGGGATGGAGAAAGAAGGCCAAGCAGATGCTCAGAATACAAGTATGTTTTTCATGCCGTATCGCTGATTAAGGAATTGACCTTTCATTGTAGAAATCGATGTTACGACACAGCAGGCTGCCGCCGTACCAGAGGCATCACAGTGCAATTGCTGATTCAGTGTTTTCCATGTAATGATACGTACTACCCCCTCGTGATACCTGTTTTACTTGCCCGTGTTGCAACGAGTATGTTCTACTGCCGCTCTTCGTCCATTACAGATCATTTGTGACACAATGCAACGAACTCTCTTTTCTCACCGTTAACCCCCCTCAACCACGATTCATCGTGTTTCCCGCTCCGCGCGGATTTGCATCCTTGAACTGTGCCCACTGTTCGTCTTTCTGCCGTTTCTCTTCCAATTTCATCTCACCAAAGATTGTACCGTCCGTTTCGGAGTCCATCGTCAGCTGTTCTGACGACGTTGGCTGTCCCTCGGATTGTGGGCTGCGCCGATTAATTAGTGTCTAAGTAACTGAAATGGTGAGAACTTACCCTCCTCCTGTGAGTATGTTGCCGCGTTCTTGTTCAATTTTGAGGTACTCGTCAATACTCATCGTTGGTAGTCGGTGATCAGGTCCAAAGACCTGCGATTGCAGACGTATGCGATCTGATCCGCCTGCAGGAAGGATGGTAAATGGCCTCAGGGGCTATCATGACGATCAACTTCATTTGGTGGTGGGAATGTAATGCTTTGGTACCTTCCCGCTAGAGTCAAGTAATGGTCCGCTCTCGCCGACGGAAGATTTTGTGTCCAGTTTCCACATGTCATCTTGGTCCTTCAGTTTATTTTTTCTGTCGTCTGAGGGTGGACCTGGCCTGGGAGAAGGTGGGGCGATACGCAGGAGTTCAAGCTCCTGATCCATACTCTCGAGTTGAGAGTATGCTTGGGAATAGTTTAATCGTAGTAGTAGTAATACTGCTTCCCGAAGGATCTCATCTGTCTCTGAATCATCCTCCTCATCCTCGTCGCTCGCTTGCGGAGTGATGGTTGACGGGAGTAATGACCGAATAAGATCAAAATCACTTTGGGACAGGTCTCCGATGGGTATCTGCTTCCGTCGTTTTCGTACAGCTTCGATTCGCGCACGCAAGTCCTTCTCTCCCTTGAACTGCTTGATCTTGACTTCTCGCCGTTTAGCCGCGTCCTTGATGGAAGATGCACTCTGTGCGTACAGCGCACGATCCACCTCAGGTACTAAGCAATAAATATCCAAATCATGGATGAATGATCTCAGATGGACCTGATCACAGCTTAAGACGTTTTGATCGATCAAATGAAATAAAGAATTCACCTGTGTCTTCTTGAGAACAGTTATGCGCTCGTCCCTATCTGTCGTCTTCATGCGATTCTGCACCTCAGCCAGAACATATCGTGCAAACAAGTACACCAAATTCCTGGTGGATATGTCCTCAAGAACATCATTTGAACTGAACAGTGAAAGGGCTGCGACACGCCGGTCCAGCTCCTTGAGATCAGTTACGGCTGATTGGATTAGTTCCTTTGTAGTATTGTCAGATAACGATATACAATATGTGGTCCAAGATGAAAACACACCTGTGTTTCATCTTCGATAGTGGGTAGATTTGCGGCCTTTGAGGCTGTTGCAAGCGCCCTGGAGAATAGAGTTGGTAAGGGAAGTGTGCTGGTCATGGTGAGGGTTTCCTGGGGTCCTGCCAGGATCGATCTAACTCTATATATTAAAAGTGCCTGGGGGTCAACCCGCGTTACATCGCGTCGTGGACATTCCCGAAGTCAGTTACAATTTCTTCATCTCTTAGCTTTATCAACTTAACAGTTCTTCTCTGTGCACGCGTTGTTCACATTCAAACGCAGTCATGAAAAGAACATCTGTGGAAGAAGGATCCCCTCCAAAAAGATCTCGCCTGGAGGACAACCTTGCGCTATTCGATGAAACACGTCGAAAGAATGCAACTGACCTTCTCGACCCCGCGACAGATGAAACCAACAATATCGAAGCCAAAATTCACATGGTTTTTCCCTGTATCGGCAACAAACGCCAGGTGAATGTCGAGATGCGTGAACACGGCGACACCTACCGCTTTCTCGTTCTCATTTCGTCCAAAGTCGACGAATTAATGCCCTTCCCATTCGCTGTCAATGACAGAATCTGCCTTTCTCTTAAGGGTGCACAGATTCAGCCAAGGGCACAGTCTTCTGCACCTTTCTATCTGCCCGTCGGGCTCGTATTCAAAGATGGGATCGCAGCCATGCTCATGTCAGGACCCGAAATTGGGAAGGTATACAGTACTTGGGAAGGTGATTTTTTGTGCTGTTTTATGTTTACAGAAGTAATTTGTGCTGACGCATTCTTAGTGGACTGGTATAGCGATACCGGCGACATTCCGCGTGTCGGGGACGTTGTCCCGCAACATTCCACAGAAGACGTGGAAATGTCAAACACAAATCCTCCATCTAAAAGCCCGCAGTCGGAAATCGTTACTAGTCAGAAAGCGCGAGAAGAACCCATGCCTGTTCTTGCGTCCCGCCAGCATCTCGATTCGCGAGCTGATAGTCTTCCTCAACCTGGCGAGCAGTCACCAGAAATGGATTTTACAAAGGCGCAGAGGCGCAGGCGGAAAAAGCAAGCACATAAGTTATCCGCTCTCAAGGACAGACGTAAATCGGACGGGCATGAGATACCGATACCACAAGCAGAGGCGGTCGCTCTGCGACCACCATCATCGCCCCCCACCAATGTACGGTCACCACCACAAGTATCCTCTAACGAGCGCACAAGCTCGGGTTCTGGACAGACCAGTTCGTCGTCCAAGAGGGTAGCACCAGTGCCGGTGACCATGCCCTCACCGCCTCCTGCAAACGATCCTGCACGCAATAATGGACCGCTGGCTATGAAGGCTGGAATGACTACGCAAGGGGTGAGTTTCGTATCTTTAGACAAGTTCAGCACGAGCTCATTCGAAATCTGTCTGTAGGGAGATGTGTTCATACCAATCAAGAAGATTGAGCCGGGACCGGAATTCTTCAACATCATTGGTGTAGTTACGTCAATCAAGCCCGTGACATTCACGCGCTCACAAGGTAGGATTCCTCAGCATTTATTGTTGGTTCTTTGCTCATCGTAGTACCAGAGTGGTGCCGTAATTTCACCATTGTCGACCCGTCCTGCATGGAAGACGATACAGAATTCGTGAATTATAACTTCAGGGTCAATTGCTTCCAGAAGAAGCACACGGCGCGGCTCCCTCAGGCTGAAGTTGGCGATATAGTCCTCTTTCGGAGGCTTAAGGTATCGACCGATTTCCTGTACTAATTTACACTCGCTCACGATATTTGGTCAGACCTCCTTGTATAATGGCGGCTTCAATGGCGTAGGGTATCATGATAAGTTGCGCTGGGCCACCTATGATACCCAAGCTCGGTGTTTCCGCGTTCCTGACAGAATTGACGCCCCGCGTTCCGAGACACCAGACGAAGGATCTGGATATATGTACTCACCTTACTACGAGCCGAGTGAGCAAGGCAAAGAAGCGCAGTACTGCGCTCAGCTTGCCGACTGGTGGCAGGCGATACATGCAAAAGAACAAGGCATCACAACTGTGCAGTGTGTCTCATGCCCTTCGCGAGAGCATCATCTCATCTCTGAGGTCACTCCGGAGACTTCTCCTCAAGGTTATTTCGATTGCACCGTCGAAGTGAGTTTACAGACAACTTTCCGTAAATGTGGAGCTGACAAAAGTCTAGATTTTGCACAGCTACGAAAACACCAGTGGACCCAACACTTTGTATGTGACTGACTACACCGTAAACCCTCACGCCAAACCACCACAAGCAAACTGGTGCTCTTCGGAACTGTCAGCATACGTTTTCAAGATAGAGATGTGGGATGACGCGAGGCTCCTCGCAAATACAATGCAGCCCGGGGAATTCTGGAGCCTCCCAAACGCACGCGTGAGGACAGACCCCGATAATCATCTCCACGGTAAATTGGTGGAAACACACAAGTCAAAAAAGCTTGATGAGGCCGAACATGGCAAGAACTTGCATTTTCGCGCATTGCTAGAGTGAGTGGTGCTGTTGGCTGGTCAATCATATCATTTAGCGCGTGTTCTCCAGGCGAAAAAAGAAGTTTGAGCAAGGGGGAGGGGTGTCCAGCTCTTCTGCACGTTTTGACACTAAGTTGATTGAAGATGTTGACGGAGCCGTCGCATTCTTCCACTGCACTGTTGAGGTGGGTCAGATAAAAATTTCGTCTCTCACTTCATGACACGTTCCACAGCTTCTTCATGTTGATCTTGCCCCTGGGGAAGAGTCAGTTGTTTATGTGACAGATTACACATTCAATCCCGAACTCTTCAACCCAACAGAGCCAGCACCCTGGGTCCTTGGTCTCGATCCGCCGGATCGTCAAGATCGTCCTGGAGGATGGGCAGAAAGGGAGAGCACGCGACCTTCAGCCGGGCGCGATGTATAGAATCAAGAATCTGCGCTTGATCACCAGGATAGGTGTTAAGGGTGCCTTCGGGCGTCTAGGGGGCGACGAACGACTCATCATTGCAGCCGACGACCGCGAAAAGGAGGACGTACAAGCTCTTCTTCAGTACGTTTTAGCGGGACTGTTGACATTTCACTTGTCGCTGATACTCCTACAACAGACGCAAGAAGAAGTGGAAGTTAGAAATGAAACGAGACGGGGTGTCCGTCGAACCGGCGACCAATTCCGTCACAACATCACGCCCTCGTACTCCCGAGACATTCCAGGATCTCACTCTGAAACAAGTTATCGCCAGCAGCGTCTGTCTTAACACATTCACAGTCGTTGCGCGGGTAGCCGATTTTTATCCCTTCGATCTGGATCAAGCCACGTACCTGCGGTGCATGAAGTGCAACACCAAGTCAGCTTAAGCCGATTCTTTCCCTAGGCGACGCTAACGTGTTCTATAGGATACGGCGGACCTGGAAACGCTGTATCGACTGCGATGACATGCTCGACACTCATTGCAAATGGCTTTACAACCTGCTTTTCGAATTGGAAGATGATGAAAAAAACACAATTACGGTTTCTCCCTGCAACGAATCTGTAAGTTTCTTATTTCATTTTGCACATTCTGTCAGGCTCTGAGGGGCTGCAAAGTGTAAACTTCTGTCTGGACTGCCCGCTACCGACTTGGAAGCGGATAAAGATGCTCTCAATCGACTTGTAGCTCGCCTACAACCCGTTATCGGCAACCTCGGGCAAGTGCATGACACGTATGCAGAGTCGAAGGTCCTGCCAGTCGTTTCCCCGAAAATGCGTTTCACCGTCAGGAGTTGGATCGCTGAAGGTGACCGATGGTATAAGCTTCTGGATTGTACTCCACTTTGATCTTTCCTCGGACAAATGGACTCCCCGATTGAGCCCGTAAAATATGTGTAATCCGTCGATAATCTGTATTCTGTATAGCGCAGCTAATTTTTCTACGTCCTCGAGTGTCTTGTAATGCGACCAACTCTCGGTGTCTGCTCTTTATGTACTTTGTAACAGGGAATTGCCTTGATAGGATGTCAGCGAGCAATATCATGATGTCACGACACCCCAGCTTGTTCGGTTTATTGGTTTTCGATCTTCGAGTGAGATATGAATGGCATGTATAATGTTGCTTGACACAGATTGCCTACATTATCGACGGGGTATAATATATAACTTCCCATAACTTGCTGTCACAGAACGAGCGTAGACGTGCGCCGGAGGTATTATAAGCCTGAGCATCGAACGGAACGCGGATCGAACTTCGAAGGTGAAATAAGTAGTACCCGTTCTGGTGGTCATGGGGCCCAGACTCACACTGACTCATCTAACGAGCACAGAGTTTTCGATACGGTTGGTCTCGGATGAGGTGCACTCCATTCGATCCACAAGACCATGACTGAGTACTGAGCATTTGATTTCTTTGCTACGCGTGTGGAGACCTCTGCAGTTAAAGATTCAAAAGCGGAGAAAATGAAGCATTTAGTAGTCCCCGCTCAGACTATGTGTAGACGTCAAGTGATTGAGGAAAGTGCATGAAGACACAAACGTCAAGATGAGTCGAGTCGTTCCAGATGCACACCAGGCTACCTCGTTGACAAGAAACTAGTCCATGGTGTCGATCAGGAGATGGCCGATAAGGCGTCTAGAAGGATTGCACTCAAGAACAGTGAAGAACTGACACTGATCGTGACAGTCTAATATAACAGCGCTTAGCATTGATCGCCGAAAGCAAAACACACCGCGATTCCGATATTTTCCCTGTTAAGGACTCGCAATGGGGAGGAAAAACTCGAGTCAAATTCACGAAAGTATCAGAGATGCAGAAAACCTCGCTTCCTCGGAGGATAGAGTAAGCAAACTAGCCTGAGATAACCATGCCAGTGAACTGAGGCGGTGAGCAAGGAGACCCGCATATCGAGTCTACAACGAGGCAGACAATCGCAGACTGATAGAGATACTTGATCACTGTTCACCACAGCGCATTTGAGTTAATGAGTGTCTCTCCTCTCAATGCTCCTGCTTACTGAGGGCTAGCCAACCTAGCAGAGCAAGTTTCAATGGCGGTAACTGACTTAAGAAGATAAAGCATTCCAAGAAGCTCACTGTCAACCCGCACGAAAGGAAATGCCATATGTCGAACTGGCTCTCAAGGACCATAAAGAATTTGTGAGGGACATAATCTACGTCGGGTTATATGTGGAAAGTCAGACGAGTTGGTTATTTTTTTCTGCAGTGGCTGAACAGAGATTATGTAATGCCGCCTGCGGAGGAGAGAAAGTGAAACGAGCTGCTGCGGGTACTAGCCTGAGGTATACGGCGTGATCGAGAGTGAGTTTATTATTAGATTCACGCTGGGCTATTTCAAATTGTCACATGATCATAGAAGGGGAAGACATACCTAATACTATTTATAGCGGGGTCTACGCCGACTACAGAGAACGTTTGGCACAAATTCCAAGATGTAACGGATTGAGGTTTACGCCATTCACAACAGAACGCATTCGCTTCGAATTCACCCCCGCAATCAATTTGAATCATCAAATGAGTTGGGAAATATGAAACTAACAATAGACAAGGCAAACATCGAAACTACTGGAACAAGGTACTATGTGCCAACACAACTCGAACTGGAAAAAGGACGCATCAAATATAGATGCACTGAGAGTACTGCGGCACGAAAAGAACGCCTAGGAGACTGATTGGCAGTTGGCCCAAGTCAGAACATACAAAAGGACGATGACAAGTCTTTCACTGTCACATACATATTACTCTCCCGTTCGTAAAGCAGCACCCACGAGTCCTGAATGAACATGAGAACGTGGCGAAATACTGCAGGGAAAGACCGTAACGCAACTAAATCGGTATTAGTAACGGGATGAAATAACACAAGAAAACAGGTACTGAAATAGTCCCGTCGTGAATTCGGGGGTGAATTCAATCACTTTGCCCTGGTCATTTTTGGCAAAAGAAAACTCCACCGTGGCCAACATAGTAACGATAGCAGACCACGCTGAGGCATCAGCAGCATACCGGCCTGATCAAAGAATGTATTGGCTCATCATATGCAATACGGCAATGAAATAACGCAACCTACCTGGACATCTACGTCGGCCTAAGCCAAAACAATATTCAGCTGGGTCGTCGTCCGTCAGCGCACCATCGGCGTTCATGAACCTCTCTGGCATAAACACAGATGCATTGGGGTACCTGCTTTTCATCCCGTGTAATTCCCCTGCAATATAACGTCAGCATCTCGAAACCTTGACAGAATGTATCTGACCATATGTTGCATATGACAGTCGCTCCTGATGTATGATGTTACCGATGATCTGCTCATTAGACGAAAATGGCAGACCTTTTGGAATAAAGTAACCGTCATATATATCATCACTCAAAGTAGCACGTGGCACTATAATATCATCTTCAGTGCAGGCTTGATTCCTCAGCGAGGAAGATTACCAAAGGGTGAGACAGGCTGCCATCGCAAAGTCTCCCGCAGAACTGATTCGATATATGGTAGTGACGCTCTGTCTTCAAATATAGGCAAGCGATCCCGCCCAACCACTGAGTCAATCTCCGCTTGTGCGCGTTTTTGAACATCTGGGTAAGACACCATGGCGAGAGCAAAAGCCATCAAGAACGAAGTACTCTGCGAAGACATTCAGCGGTTGACAATATGGTTCGGACATCCGCTAACCGTCTCGCATGAACCTGCGTAGATATGCATCAAAGAGCAGTATACTGTCCCTTGTAAACAGATGACGAACCTGCAATAGCAGAAGTAGCTGCTTTCTTCAAGGCACTCTCAAACAATGGTCTAGATGTCTGATCCTGCTTCTCCATTCGTTGAAGATTTTCTGCCACCATCGAAAGCTGGCCAAGGGCCAAGTCTTCTGCCTTGACGATCATGTAAGTAATAGCTGAGACAACACTGATATTTTTTAAAACGAAAGATGGCTACCATATGCTGCTGCGTATATCGAAACGGCACCTCTGTCATTTCAGTCATGAGATTGGTCGAGGCTTGGGCCTCGCGTTTGATCGAGGATCCCCAACACCAGTCAGGTAACTTCAGTACTGCATCAGAGTACAGAATGTCAACTATGTTCATGAGAAAAAGAGATGAGCTCACAGAAGGGGAAGGTTTTAAGTAAGATTGCTCTCTCTGGGGTTGCCACCTGACTGCCAATAGCCAGTGAATTTTCTACGATTCGGACCAGAGGATCATCACGAGGACTGGTTTGGTAGCCGTATATCGCCGACATCGCAACTGATGACGAGAATCTATGAACAGGTTAACAGTCATTCGATGTTTACAAACACGTCGACTGACGTCGCGAAGTGAGAATGATAATGTTCAGGGTCATCGATTAGATTAACGATCATCTCATGGGCCCGCTTGATCTGCATTGGACGAAACTTGAGTGCAGAGTTAGCATGGAAAGTTTGGTGGAAGAGTCGTCGGCAAAGACGCCATTCGTCGCCATAGCCTGTGAATCCAAAGACGACCGACCAACCAAACCTGTCTGTACTTCATAATGATTAAATGGAAGAATGTCAGAAGAACGCACGGCTCAAGTGTGGCTATGGATGGTCTATCGGAGTAAATGCGAGAACGTTTGTCCAGCAAGGCTTTCGCAACGTGCTCAGAATTGATCACCACAACTTTCTGGCCTAGAAGTCGCACGAAAAACAAGTCTCCTGATATGATGATCTGCACAACATATGCACCGTGGTACTATGTGATCACGTACCATAAGCAGCAGCCCATTTGGTATAAGTCAACCAAGGCTCCTTGGTGTCGATCGATAAGACATTTCCTAACAGTGGGAGCGGCACTGGGCCAGGGGGAAGCTTGTTTTGTCTGTTCCTAATGAACCGCTTGAGGCATGTGATAAGAAAAAAGAAAGCAGGTAAGACGGCGAGGATAGCAAGGCGAGGATCAACTAAAGGAAACATGGTTAGAGCAGTGTGTAGGTATACAAGACGCGACAGACTGGCATTGAGTTTTTAACTGCACGAAAAACCGCGCGGAGAGCTTATTGAGATACTTATCCATGCCTCGCTGTCGTAGGCTTGGCGCTGATCCCAGATAGCAGGCGCTCGTCACGGTCGGCGATGTGTGGAGGTCTGTGGACAGTGAGGAACCTGGCGGGAAGGGAGATGAGGGCGGGGTGCTTAGAAATTCGAATGGACAGCTAATCAATATATTGTCGGGTTTGGGCGACTTAGGCGTGTCATCATCTCGATCGGCTATGCAGCTCCAATTTGCACATAAACCAAAATCCCTTACATTAGCAAAATGCCGGAACCGGCAGAATATTTCGATCCTAGGATATCCGACCGTCCGACCCTTTCCAACATCCGCCCCAGATATGACTCAGCGTGCCAGCCACCATCATCTACAAACAAACAACACCAAGCACGCCACCTTGAACTTTACATCACCCTTTCCCCACCCCCCGCCCTTTGTGTCTCTTTCCCCGCCCTCACCGGCGCCCTCTGTGTCATGGTCAATGTTGAAGATGAGCCAGTAGGGAGCTGATGCGCTGATGATGCAGTAACTGCAGCACCTCAAGGCCTCAAGGGCTGATGGTATTGGCATAGTCATTGAGTGCGGTGCAGGGAGGTAAGCATGTGGCGGCGCTGTTGAGTAGCGGCTTGGCCAAATGTAGTAATATCCCCGACGTGCGCAGAGGTGAGGATGTGTGGGAAACAGTGAGCTTAATACATAATTATATTTTAACATTGAATGTAGTATATTATGTATGCGTGGGAACGATTATTATTATACTGGCGCGGATGCGGTCGGACAGTCGGATGAGGTCGGACGGTCGGATATCCCAGGATTGAGATGTCCTCGGAACCAGAGAGTTTCCGGTACAAGTCTTCTCCAGCCTGAATCAATCATTATGTAATGTTCCTGCATGACCGACCATAACGGACGCTTCCAAACATATGTCCATCATTGATTTATGCAAATAATAATCCTCATTGCGGCAGACATGCAGTGGCTCAGTGCATGTCTATCTTTGGCTCCACCCACCCTCGCTCCTTTTTTACCAAGGAATCTTTTAACATGCACACTCATCTGTCCCTCACACTTTCTCGATGGATGAAAACAGTTTTCATCGTAAGACCCATTGGGGATGGTTGAAGCCAAGTCATCCAGACCATCCTTTGGTACAGGAGAGAGGCAGGAGGGCAGCCAGCCAAGATGTATGGACCTCTGTCTTTCGAACTATGCATTATTTGTAATGATCACAGCTGTCCTCTCTCCCGGATTCCAGGAATGGGTCTCGTGGACAATTTTTAGGGTTGGTTCCCAAGTTACTCGACAAGGTGACCAAGTGCTTCGCTCGAAGCGCTCGACAGTCTCTCAACCCTGAAACCACGACTGCAAGTTCCAGCCCACAAGACATTCAATTCATTCAGTCAAACAAGGTATCCACGATCTCATCTCTGAGTATGCTCTGTCTACCATGATTGCTACTCATCACTTCTGCAGGACATCACTGCTCCCACACTTGAACCGAATCCTGAACAATCTTTCAATTCGTGGATTGCAGAAGTAAATTCGATCAATGTAGTTCACAATATTGTGATCCATCTCTTTTGATGATATGCTAACGTTTATAACCAGGCCAAAGATCTCAACCCGAAGTTTGTTAACAAAAGGATCGCCGAAGCTACTGAAGGTGTCGCAGGCATTGGCCAGGTCCCAACAATAGTCCAAGATACTTCTTCTGCAATCAACAACTTACCGTCTGTTTCTGATGCAATTGACACGTTCTCCGTGTTGCTTTGACCTTTGAAGGCATTCAATTTCATTGTCAACGAGATCGCAAATGTACAGTCATGTATCTCTTTGTTATACACGACTAACATTCACACACAGGTCCATCCCTATGTGAAGGTGGCATTGAGTATCTTCACTTGCGCGTCCAAGGTAGGCATCTTTCTCAATCATCACCATCGCAGGGCGACGAGATTTTACATGACAGATGATTCTTGATCAGGCAAACTGTGATGTCGCTGTTTCCAGTTTACTCTCAAAAATATCTGAAGTCTATGTTTTCATCACGGAAGAGGAGGAATTGGCCAAGATTCAATCAATGCTAGCGATATATGGGAAGATAGTGCAGCAGACTCTGGAGTGCGCTGATTTCATCAGCCATTACTCCGAGACAAAGAGTGCCTGTGAGTTGATCCCACTGCTTCGCCTTCTGGGACTCAATGGTGCCTGTTTGTATAGGGACAAGGCTTGGCAAGCACATTTTCGACGAAACAGATACAATGATTAAGAGCTACAGCAATGTTCTTGACGGTCTCATGCAACAATTCCGAGACTGAGTGGCTCGTGACACTGTTGTGATTGTTCACCATATGGGTAAGAGATGCTCTTAAATTTTGTTGAGCCTTATCTGACATTCCACGACCTCTGGCATAGCTGAGAGCCTGGACCTTGTAGGCATGGAGTACACAACAGGTGCTGGATTGAATACGTCTAAATGCTGTTTGCCAAATACTCGGCGAGACCTTTTGAAGGATATTCAGAATTGGATCAGCAGCACCGAGGAGGGCGCTCCATGCATCTTATGGTTGTCTGGCACAGCAGGCAAGGGTAAATCGGCCGTTGCCCATACAATAGCCAACTGGTATATCGAAAACAGTGGTCTTGGCTCATGTTTCTGCTTCGATCGCACTTGGCAAGCGGATCGCCGTCGAGACAAAATATTCACGACCATCGCAAGAGAATTAGCGGACTGCAAACCTATCGTGCGACGAGCCTTGGCGCAAGCAGTTCGTGACCACGACGGACTCAAGTGCACTCCAGATATCACAAAACAGTGGCAGGAACTCATCATAGGGCCAATGAGCATAGCCTCAAAAGCCATTGCTGCACCCATGCTCATTGTCATCGATGCGTTGGATGAGAGCGGTGAAACTGATTCTCGGGAAGTCTACTCGCTGGAAAACTGAACAATTCAACCTCACAACTAGTTGAACTTCCAGTCAACTTCCGCATTCTCCTCATTTCCCATCCACTTGAAGACATTCACAACACTCTGCATACTGCACCACATGTTCACCACATTTCCTTGGATGATGTCTCGTCTTCATCTCCAGAACTCGACATTCAGCTTTATCATCAGTAAACCGATGATTCCTTGATATTGTAGCTGTGCGAATTGTAGAGGGGTAGAACTCTGCCGCTGCTAAATATTTTCATGTATACCATAAGAAATCTTATTTGCCACTACATAGCCTGGAGATCTAGAGTAAGATGAGCAGTGCACAACAAGGTTATGATGTTTCTCCATTGCAGCTGACCAGGGTGGTAAGCCTACTTATGCCAAATATTTTGGCCATTGTCATTTTGCATGACTTACGCTTTGCACTACAACTTCATCCATGACATTCTTGTGGGAGGTACCCTTGGCACTTGTCAACTAATCTAGAATAGCACTAGATTTTGTAACAATATCCTGACTTGTGGCCGTGAAGATTAAGAAGTGATGACAGCGCACACCTCTCAACCTGTTTTGTGACTCTCCTTTTCCGTCGTCTATGCATTGGATCAAACTACTATTTAACATCTTCCCATAGGAAGAGCCTTTGGCGCTTGTTAACTAATCTAGAATAGCACTAGATTTTGTAACAATGTCCTGACTTGTGGCCCTGAAGATTAACAAGGGACGACCATCAATGAACCAGTGAAGAAAGTAGAAGGCCATATATCACAATATATAGTACACAATTGCACACATCAGCATAATTCTGCCATCGATCATTACATTATCATGTTTGACCTTGTAGAGGAAAGAAGCGTTCTTCATTTTCTTATATCTGCTTTCGATGTCAAAGCTACTCAGGAAAAACCTCCTTCTCAAATTGGATGAAATGCGATCCAACTTGCACAAATCTGCAAGAATTTGATGATTTGGCAATCTGTCCAATTATTTTAATTCCTTCCAAATTTTCGTAAATAGGATCTCAATTCACGACAATACTATCACAATATTTTCAGGTAGCTTTTCCAATTCAATTAAATGATATCAAGCAAATTCCATTAAATTTTAAATCTGACATAAATGGCGAACATCTATATATCTATCATTCAAATCTACCATACCCTTGATATATCAAGGAACACGAGTCTCGGTAGGTTCAGATGATGAGAGCAAGCGAGAGATACGTCGTTGTCATTGCATCGTTGTATCATCGTTGTTGTTGTGTCATCGTCACATCGTTGTTGTTGTGTCATCGTCACATCGTTGTTGTTGTGTTGTCGTCGCATTGTATCGTCGTCATCGTGTCGTCGTCGCATCACATCATCGTTGTTGTGTAGTATCGTCATTGTTGTGTCATCGTCATCGTTGTATTGTCGTCGTCGTCGTCATTGTGTCATTGTCATTGTCATTGTGTCATCGTTGTGTTTGTCGTTGTATCGTCCGTCGTCGTTGTGTTGTTGTTGTTGTTATCCTATCGTTGTCATCGGGTTGTCATTGTCGTCATTGCACCATCATCGTCGGCCAAAAGCAGCAAGTGAGAGTAGCGATGAGTGAGAGCGAGTGAGAGATGAGCAAGGGAGAGCAGTGAGGGAAGAAAAGTTCAAGTTGAACTTTTGTGAGTGCACCATCACGTGAACAAACATATACAAATGTTGGACTTTAGATATTTCCAGCGGCTGCTACAGAGTGCTCTGTAGCACAATTGATCCCGCTGATGCCTTGTAGAGCGCCGCTGTACTTTTACATTTGCAATAAGCAGCAATCAGAAACATGTAAAGCATTGTTTGAGGGGATGAAAATATCTAATGTAGTCTTGTTGAAAGCGGAGGCCGCTGGAAGCGGTACAGCTAGTTTCAAAAGTTGTCTGCTAAAGGTATCTTCTCATGAGAAGGGCTTGAATAGCATTGTAATGGGACAAATAAATAGGGCCAAACGACAATGCACGAAATAATTGGGATAAGTCTACTACCACCCCTCATCATCTGAAAAGGAGGAATGTCATAGCTTTGTGACTAAATCTAATGGTATTCTAGATTTGTCGACAAATGCCCGAGGCTCTTTCCACGAAAAGGCCTTGAATAACATTGTAATTAAAAAACGAGATCAGGTAAGATGTCAAAGCTCAAAACAATTAGCTCAGGTATACTACCACTACTCATTGGCTGCAGAGGCGGAATGTCCCAGCATTGTCATAAATCATTAATGTTAAGCTGGATTTATAAGCATACATGGGTATGTATGACATTGTATGTGCAACTCAAATTGCTTGCAATATACAAGCTAATATCTGGCGGTAGCAAAATTAAATCATGTTATACTTCCCATGGCTACAATATCAAGGACTCATCAATTCACTGATGACAGTGCACACCTCTCAACCTGTTTCGTGACTCTCCTTTTCTGCCATCTATACATTGGATCAAACTACTATTTAACATCTTCCCATAGGAAGAGCCTTTTGTGTTTGTCAACTAATCTAGAATAGCACTACAATTCCTAACAAAATTGCGACCTGTCACCATCGCAGTATGTATTGTACTCTCGGCAGTGTTGATTGTTATTTTCCTCCATTATCAGGTGTTGAATTAATCTCGCAAGTTAGCAGCATCATGATGCACTTGAGACAATATGATGATTGGTTAGTTACACTCAGGCCACGATATACATTCGACTCGAAGTTGCGACTCGATCATATGGGCAAAATCGGTCAATAGACTTAAATATCAAAGTGCAACTTGAAAGGGAAGGACCATTAAGCTACTATGACTCATCAATGTTTGAGAGTTAACTTAGACGGTTTTTTGCTTCCTGAATGTCTCGAAGTGACACGAGTGATACAGTTTGATAACATTTGACATTTGACATGTGACTTACTCACTGCATTACATGCTACCTGCACTAAAGCCTCTCCGTTTTTATCACAAACTTTCTCGGATCCGATCGATGTAGCGATGTTGTTGCGCCTCAAAACTTGGAAGACGTTTGCTACGACTACCAACCGAGGATTCAGTGTCGTGCTCAGTTTGAAAGAGCCTGAGGGCGTCAGTGTTCTGGATGTCTGAGGAACAGCAGGTTGAAAAAGGCTTCAAGTAGGAAGAGGGTCTGTCCAGCGGTTTCTATGAGGAATGGGTGGAGGGTTCGTAGTTGATGGTTCGCAATATCCTAAAGCAGAAGGCGTTCAGCATAGGGAAGAAAGATGATTGGGAGAAACTTGCTAGTTTCATGAGTTTCAATATATCGAGGCACATGCGAACCGCCTTGACCGTGTCCGCCTTACTGCCACCGCATCGTGGGTGCAAGCTTTGGCTGCTTCAACTATAGCGTCCACGAGACGATCGCGCATGGGGGCAGTGGCTTTTAAGAGTCGGGCCAATGACGATGAAAAGTCCTTATGGATCGAAGAGTTGGTGGTGAAGCTCTTGCTGAATAAGCTCCAGATCAAAGAGGGATCTGAGATGAGCAGCCGGAGCTGTGTGTTGCTCAATTTGCATCTGGAGGGTTGCAGGATTGGCATAGGTGCCGCATAGTAGTATACTTGTAAGGGGTTGTGTGACAAAGAGTAATACTTCGAGAAAAATTCTGTGAGAAGGTGACGGATGTGGGAGGGCATGCGAAGTGTGGGTGCTCGGAGAGGGGAGCATTAGGTGAGGCTGGGTACTCGTGGTATAAGGCCTTGGGCGCAAACGGAGGAGGTCATGGGGTTTCCATTGAAGATAAAAGGAAACGTAGGTGCAGCCTGTTTGGAGTTCTTGTGCAATACCGGACCAATATTTATCGGATAGATCGTGTTTATGTCGACCAGATGTAGGACGAAACTGGAGACCAGCGTCAAAGAGAAGATTACGTCCTATTGAATATATTAGATATATGATAAGTTAAATTTGTAATAAAAACTGACAAAGTTAGGGATTACGGATGATAGAGTCAAGATCAAGGCCTTTGAGTGTCTGTCTGTTGATGAGGAGGTGCATTGTGGGGACATGAGATGATAGGTCGGCTGGAGCCTGAGGGTGTGTGGGTAGAGGAGAACAATCAATAGCAGTATAATGAGGGTCTAGATGATTAGGGCGTGATTCTGTTTTTTCTTGAAAGAAGTTCGCCAAGGGGTGATGAAAGAGTCTTAATAGCTGAACACCTATGAGATTTGAAAGATTGTAGATTGCGAGTATCGACTCTTGTTAGCTCTCGTCTCTGTGAGTGTTGGGATGGGAGAATTGGGTCCTGATGGCCATACAGCACGTGCGGCTTTGTCTGTCGATATTGAAGGTGGTAGTAGTTGACGAGGGGCATAAGTTGGGTCTAGTATCATGATACTAGTAGAAGTACCAGTATTATCGTTTGCCTTGAATTTTGGATCTGATATCTGTTCCTCGTCGTCATTCTTGAGTTGATGACTGGCGAAATCGTTCATGCTGCTGGTTCAAGATAAAAAGGGAGTTGACTAGGGAAAAATGATGGGTTTCGTTATAAAGGCAACTCCGAGTCGTAGACGTCACACTATGCATAGATGCGGTAATAATTGAGGGTGTGCTTCAATAGATCGCTATGTATGTATTGCCTGTCAGCAACAAACTAGGGTCATCGATGAATCACTCACACATTACTAGACACCCATTGAAACCGCCAGAAGAATTGGGTCACGGTACTATGGCAAGGTGTCACTCCTACAGCTTCATTGGAGATCTGGCGGCATAGTCACGGTCGCCGATAGTGGCAGGGTCAGCACGGACAATGTTAAGACCTGGAGAGGCGTAAGCAAAAGTTAGAACGAACTTCGTGAGCGGATGCATGATGGTCACTGTAATGTCACTGACTGTCGGACAAACTTCAACAAACTCGGATTCTGTCACAGTAGGACAAGCTCTAATCTCATGATTCACTCAGAGAAAGTCCTGGAAAGTAAATTAAGATTCAAGCCTGGTGTATTCGAAGCCCAGTCAAAAAATGGTGTGCAGGCTGAAAATAAACATTCAAGTACTGCTAGTAAGGCTAAGCTACAGGCTGATTGAGTCAGAAAGATAGGTCACAGTCTTGCTCATACTCATGCTCATTCTCGTCTTCACCGTCTTCTATCTCACCGTCATTCAGGTCATTAACATTCTCGTCGTCGTCGTCATTCTCCTGTGTGTCCATGTCTTCGTCTTCTTCTTCGCTGTCATAGCCTTCTTCCTCCCCTCCATCATCGCCCTCGGGTTGAATTTCACTCTCCAAGTCATCATTGTCATTATCCTCCTCTGATTCCAGGGTATCCGCGAGCTCCACTTCGGCACAGTCTCTTGTGATCCCCCATAGGACGGTAGAATGTCCAATTCCATAGTGCATGTATCACATGAACATATCTCGGTCGACGAATCTGAGTGATCATCAACAGTCGAGTAAGGACAACGAGATGAATTGTTACACTTACATGCCAACATAGTATCCCTCCCAGTCGTCCAATTCACCAAATTGACGTCCGAAGGACTTTCCATAGCGAAGGGATGTAGTTCCGCAATTAGAAGAAAAAGCTGGAATCAAATGGGCACTTCGGATGACTTGACCGGGGTCGAGAAACCCAAATGCGTCGTGGTCAGACTCTTCAACGAAAGCGATCTTCGGAAGTCGAGCACAGCTCATCCCTGACGGGTGGTTGGTCAAGGGTGCTAACCATCTGACATAAAGAAGCTCAATTTGACGCCTTTTGATCAGACCTTTGTTATTGAGCCACACATCCATGTGGTAGATGCCTAGAACACGGGCATACCAGTATGGATGTCAGGGCCTTGTTTCCCCAGATAAAACCATAATATCGGGGTGTGTCCGAATATTGACGGTATCATACTCTCACCGAAGATCATAAGTCGTGTAATGAACCTATCAATTTGAAGTGTTACAATGCTAGCAAAACTTGAGATCTGTGTGACATACCTGCATCGTTTGGATGGAGTATAGCCTATTGTCTGAGATGATAACTGAATTACGTTCATCGTCGGAGAAGGTATGGTCACAATAGGTGACGTCTAAGTTTCGAAGTCGGTATAGTGTGTGGTCTTTGAGTTTTGGTATGAACGCCTGTACAATATTGTGAGTTAGGAGAACAGTGAGGAAAGTAACACATACCGCTACAGCTGGATCATTGTCATGATCTCAAAGAAAATGAAATATATCTATGGGATTGTTGCGGCTTAGCGTCAGTATATAGTGATGATCCTTCATGTTGATCCCTGCAGGCAAGTTGACTGGTGGCTGTTCCAAAGCACATGAACTACGTTCTGCTTCTGCCACTCGCCGAAGGATTCGTCGATGGCGCTCATGCTTAGCGAGTTGAGCCGGGGTGTCTAATTTATTAGTCAAGGGATAGAATGCTTTCAGTGCTCGATGCGCTAACTCTCCCTGGACAGACATCAAAATGAGATGGGACATTGTGTCAGACTCGGAAATGCACATACAATTTGCGATGTAAAGGAGTCGATCGTTCCAAAGAGCCAGATCGATCGCAGATAATCCCCCATGGCATGAAATTTGTAAGTGTTCAGATTAAATTTTTTGACCTTTCTGCTGCCACTTCCAGCACCTGCATTGTCGGAACTTGAGCCTTCGCGCGCAGCCCTTTCTTTTGGTAGCTCCACAGTAGAGAAGGCAGCACATGTGAAATCCCGGAACTTATGCAACTGACGAGACAGCCTCTGGAATGTCCTCTCGAGTACTGACAGAGTGGTGTTGGAATGCATCCTTAGTTTGGCGAGAGCGTGCCATTGAGCAAACCTGTATAAAAGTAATTGTACAATAGCATCGTGCTCTGCTGGAAAAAGCCCCTCGAAGACCAGCATCGCACACTGAGATCAAATGTCACTAACACACAACGTCGACTGAGCCACCAATATGTACCTGCAGAATGTCCTCAAAGTCCTGTGCTGCGAGGCGCTTCATTTCTGAGGTGTTATTCGAAAATTTCCTGATGACACCGTTACCATATGACGGAACGTGGCGAAATCTGTGTTGAAAGCGATTATTTTCAATTCGGTAAAGAGAATGGTGTGACAAACCTATAGTCAAGACTTGCAACTAGGCGATCACCGCCGGGGAGCGCGTAAAGTAGACGGATGAGGTGCGTAAACAGCGCCTTCCATGTACCTAACTTGCATTCATGCATAAAATCGACCACAAGCATATGGAAAGCATCGAATCCGAGTAGTGCAAGCCTTTCTACAAATGCGTTCTAGTTTAAAAGTAGGTACTGATCATAAGGGGAATGATTTGCAAGGCACTCACTACAGTCGGCACCCATGAGCCTCCTCCAACAGTCGCCTGCACCTTAGACCCATTCACAGTATTTCCTCCATAGATGAATCCGCGGGCCTGGATTATCCTTTCCAAACAGTAGGTCCTGAGGGTAGTGACGTGATCTTGCATGTCTTTCCACAAACCAAGGAAATCGAACGAGACTTTCGGCATGAGACAGCGCAGACACGGGCAAGCACCCATATCCTTGATTGTTGCTATAAGAACCCTAAGATATTGATCAGTACTTCAACAAAAACAAGACGAAAATGTGCACTTTTCCGGATAATCAGCCGAGTAAGTAAATATGCGCGGAAATACTCTTCTAAATATCCCATCTGGACACCGGAGCACAATTCCGTGATGGTATGCATGAAGGAATTCCGCATCTAACAGATGTTTCCAACACGCATGGAATAGATCTTGCCGACAATGCACATGAAGGGCTGCCATGCCACTTTTTGATATACGCGGCAAGCTGCTGAAGATGTCCTTTATATTATCCGGAAGCTAAAAAATCTACTGTGAGAGAGAGATACAGTATGGAAGGCAGATGACCTACAGAAGGTAAAAATCCCACAAGATGGCATGCGCCAGATTTGGGTGCTGAGCGTGCATACTTAGTTAAATTTCCGAAATACAGATAAAGAGGCCAAGCCTTGGCTGTTCCGAAGGTGGCTAAATGAGTTGCATCCGAAAAAAACATCAGTTTAGCGATAACGTGTTCGAGTGAGCAGCCAGGTTCTTTTGGCTGTCTATACAGGTCTTCCTGAGCTTCTAACCAGGAGTCAGAGGTATATAGCTCATCAAATACACGTTCTTGATGACCGTCCAGCGGATCCCTCCATAGACGCTTGAAGGGGAAAAGATGGAACACGCTGGCTTGAATGTCGGCGAATGTGGAATGGATCACTGATATAAGTGGCTGGTAGTGAAATCCCGAAATGTATAATGATCTGGCCTGGTCATCTTTTGATTTGGAAGGTATGTCAAGCACGACATCCTTCTCTAACCAGTCATCTGGAAAAATAACAGGCCCCTTTTCTCCATTATTATCCAATGCACGCAGACTTCTCTTTACCGAAAATCCATCCAGGTCCTTGGGGTTGAAGTCTCTCGCTTGAATCACATCTTTAACAAGACGCATGATTTCGGCCTCGGATTTTTGATGACTCCCGGAATTCATCCATGTCATCAGACGATAGACAGTCATATTGGAAAAAGGATGAGGCGGTACAGAGACTCTAGAAGATGAATCGGACCCTTGAATATCTGTGCCAATAGTCATTGGACAGGAATCAGCTAGCAGCATAGATGGGACGTAATTATTGGGTTCGAATGAGGGGCGCCTAGGATACTGTCGACAAAGTCTGATAACGTTGAATGCTGTTTGAAGAGAATCACGCAGCGTCAATAAGACTCGTAGAATTCTGCGGGGCGGTGGATTGTGAGTTTTGGTCACTGTTACGAACTAGGATAGTTCTAACAACGACAACTCGACAGAGTTTTCGGTCGTTGAGATTCTCAGTCTCTCAGACAAGAGAGAGTTCGGTGGACTTAGTTAAAGGAGTGCTTCAACTAAGAATCAGGTCTCAAGACGACTTAAGATTGGAGGTCTTAAGCGAAGGATGTTCCAGGTAAAACCTAGTAAGATTCAAGTAAAGAATATAGGCGTAATACATGTGCTTAAATAGATCCATATGTGCGCACA